TTTAGTATCTCCAGAATCTCCAGAATCTCTAGAATGGCTGTAATCTCTGGAAACTCTGAATCTCTAGACTCTATGGAATTTCTAGGATCTTTAGAACGTCTGGAATCTTTGGAATCTCTAAAATTTTCAGATTTCAACGAAATTTTTTGTCTCTAGGATACATAGAATCCCTAGAATCTTAAAATTTTTGGAATCTTTGGATTTTTAAAAATTTTTACAATTTTTAGATTGTCCAAAATTTTTAGTATCTCCAGAACCTCTAGAATCTCTAAAAACTCTAAAATCTATAGAATTTTTAGAACCTGTAGAATTTCTAGAATCTTTGGAATCTCTATAATGGCTGGCATCGCTGGCTTCTAAAACTCGTGCAATTTCTAGAATTTCTAGATTCCGTAAATTTTTTTGAATTACTAGAATCTTTGTAATCTCTGTATCTCTAGATCCTATGGAATCTCTAGGATTTTTAGAATCCCTAGAATCTTTAAAATCTCTACAATTGCTGAAACCGCTAGAATCTAAAACTTTTGGAATCTTTGGACTTTTTACAATTTTCAGAGTGTCCACAGTCTTTCTTCAGAATTTGCAGAACTTCTAGGATCTGTAAAATCTGTAGAAATTGTAGATTCTGTATAATTTTTTGAATTATTGGAATCTTTGGCACCTCTGGAATCTCTGTATCTTTAGATCCTATGGAATCTCTAGAACCTTTAGAATCTTTAGAATAATCTCCAGAATCTATCGGATTTTTATGGTCTCTATGGTCTTTGGAATCTCTAGAATCTTTAAAATCCATACAATTCCTGGAGTCCCTAGAATCAAAACTTTTGGAATTTTTTAAATTTTTACAATTTTTAGTATCTCCAGAACCTCTAGAATTTCTAGAATGGCTGGAATCTCTGAATCTCTAGATCCTATGGAATTTCTAGGATCTGTAAAACGTCTGGAATCTTTGGAATCTCTAAAATTTTCAGAATTAAACGAATTTTTTTGTTTCTAGGATACATAGAATCCCTAGAATTTAAAATTTTTGGAATCTTTAGATTGTCCAAAATTTTTAGTATCTCCAGGATCTCCAGAACCTCTAGAATCTCTAAAAACTCTAAAATCTATAGAATCTTTGGAATTTTTAGAACCTGTAGAATCTCGAAAATCTGTAGAATTTCTAGAATCTTTGGAATCTCTGTATCTCTAGATCTTGTATCTTTACAGAATCTGGAATCTTCTGAATCTATCAAATTTTTAGGGTCTCTAGGATATTTAGAATCCCTAGAATGTTTAAAATCTCTACAATTGCTGAAACCTCTAGAATCTAAAACTTTTGGAATCTTTGGAATTTTACAATTTTTAGTGTCCACAGTCTTTCTTCAAAATCGCCAGAACCTCTAGAATCTCTAAAATCTGTAGAATTTCTAGAATGGCTTGAATCGCTGGACTCTAACATTTGTACAATTTTTGGAATTTCTAGATTCTGTAAATTTTTTTGAGTTACTAGAATCTTTGAAATCTCTAGAATCCTTTAGAGTGTCCACAATCTTTAGTGTCTCCCGAATCTCCAGAAACTCTAGAATCTCTAGAATGGCTTGAATCGTTAGAATCTTAAAATTATACAATCCTAGAACCTTTGGAATCTCTGGATACTGAAACTATAAATCCTATAGAATCTTTAAAATCTTCAGAATCTATCGAATTTTTAGGCTTTCTAGAATACTTAGAATCCCTAGAATCTAAAACTTTTGGAATCTTTAGAATATTTTGAACCTGTAGAATCTCTAGAATCTTTAGTAAACCTGGAATCTTGGAATCTGTAAAATCTTCAGAATCTAGAGTTTTTAGGACTTTTAGGACTTCTAGGATATTTAGAATCCCTAAAATCTTTAGAATCTCTGCAAATGCTGGAACCACTACAATCTAAAACTTTTGGAATCTTCGGGATTTTTAGAATTTTTATAACGAATTTTTAGGGTCTCTAGGATACTTAGAATCTCTAGAATCTTTAAAATCTACAATTCCTGGAACCGCTAGAATCTAAAATTTTTGGAATCTTTACGATTTTTACAATTTTTGCAGTGTTCATAATCTTTAGTATCTCCAGAATCTCTAGAACCTCTAGAATATCTAAAATCGGTAGAATTTCTAGAATGGCTGGAATCGCTAGACTTTGAAAGTTGTACTTTTTCTGGAATTTCTAGATACTGTATAATTAATTTTTTGAATTACTAGAATCTTTAGAGAGTCTGGAAACTTAAGAATAATTTTCAGAATCTTTCGAATTTTTAGGGTCTCTAGAATCTTCAAAATCTCTACAATTCCTGGAACCGCTAGAATCTAAAATTTTTGGAATCTTTGGAATTTTTACAATTTTTGGAGTGTCCACAATCTTTAGTATCTCCACAAGCTCTAGAACCTCTAGAATATCTAAAATCCGTAGAATTTCTAGATTGGCTGGAATCGCTAGACTTTGAAAGTTGTACTTTTTCTGGAATTTCTAGATTCTGTATAATTAATTTTTTGAATTACTAGAATCTTTATCATCTCTAGAATCTCTGTATATCTAGATCGTATGGAATCTCTTGAATCTCTAGAGGGTCTGGAAACTTAAGAATAATTTTCAGAATCTTTTGAATTTTTAGGGTCTCTGGAATATATTATAGAATCCCTACAATCTTCAAAATCTTTACAATTGCTGGAACCGCCAGAATCTAAAACTTTTGAATCTTTGGAATTTTTTCAATTTTACTGTGTCCACAATCTTTGGTTTTTCTAGAACCTCTAGAATCTCTAAAATCTGTAGAGTTTCTAGAATGGCTGGAATCGCTAGACTCTAAAACTTGTACTTTTTCTGGAATTTCTGGATTCTGTATAATTTTTTGAATTACTAGAATCTTTGGCATTTCTGGAATCTCTGTATCTCTAGATTCTATGGAATCTCTATAATCTTTAGAGTCTGAAAACTTTGGAATCTCAAAAATCTTCAGAATGTAACGAATTTTTAGGGTCTCTAGGATACCTAGACTCTAAACTGGAAACTCTGAATCTCTAGATTTTTTGGAATCTCGAGAATCTTTAATAAGTCTGGATTTTCTAGAATCTATAGAATTTGTAGGATCTCTAGGATATTTAGAATCCCCAAAATCTTTAGAATCTCTGCAACTGCTGGAATCACTAGAATCCAAAAACTTTTGGAATCTTTGGGATTTTTAGAATTGTTACATTGTGTCTACAAGTTTTAGTATCTCCAGAATATCCAGAACCTTTAGAATCTCTAAAATCTGTAAAATGTCTAGAATTTTTAGAATCTCTAGAATTACTGGAATCGCTGAACTTACAACCCCTAGAACTTTTGGAATCTTTGGAAGTGTCCACAATCTTTAGTATCTCAAGATTCTCCAGATCCTCGACAAGCTCTAAAAACTCTAAAATCTATAGAATCTTTAGAACCAATACAATTTTTAGAATTCATTAATTTAATTTTTTCTTAATATACGTAGTATTCTTTGAACAACGTGATACTCAAAAACATGGTAATTTCTTGTAGAAAAATAATAAGGATTTTGCAATTAAATTCCGCTCCTTTGGCTCTCCACGATAAAAAAAATCATCACAATTGACCTTGAATTGAGATAGGGCGGGTGGGCGGGGCTTAATATACGTAGTCGTCTTTTCAGAACAAGAAACTGAAAACATGGTAAATTCGTGTAGACAAACATGGATTTTGCAAGTAAGCCCCGCCCCTTGATCTGACAGCGAATACTATGTGTAGTACGAAAAAAGGCAAAATATAAACCCTGCCAACACGATACTCAATAACACGTTTTTAATTTCTCGTAGAAAAATAAGGATTTTGCAGATAAGCTCCGCCTTCTTGGCTCACGACGAATAAGAAAAAATCATCACAATTGAGATAGGGTGGGTGGGTGGGGCTACATTTTGCCTTGTTTGTTTTACGATGTGTAGACTTACTTCGACAACAAGAAACTTAAAACATGTCTAAAATGGTAAAATTAACAAAGAAATAAAAATATTTCTAGGTGCATAAGATTGCTAGAAGTGTAGGGCAAAAATTGGAATTGTAGTCACAGTACAAAGTTAAAGTGCGATCAAAAGTCCCTCTAGTTACTTGTTGATTGTCTGTAGTCACCGGAACGTATGTCTACATTTACGTCAACACGACGTCAAAAAGAGAGGTTATAATGAAACACGAGCAATTGAACTTCGAACGTCCAGTCCCATTTTCCTCAACATTTCCCGCCTTACCTACGGAAACGTGGATTTCCTGTTTCCGTCTCAGTTGGGAATTTTGTTAGACCCAAAACCCCGGAAACTAACAATCTCATTCTGCTTTTTAATCACTCATTCAATGCTTCTTATTTTTCCTTAGTTGTTTTTGTTGTGTCACCTTCATTTTTTATCAGGTTATCTGTTGTGCTTCCCGATGTACGGAAACCTTTACTCCATTCCGCGAAATCTCTATCGCTTTGTGCCCCAAGGGCAAGGGTTAAATCCCTCTTATCACGATTGCAATAAACACGAACGCATTAGTAAACGTCGGCGTCGCGACGGCACCAGCGTCGGGTCGATAAACTTGCACGTTGGGCTATTTTGTGCTGGGTAAATGACCTAAATAGCAAAGAATCCAAAGAGCGGTTCAATTGCGCCATCTGCCACGGCCAGTGAACATAGAAACGTACGTCTCACTTTTCCGTAGTTTTCGTAATTACGACGCCACTAATAATCAAACAATAACAGTGGCGTAAATTTGGCAACTCGGGATCATTGATCGCAGTTTTTCGTCCGGCCATAAGTCGAATTGCGACATTTACCAGTGAAGATATTTCAACGTTTTCCAGTCACTCTAACTACGCGTCTCAAATTGTCCGAAACTTTGATCCGTCACGAGAATATCGCGTGAATCGTTGCTGAATCATTTAGTCGGTGATTGAGTTGAATTAGTTCGTCGGTTAGTGTAGATTGTATGTTTATTTTTTCTTTTTTGGTTGCAGTTCATGGGAACATGTCTCTTGCCAGTGTCCATCCCGCCGAGCTCCACTCCAGTCATAGGTAATTAACGCTCATTGCTTCATTTTATTTTATAAACACATATTTGTGCGACTTGCGTCAAAGCCATTTCACCAGGACGGACAATTACTTGCGTCATTTCGCATGCTAAATGTAATCTAGAATGCTGTGTAAAGATATATGGCGCCAATCTGGATAAGCCAGTGATAAGAGGTTACAACTTGACGAGAAAACAGGAAAATTCAAACGAAAACTAGTATAGTTGATTGTCGTAGGATTCACACAGGAAGAGGGAATTAGAGCAGGTCATGGAAATTGTCCTTAAATTGGCACCACTGACGAAATGACCTTTCTAGAAATTTCGTACATTGTTGTCTACACAGAGGTCTAAAGACTTGTTTCCGCGGTTTGTTTTACATACCGTATAATTTGCATGAAATTAGCTTAAATTTAAACAAACAGAAGTTTAGTTCATCACCTTCAAAAGTTTAATGACGTCATAGCAAAAAAATAAATAAGTAAAACTAAAACTTTTATTGGTGTGTATATAGGTCGCTGGATGATAAAGTAAATTCTACACTACCGGGCTATAAATATTTATTCGATAAATATTGCCACAGCTGTCGCAAATATTATCCAGATTGTCAAAACGGTCGCAAAAATTATAAATTTCATTTCAAAATTTTCTTTAACCAATTAGTGTGTTAAGTGGGCCTTGATTTTGCCGCTCTGTGAAGATGAGAGGCACATTTGTACACTTCTAGTTGTCCGTAACACAATAAAACTAATACTTCGACTTAAAGCAATAAAGTAATTTCCTAGATTTTATCGACCTACTATTAAATTTGCCCAAAATTTCAAAATCAGCCCAAGATTGATAAAACTGTGTAAAGGTTGTGTCAAAAATTTTGTCACAAGGCCACTACTAATTCAGACTTTATAAGACTGTACGTCAAATTATGACACCGGATGTACCGCCCGTTTCCATGACGACGTGAATGACAGGCGCCTTGTCAAAATCTCAAGTACTTATTAAATTTTTAAATGCTCGTTAAACACGAGATTGTTATCTCGGAATATAAATTTCACGTTTGAATTCGCCATCGTTTAACGTTTTTCACGGTTATTTTGACGCCAGAGTTGCCCGAATAGAAAATGTGAGGTTAGGATACCCATTCTGGTCCCGGTTTGTATAACGCATTTGAAATTGCAGCTCGCTGACGACCCTCAGCCACAGTCTCGACGACATCACCGAGGCCGCCTGGAGCCCCCAGGTCCACTCCGACCACGTCTTGACCATCGAAGAACTGCGCCTTCAAATGACCAGCTGCTTCACTTGCGGCGTGTCCTGGAGCGACAGCCACGTGTCGCTCGACTGCTCCGAGTGCGGGGGCTACGCCCTCGAGCGACCGTGCCCCGAGTGCGAGGGGGCTTGCGGCGCCAAGTGGAAGCGGGACCTGTCGATGGTGCGTATCCCGGTGTGCGTAGTTCGCCCCCACTGATTGTTTTTTTGCAGTCTCACGCCAGCAGTAAAGCTCGCTGGGAGGGGAAGTGCGCCAAGAAGCCCCAGCAGCCCCCCAAGAGCAGCCTCAGCTCGCAGGAGCTCAGTCTAAAGCTGGAGAAACTTAGTGCCAATTCATGACGCCATTTCACCATCTAACTTTCGTTTCAGATTTATAGAAAATGTACCTAAACAGGGTTTACTGATTATTTATATTTTTCGTTAATTAAATTAAATTATGTATGCATTTTGTATCGATGCTGTGACTCAGTGAAACCTGGTTCGGTTGGGTTTTCTTGTGTTTTGACTGAATCGTAATTAGCCTAACGCATCACCTGGTTACGACGCCGATGGGCGATTTGGTTTGTAATTTAGGTGTCTTCGCTTTCTTTGGGTTTTATATTAAAACCAAAGTTTTTGACGTTTGTTATAAGAATCGATATTTTATGGAAATTTCAGTGGATCCGCGATCTAGTAGGCAAATTGTACTTTGGAGAATATAGACCGTTGATATTATTATGATAGTATTTATCAAATTTCATATTTTTTTTAATGGACTGATTATAAAGCAACTGTAAGTATGCTCTAATTTAATAAAATTTATTAATGCATAAACTTTTGTTTTATTGGAATGCAACCAACATTACATTTTTTGTATAATTTTACTTCTGAGCGTAAGCTACGGAGGCTAGTAATCGAATTTCGACGGTTCATGACCTCTAGAGCACGAAAAAAGTGGTCTCCCATTTCCGTCTGTCGTCTCTATCCACTTTACAACGACAGTGTAACCAGAGAACATAGAGAAGCGTCATAGTTTAAATTAAATGACGGTTGAGGTGGTTGAGATCTCCTCGACTTACGTTGGCAACAATGTTTGTTTCTAACTAGGAAAAAAATTAACTACAATAGAAAAAAATGTCATAATATTTTGAGAACTTGTTTGATCTACAGACCAGAGCGCACTCAGGCCAATGTCGACTCTAAGCGCTCGGAAACGATTTGATTTATAAGCCATGATCCGTGATCTGATACACATTCTAACCGGTTTCGACCATAATTTCTGCTGTTTCAACTTTTGAGTTCTCAGTTTTTCGAAATTTTAGTTTGGGGACTTTTCAGTTTACTCCTATTTATTTTTCAATTTTTGGATTTTACAATTTCTCAATTTTTCAATTTCTCGGTTTTCAGTTTTTCTCTTCAATTTTACGATTTTTAAACATTTCGATTTTTCAATTTTTGACTTTTATAAACTCGTTATTTGTCGATTTTTCAATTAAGGTTTTTTGGTTTTTCAATTTTTCTATTTTTTCAGGTTTCGATATTTCAACTTCACTTTTTTGATTTCTCAGTTTTTGGACATTTCAGTTTTGGGATTTTTCAGTTTACTTATTATTCAATTTTTCGATCTTACGATTTTGCAAGTGTTTGATTTTTCAATTTTCGATTTTTTTAAGGTTTCGATATTTCGACTTCACTTTTTTCATTTTTCGATTCTTTAGATTATCAGTTTTGGGATTTTGCAGTTTTTCGATTCGTCAGTTTTCTTTCATTTTTCCGTTCTTCGACTTTTCCATTTTTGAGTTCTGGATTTTTCGATGTGTCGACTTTTTACTTTTTCGATGTTTAAATTTTAGATTCCTCAATTTTTTGGTATTTTAATTTCTCAATACTTAAAATTTTAGATTATTCGATTTCTCGATTTTTCATTTCAGCTCTTCCAAATTTCAGTTTTTCAAATGTTTCGATTTTTCGACTTCCCGGTTTTAGATCTTCTGTTTTTCAATTGTCGTTTTTTCAATTCTTCGATTTTTAAATTTTTCGATTTCTCGATTCTTCATTTCAGTTCTTCGATATTTCCGTTTTTCATGTTTTCGATTTTTCAAATGTTTTGATTTCTTAATACATCGATTTTCCGACTTCCCGGTTTTAGATTTTCTGTCGTTCAATTGTTTTCTCAAATTTTCGATTTTTCAATATTTCAAATTTGACATTTAAACTGTCAATTTTTCGATTTGTCAATTAATCGATGTTTTGATTTTCCCATTTCTTGAGTTTCGAGGGTTTCGATATTCCTGTTCTTCAATTCTTTAATTTTTCGATTTTTCATTTTTTAGTTTTTTTAAGATTTCGATTTTTCGACTTCACTTTTTGGATTTTTCGATTGCTTTTTAGGTTATCAGTTTTCGGATTTTTCAGGTTTTCTTTCATTTTTCAGTTTTTGGATATCTCAGTTTTGGGATTTTTCAACATTTCGATTCTTAGACTTTTCGATTTTTGACTCCTGGATTTTTTCGATGTGTCGATTATTTTACTTTTTAGATTTTTTAATTTTTAAAATTTTAGATTTTTCGATTTCTCGATTTTTCAGTTCAGTTCTTCGATATTTAAATTTTTTAAGTTTTCGAATTTTTCAAATGTTTCGATTTCTTTTTTCTCTTTTGATTTTTCGACTTTCTGGTTTTAGATTTTCTGTTTTCCAATTGTCATTTTGTCAATTTTTCTATTTTTTAAGGTTTCTATTCGAATTGTCTGCGTAATAGTCGCCGACAGACGAAGCTGGACGTTTCCGTATTCTTCGAACTGCGACGAAATAAATAATCCAGTTAAATGTGATTACAAATCATTCTGGTGCGATTAGGCTCTTAAAGTTTGCACTGCGTACAAAATCTGTTTTATTTAATTTTTAAATTTAATACAACATACAGGAGCCCTAGTCATCACAGTGTTGTCACGTCTGGCTGCATTCGACGAGTATTCGTAACACCAGAAATGACATTCACTTTGTATTTTTAAACTGAACACCCACTATATTTTTTAGTAAATGCGTCGTTTGCCTGTTTTACGACAAAAAAGCAACCGATGTTCTAAAATTAATAACAAAAAAGTTATTCAGTAAAATCGATGAAAAATCTTTGTAGAATCTGTAGAATTTCTACAATCTTTGGAATTTCTAGAATGGCTGGAATCGCTGGAATCTAAAACTTGTCCACTCTCTAGATTCTACATAGTTTTTTGAATTACTAGAATTTTTGGAATCTCTGGAAACTGTAGAATCTTTAGCAAATCTGGAATCATCAGAATCTGTGGAATGTTTAGGATGTTTAGACTCTCTAAAATCTTTAGAATCTTTGCAACTGCTGGAAACACTAGAATCTAAATGTTTTGGAATCTTTGGGATTTTTAGAATGTTTACAATCTTTAGTAACTCCAGAATCTCCAGAACCTCCAGAATCTCTAAAGTCTGTAGAATTTCTAGAATCTTTAGAATCCCTAGAATCGCTGGACTCCAAAACTTCTATAGTTTCGAGATTTTGCATATTTTTTTGAATTACTAGAATCTGGCAGCTCTGGAAAACCTAAATTTCTAGATCCTATGGAATCTCTAGAATCTTTAGAGAGTCTGGAAACTTTAGAATATTCTTCGGAATCTATCGAATTTTTAGAGTTTCTAGGATATTTAGAATCTACAATTACTGGAACCGATAAAATGTAAAACTTTTGGAATCTGGAATTTTTAGATTTTTTACAAAACTCTAGAACTTACAGAACCTTTAGAATTTTTAGAACCTGCAGAATCTCTTAAATTTGTAGAATTTCTAGAATCTTTAGAATATCTAGAATGGCTGGAATCGCTGGACTCTAAAACTTGTACAATATCTCTGGATTCTACATAATTTTTTGAATTATTAGAATTTTTGGAATCTCGGGAAACTCTAGAATCTTCAGAATCTGTAGAATTTTTAGGATCTCTAAGATATTTAGAATCTCTCCGACTGCTGGAACCACTCGAATCTTTTGGAATCTTTGGGATATTTAGAATTTTTCAATTTTTAGAATGTTCACAATTTTTAGTATCTCCAGAATCTCCAGAACCTGCAGAATTACTAGAATCTTTAGAATGGCTGGAATCGTTTGAGTCTAAAACTTGTACAATTTCTGGATTCTGTATAATTTTTTGAATTACTACAATCTTTGGCATCTCTGGAAAACCTGTATCTCTAGATCCTATGGAATGTCTAGAATCTTTAGAGTCTGGAAACTTTGGAATGTTCTTCGGAATATATCGAATTTTTAGGGTCTCTAGGATATTTAGAATTCCTATAATCTTTAAAATCTACAATTACTGGAACCGCTAAAATCTAAAACTTTTGGAATCTTTGGAATTTTTAGAATTTTTACAATCTCTAAAAACCTAGAATCTGTAGAGCCTTTAGAATCTCTAGAATGGCTAGAATCGCTGGACTCTAAAACTTATACAATTTCTAGATTTTGTGTACTTTTTGAATCTTTGGAATCTCTCGAAACTCTGAATTTCTAGATCCCATGAAATTTCTAGAATCTTTAAAACGACTGGAATCTCTATAAGCTTCAAAATCTAAAGAATTTTTAGGGTCTTTAGGATACTTAGAATCTCTAGAATCTCAAACTTGGAATTTTTACTATTTTTAGAGTGTCCACAATCTTTAGTATCTCCAGAATCTTTAGAATCTCTAGAATGGCTGGAATCGCTAGTCTCTAAAACTTGTACAATTTCTAGATTCTGTATAGTTTTTTGAATTACTACAATCTTTGGCATCTCTGGAAAACCTGTATCTCTAGATCCCATGGAATCTCTAGAATCTTTAGAGAATCTGGAAACTTTGGAATATTCTTCGGAATATATCGAATTTTTAGGGTTTCTAGGATATTTAGAATTCCTATAATCTTTAAAATCTACAATTACTGGAACCGCTAAAATCTAAAACTTTTGGAATCTTTGGAATTTTTAGAATTTTTACAATCTCTAAAAACTCTAGAATCTATAGAGCCTTTAGAATCTCTAGAATGGCTAGAATCGCTGGACTCTAAAACTTGTACAATTTTTAGATTTTGTGTACTTTTTGAATCTTTGGAATCTCTCGAAACTCTGAATTTCTAGATCCCATGGAATTTCAAGAATCTTTAAAACGACTGGAATCTCTAAAAGCTTCAGAATCTAAAGAATTTTTAGGGTCTTTAGGATACTTAGAATCTCTAGAATCTCAAACTTGGAATTTTTGGAATTTTTACGATTTTTAGAGTGTCCACAATCTTTAGAATCTTCAGAATCTCTAGAATCTTTAGAATCTCTAGAATGGCTGGAATCGCTAGTCTCTAAAACTTGTACAATTTCTAGATTCTGTATAATTTTTTGAATTACTACAATCTTTGGGACCTCTGGAAAACCTGTATCTCTAGATCCTATGGAATCTCTAGAATCTTTAGAGAGTCTGGAAACTTTGGAATAGTCTTCGGAATATATCGAATTTTTAGGGTCTCTAGGATATTTAGAATTCCTATAATCTTTAAAATCTCTACAATTACTGGAACCGCTAAAATCTAAAACTTTTGGAATCTCTGGAAACTTTGGAATTTTTACAATCTCTAAAAACTCTAGAATATATAGAGCCTTTAGAATCTCTAGAATGACTAGAATCGCTGGACTCTAAAACTTGTACAATTTTTAGATTTTGTGTACTTTTTGAATCTTTGGAATCTCTCGAAACTCTGAACCTCTAGATCCTATGGAATTTCTAGAATCTTTAAAACGGCTGGAATCTTTAAATCTCTAAAAGCTTCAGAATCTAAAGAATTTTTAGGGTCTCTAGGATACTTAGAATCTCTAGAATCTAAAACTTGGAATTTTTGGAATTTTTACGATTCCGTGTCCACAATCTTTAGTATCTCCAGAATCTCTAGAATCTTTAGAATCTCTAGAATGGCTGGAATCGCTAGTCTCTAAAACTAGAGTTTCTATTTTTTTGACTTCACTTTTTTGATTTTTCGATTTTTCAATTTTAGGATTTTTCAATATTTCAATTCATTGGCTTCTCTATTTTTGACGTCTGGATTTTTAGATGTGTCTACCTTTTTACTTTTTCGATTTTTCACTTTTTGGGTTTTTAAATTTTAGATTTTTCAATCTTTTGATACTTTAATTTTTCAATATTTCTTAATCTTTCGATTTTTCGACTTCCCGGTTTTAGATGTTCTGTTTTTCAATTTTTCGATTTGTTAATTTTTCATTCCCGATTTATCGAGATTTGGTTGTTCAGGTTTTCGATTTATCAGTTTTTCAATTTTTTATTTTGGCCTATTTCGGTTTCTCAGTTTTTTTAGTTTTCCATTTTTTCGTTTTTTGATTTTTCCGCTTTCCCAATTTTTCAACTTTTAACTTTTTGTTTATCGATTTCTCTATTTTTCGACTTCATCACTTTTCGATTTCTCGTTTTTTTGATCTTTCAATCTCTCAATTTTTCAATTTTTCGAATTTTTAAGTTTTTTGGTTTCTCGATTTATCGAGATTTGGATTGTCAATTTCTCAATTTATAAATTGTTCAATTTTTAACTTTTCGATTTTAGTTTATTTCGGTTTCTCAATTGTTCGACTTTTCGACTCCACGATTTCTTGATCTTTTGATTTTTCGATTTTCAATTTTTCATTTTTTTTTCTCACTGTTAATATCATACAGTGTATCGAAAACAACCACAAAAATTCACTAGAAACATTTAAAAAATCATACAAAATAGAACACAGTGTTTCCAAAAGATTTTCCCGAAAAAATCCATTGGGTTATTACGATTTCAACAATATTCTTAGTTTAAGACGTTTTGCTAGTATAAAACACAAATTAATAAAGAATTAATTCTTAGTTAAACAAAATATGCAAAATCATCTAAATATGTACCAAAAATATTCATTTAGTCGTTATAAAAACCGACCGAACAACTATTTCCCACAGAAATTATAGTCCAAACCAACCAAATCGCTTCTGAACGCTTAGAGTCGACATTGGCCTGAGCGCGCTCTGGTCTGTAGATCAAACAAGTTCTTAGGCGACGAGTTGTAGTGAAACAAGTTTTTTTATTGGCATCGACTATTTAAATTTGGCGCTTAAGGACTACAATGTCAATAAGGGTGGTTTTGCAAAATCAGCCTGTATGTCGCATCTATATTAATCTATGGTCTAACCAACCAATGTGATGATGTCATCTCCAATTTTTACAACAAACTAAAGAATTTTTTTAAATGTACATTGTGTATCAATATTCTGAAAACCCTTCTAATCGCGCTTAATAAACGTGTGCTAAATTTGCGAAAAGATTTATCTAACGACATATTTATGACGTTTGACATAAGGTATGTATGCAACCAACATTACACATTTGGACGAGGTAAACGTACTTCAACTACTAAACAAGATAATTCCGCTGATGAATATTTCTTATTTGTCTTTCAAAATGTTTTTAAAACGTCAGATTTCGAAAATCAGAGCAACAGCTCAGGTTGGACTTGGAAAAAAAATCCTCCATAACTAGTAAACAATGTTTTATATTCGAGTCAGAACGTGAGTAAAAATGTATTAATCAATTTGTTACAAATCATGATACGTTTCTTGTATTTAAACAGAAGGAGTAAAATGATCGAAATCATCTATACTTACAGATTTTAATTACTATAAAACACGTTTAAAGTTAAACACAAGAGAGTAACCATTATACAATAATAGTAATTTAATACATCTGAAAAACGAATGAACCTCGAAGCTGCGACTTACTTTTTGCCTAAAGCTTTCTGAGTTTGCGCCGTCTTCAACTTCGCCGCGGTCTCCTTTTCTGCAACGAAAGCCTCAATCTCTTTTAACCTCAAACACCGTAAATACCTTTCTGTTCGGCCTCCCTTCGCTTCTTCGCCTCTTCGCGCTGCTGCTTGATGATCGCTAATCTCGCCAGATCAGCCCTGGCTTGCTCCGTCTTGCCCTCCGCGTGCAGCTTCTGGTAGTGTGCTTGCGCCTTCTGTTTCTCGATTTCCTCGCGCTCCCGACGCGACAGCTGAGGTTTACCGTCTAATTCCGTATTTAAAGTGGACAACTTTTTGCTTTTCTTTTGTATCCTATTGGGGTTTTCGATTTCTATGAGGTTAGAAACGCCTTTCGCCTTCCTCTGAAAGAAACCGGTCAACACGAGTGCGACAAAGCCGCGCACGAACCTCGTCTTCGCTGGTGCTCTCCTCGTCGCTGCCGGACTCCTCCTCGCTTATTTTTTTGTCGCCGGAGGCCTCCTCTTCGCTGCTGCTGTCGTCGCCTTGTTGCTGCCTCCATTTCTTCTTCTGCTCTTCGCGTCTTCGCTCCTCCTCGAGCTCTTCGGGGTTTGTGAACCTTCGGTTGCGGCCTTTGTGGTTTGTGAATTTACCTTTAAACGAGGAATTGTTTAATTGAGGATGTTTTAATAATAGGTGTGACGCAGTTTTTGGCTGACATTTCTGGGCGGAGCTCACCTCGTGGCATGGTTAATTCGGGGGGTAATTTGCTAAATGAACACGGGACAAGTTGGTTTCAAAACTTAAATTTTGAAAGCTCTTTGTTGCAGACTTCTTTGAAACAAGTGCAATGCTTTTTTGTCAGGTCGAATGTCAATCGGGTCGTTGGCTGGACTGGCGAGCGCTGCCAACAGCACTGCGCGAAACAACCCAGACGGACACCTGCATTTAAAAAAAACTAAACCCACACAAGAAAAAAAATTGGTCCAAAGTTATTTCGGCAGAACTTCCCTCGCATGTGCAGTACTGTCCACCTGAACTGCTTCTGTGCAAAATTATAAAATTTGATTTAGCGGAATTTTACTTTTTGTAATAAAAAAAAGTTTCACGAGGACAGTTGGTACCCCCAAGAAGGTGTCACTATTTAAAAAAAAAGAGAGTTAGCCCCCCGAGAAGGTTTCACATTCAAAAAAAGACATCTGGCCCCCCGAGAAGGTTTTAAGGTCGATTGACGTTGAAAGTTGGCACGCCGTTGGGATGACGTCATGACGGTCGAGATGACCAATTTTTAACTTTCTCCGTTACGTTGCCGTTGACGTTGGGTTGTCAATGTCGACCAATCAAACTGCGGTCCGGTAGTGTGCAGTGCTGCCAACTTGAACTTACATTTTGGCCTTTTTTCTTAATATGTGCAGTCTTCTTTTCACAACAAGAAAAGTAAAACATGCTTAAAATGGTAAATTTTCGTAGGAAAGTATCGACTTTGTAATTAGGCTCCGCCCGTCGGTCTGACAACGAATCAAAAATTTGCCACAATTGAGCTGGGGATGGATGTGGGTGGGGCTTAATTTTTGGCTTGTTTTTTTCTTAATATACGTAGTATTCTTTGAACAACGCGATACTCAAAAACATATTTTTTATTTCTGTAGAAAAATAAGGATTTTGCAATTAAGCTCCACCCTCTTGACTCACGTCGTATAAAAAAATCATCACAATTGAGACAGGGCGGGTGGGCGGGGCTTACGTTTAGTCTTTTTTTTCTTATTATGTGTAGTCATCTTTTCACAACAAGAAACTTAAAACATGTTGAAATGGTAAATTTGTATGGGAAATACCGATTTTGCAATTACGCGCCGCCCCTCGGTCTCCAACAACGAATGAAACATTCATTACGATTGAGATCAAGACGGATGGGTGGGGCTCCCCTTCTGATTTTCTTTTCTAATTAATACACTTAGTTTTCTTTGTATAATGCCATTACTTACGAACATATTTCATATGGTAATTTGTCGTTGAAAAATAAGTATTTTGCAATTAAACTGTGCTCCTCGGCTTACGACGAATAAGAAAAAATCATCAGAATCGAGATAGGGTGGGTGGGCGGGGCTTATATACTTTTTGCCTTATTTTTAATATACATAGCCATCTTTCCACAACAAGAAACTTAAAACATGGTTAAAATGGTACATTTTTGCAAGACAATATGGATATTACAATTATGGGTCGGAGCCTAATTGCAAAATCGATGATTCCTTATACAAATTTTCCATTTTAAACATTTAAAGTTTCATGTTCTGAAAAGAAGTGTACACATATTAAAACGAAAGGCAAAATGTAAGCCCGCCCACCCACCCGATCTCGATTGTGATGAATTTTTTTTATTCGCCGCGAACCAAGGGGGCGGAGCTTAACTGCAAAATAATTATTTCTTTATCAGCAATTAACATGTTTTTGAATATCGTGTTGTTCAAATAATACTATGTTTAATACTATGTGTATTAAGAAAAAAAATTATACCCCGCCCACCCACCCCCTCTCAATTGTGATGATTTTTTTATTCTTACAAACTTAAAACACGTTAAAAATGGTCAATTTTTGTAAGGAAGAAACTTAAAACATGTTTAAAATGATAATTTTTTGTGGAAAAGTATCGAGTTTGTAATTAGGCTCCGCCTGTCGGTCTGACAACGAATAAAAAATTTGCCACAATTGAGCTGGGGATGGATGTGGGTGGGGCTTAATTTTTGGCTTGTTCTTTTCTTAATATACGTAGTATTCTTGGAACAACACGATACTCAAAAACATATTTTTTATTTCTGTAGAAAAATAAGGATTTTGCAATTAAGCTCCACCCTCTTGACTCACGTCGTATAAAAAAATCATCACAATTGAGACAGGGCGGGTGGGCGGGGCTTACGTTTAGTCTTTTTTTTCTTATTATGTGTAGTCATCTTTTCACAACAAGAAACTTAAAACATGTTGAAATGGTAAATTTGTATGGGAAATACCGATTTTGCAATTACGCGCCGCCCCTCGATTTCCGACAACGAATGAAAAATTCATCACGATTGAGTTAGAAACGGATGGGTGGGGCTTCCCTTTTGATTTTCTTTTTTAATTAATATACTTAGTTTTCTTTGTATAACGTCATTACTTACGAACAGATTTCACATGGCAATTTGTCGTTGAAAAATAAGTACTTTACAATTAAACTGTGCCCCTCGGCTTACGACGAATAAGAAAAAATCACCAGAATCGAGATAGGGTGGGTGGGCGGGGCTTATATATTTTTTGCCTTATTTTTAATATACATAGCCATCTTTTCACAACAAGAAACTTAAAACGTGGTTAAAATGGTACATTTTTGCAAGGACATATGGATATTCCAATTATGGGTCGGAGCCTAATTGCAAAATCGATAATTCCTTATACAAATTTTCCATTTTAAACATATTTTAAGTTTCATGTTCTGAAAAGAAGTGTACACATATTAAAACAAAAAGGCAAAATGTAAGCTCGCCCACCCGCCCTATCTCAATTGTGATGATTTTTTTTATTCGCCGCGAACCAAGGGGGCGGAGCTTAACTGCAAAATAATTATTTCTTTACCAGCAATTAACATGTTTTTGAATATCGTGTTGTTCAAATAATACTATGTTTAATACTATGTGTATTAAGAAAAATATATATATACCCCGCCCACCCACCCCCTCTCAATTGTGATGATTTTTTTATTCTTAGAAAGTTAAGACACGTTAAAAATGGTAAATTGTTGTGAGGAAATATGGATTCTACATTTAAGCTCCGCCCCTAGGTCTGGTAACGAGTGAAAACTTAATTACTATTTAGATCAGGGCAGATATGGGTGGGGCTTATATTTTGTGTTTTTTTTTAATATCCGTAGTCGTCTTTTCAGAACAAGAAACTTAAAACATGTTTAAAATGATAAATTCTTGTAGGAAAGTATCGAGTTTGTAATTAGGCTTCGCCTGTCGGTCTGACAACGAATCAAAAATTTGTCACAATTGAGCTGGGGATGGATATGGGTGGGGCTTAATTTTTGGCTTGTTTTTTGGTAATATACATAGTATTCTTTGAACAACACGATACTCATAAACATGTTTTTTATTTCTGTAGAAAAATAAGGATTTTGCAATTAAGCTCCGCCCTCTTGAGTCACGACGAATAAAAAAATCATCACAATTGAGACAGGGTGGGTGGGTGGGGCTTATGTTTAGTCCTGTTTTCTTATTATGTGTAGTCATCTTTTCACAACAAGAAACTTAAAACATGTTGAAATGGTAAATTTGTATGGGGAAATACTAATGAAAAATTCATCACGATTGAGATCGAGACGGATAGGTGGGGCTTCCCTTCTGATTTTCTTTTCTAATTAATACACTTAGTTTTCTTTGTACAACGCCATTACTTACGAACATAGTTCATATGGTAATTTGTCGTTGAAAAATAAGTATTTTACAATTAAACTGTGCCCCTCGGCTTACGATGAATAAGAAAAAATCATCAGAATCGAGACAGGGTGGGTGGGCGGGGCTTATATATATTTTGCCTTAGTTTTAATATACATAGCCATCTTTTCACAACAAGAAACTTAAAACGTGGTTAAAATGGTACATTTTTGCAAGGAAATATGGATATTCCAATTATGGGTCGGAGCCTAATTGCAAAATCGATAATTCCTTATACAAATTTTCCATTTTAAACATATTTTAAGTTTCATGTTCTGAAAACAAGTGTACACATATTAAAACAAAAAGGCAAAATGTAAGCCCGCCCACCCACCCGATCTCGATTGTAATGATTTTTTTTTATTCGCCACGAGCCAAGGGGCGGAGCTTAACTGCAAAATAATTATTTCTTTACCAGCAATTAACATGTTTTTGAACATTGTGTTGTTCAAATAATACCAAGTTTAATACTATGTGTATTAAGAAAAATATAATTATACCCCGCCCACCCACCCCAACTCAATTGTGATGATTTTTTCATTCTTAGAAACTTAAAACACGTTAAAAATGGTAAATTTTTGTGAGGAAATATGGATTCTACATTTAGGCTCCGCCCCTAGGTCTGGTAACGAGTGAAAACTTAATTACTATTTCGATCAGAGCAGGTATGGGTGGGGCTTATATTTTGCGTGTTTTCTTATTATCCGTAGTGGTCTTTTCAGAACAAGAAACTTAAAACATGTTTAAAATGATAATTTCTTGTGGAAAAGTATCGAGTTTGTAATTAGGCTCCGCCTGTCGGTCTGACAACGAATCAAAAATTTGCCACAATTGAGCTGGGGATGGATATGGGTGGGGCTTAATTTTTGGCTTGTTTTTTTCTTAATATACATAGTATTTGAACAACACGATACTCAAAAACATGTTTTTTATTTCTGTAGAAAAATAAGGATTTTGCAATTAAGCTCCGCCCTCTTGAGTCACGACGAATAAAAAAATCATCACAATTGAGATAGGGCGGGTGGGCGGGGCTTATGTTTAGCCCTTTTTTCTTATTATGTGTAGTTATCTTTTCACAACAAGAAACTTAAAACATGTTGAAATGGTAAATTTGTATGGGGAACTACCAATTTTGCAATTACGCGCCGCCTCTCGGTCTCCAACAACGAATGAAACATTCATCACGATTGAGATCAAGACGGATGGGTGGGGCTTCCCTTTTGATTTTCTTTTATAATTAATACACTTAGTTTTCTTTGTACAACGCCATTACTTACGAACATATTTCATATGGTAATTTGTCGTTGAAAAATAAGTATTTTGCAATTAAACTGTGCCCCTCGGCTTACGACGAATAAGAAAAAGCCATCAGAATCGAGATAGGGTGGGTGGGCGGGGCTTATATAGATTTTGCCTTAGTTTTAATATACATAGCCATCTTTTCACAACAAGAAACTTAAAATGTGATTAAAATGGTACATTTTTGCAAGGAAATATGGATATTCCAGTTATGGGTCGGAGCCTAATTGAAAAATCGATAATTCCTTATACAAATTTTCCATTTTAAACATTTTAAGTTTCATGTTCTGAAAAGAAGTGTACACATATTAAAACAAAAAGGCAAAATGTAGGCCCGCCCACCCGCCCTATCTCAATTGTGATGATTCATTTTTTATTCGCCGCGAACCAAGGGGGCGGAGCTTAACTGCAAATAATTATTTCGTTACCAACAATTAACATGTTTTTGAATATCGTGTTGTTCAAATAATACTATGTTAATACTATGTGTATTAAGAAAAAAAAATATAAACCCCGCCCACCCACCCCATCTCGATTGTGATGATTTTTTTATTCTTAGAAACCTAAGACACGTTAAAAATGATACAATTTTGTAAGGAAATATGGATTCTACGTTTAGGCTCCGCCCCTAGGTCTGGTAACGAATGAAAACTTAATTACTATTTCGATCAGAGTAGGTATGGGTGGGGCTTATATTTTGCGTTTTTTCTTAATATCCGTAGTCGTCTTTTCAGAACAAGAAACTTAAAACATGTTTAAAATGATAAATTTTTGTAGGAAAGTATCGAGTTTGTAATTAGGCTCCGCCTGTCGGTCTGACAACGAATCAAAAATTTGCCACTATTGAGCTGGGGATGGATATGGGTGGGGTTTAATTTTTGGCTTGTTTTTTTCTTAATATACATAGTATTTGAACAACACATGTTTTTTATTTCTGTAGAAAAATAAGGATTTTGCAATGAAGCTCCGCCCTCTTGAGTCACGTCGAATAAAAAAATCATCACAATTGAGATAGGGCGGGTGGGCGGGGCTTATGTTTAGCCTTTTTTTCTTATTATGTGTAGTCATCTTTTCACAACAAGAAACTTAAAACATGTTGAAATGGTAAATTTGTATGGGAAATACCGATTTTGCAATTACGCGCCGCCCCTCGGTCTCCGACAACGAATGAAAAATTCATCACGATTGAGATAGAAACGGATGGGTGGGGCTTCCCTTCTGATTTTCTTTTCTAATTAATACACTTAGTTTTCTTTGTATAATGCCATTACTTACGAACATATTTCATATGGTAATTTGTCGTTGAAAAATAAGTATTTTGCAATTAAACTGTGCTCCTCGGCTTACGACGAATAAGAAAAAATCATCAGAATCGAGATAGGGTGGGTGGGCCGGGCTTATATATTTTTTGCCTTATTTTTAATATACATAGCCATCTTTCCACAACAAGAAACTTAAAACATGGTTAAAATGGTACATTTTTGCAAGAAAATATGGATATTACAATTATGGGTCGGAGCCTAATTGCAAAATCGATGATTCCTTATACAAATTTTCCATTTTAAACATATTTCAAGTTTCATGTTCTGAAAAGAAGTGTACACATATTAAAACAAAAAGACAAAATTTAAGCCCGCCCACCCACCCGATCTCGATTGTGATGATTTTTTTTTATTCGCCGCGAACCAAGGGGGCGGAGCTCAACTGCAAAATAATTATTTCTTTACCAGCAATTAACATGTTTTTGAATATCGTGTTGTTCAAATAATACTATGTTTAATAAACTATATGTATTAAGAAAAAAATATATAGTCGTTTATATAGCTTTGACTGTACACTGTACCGTAATTTATCAGTTGTTATTGCTCACTAAATGTTACCTTTTTACTTCTTTTACTTAGTTTTTTATTCAACTAATACATCATAATACAGCATTAACAAACCGTTAAATTCTTTTTCTATAATGTCAACGCTAATAAAATAGAAAATTGATATTTTTATTAACACTCCCACTGCTCTCACGATATTTGTAAGGCCAAACCAAAATAATGTTCTGCGCACTCCCACCAGCTGTACCCTTTCGTTATGAAAGCTGCTCTAACAAAAATGATCACAATTGAGATAGGGCGGGTGGGCGGGGCTACATTTTGCCTCTTTTTTCTTAATATGTGTAGACCTATTTCGACAACAAGAAACTGAAAACATGTCTAAAATGGTAAATTTTTGTGGTAATCAACTTAAATTCTCCACTTTTCTTCTACAACCCCTTTAAATACGGTAAAAGTTGAACATCAAAGTTACTATCAACGGCAACTTGTTTATAAATGACAATTTTCAGCTCTTCAAGGTCAACAGTGTGGTGACCAAATTGAATTAAAATTTCGCGCTGAAAAAAAAAACAATGGAGCGAAATCGCATTTGAATAATTTGATTTTGAAAAAATTTTTCATCATTAAGAAAACCGTTAAACATAGGCAACCATGTGCAAGGTTAGTTCTTTTCTGGTAGTTGGTAGTTCTCCTAGGGAATTTCTGGGTGGTATCTACTGAGAGGGTTGGTAGAAGTTGGCCTGTTTGGTACAGGTGAAATAAAATCGTAACTGGTTGCGACGCCACAGTAACTAATTATTGCTGTTTTTCTAATCGGAAATATACGAATTTTCGATTAGGTAACACGTGGTATAAATTTGATTTATTGTTTGTAAATTCACAGTTCATGTTAGGATTTTAATCGTTACTGGTTCAAACACAATTTAACAGTCATGAGATTGTTCAGATAAAGCACTTGTCAGGAGATTTTATGTAATTCACTTAGTAAGGACTCATCCTTTGTGCATCAAGTTATAAATAACGTTTCTGGATGCTTATACTTCAGTGTTACATTATAACACTTGTTAATTCCTCACACAAGATTGCTAACAGTTCATTAATAGCGGTTAAATTAACCTAACATTGTCCCACTCTGGGAAAAAGGATCGTGGAAAGTGCAGTAGAATTTATAATAATATTAATAATATTTTGTGTTTATTTATCATGCGTTTGATTGGGATAAGCTTGGGACAGTCCCGATATAAACTCTCAAAGCTATTTTTTTAAGTAACGAGTCACTTGGAAAAAGTGTGGCATAATTTAACATCATGTAAATTCTTTGTTTGAATCGTTGATAAAGTGTGGCCATGTACATAATTTTGTTAGCTTTGTAATTTTTCACCTCATGCAATATTTCTCTATCTCACAATTTTATTGAACGTAACTTTTCATGCTGTGCAGTTATTATTACGTAATTTTTTGATCTGGACAAGTTTTACTTCACACCAGATCTTTTTTTGTTTTTAGAAATCTCTGCTAGTTATTTGTACCACGTAAATATTTTGTTGAGTAGTGCTTCCATCACATAAATTGTCTGATGTCCAATCTTATTCTCAAATAAGAACTCTTTGCTGTTTAAAATTTCACGAAAGAGTATGGCGAATTTAAATGTTGTTTATTGCTCTTTTTGAAACTTTAACACTTGTTCGATTGTAGTTTAATATCAGAGTTATAGAAATTGAACATTTAAATGGAACTGAGAACCAACACCGAAACACGTGGCGGAAGCGGAGTGCGCGGTTTCTTGTCGAGCTAACGGTTGCGCCATCTGCGCAAAAGACGTAGATCTTAAATAGAAGTCAGGGCAGCGGTCATTCAAAGCTAGGCAAGCTTTTTTTTGTAGCTGAGCACGAAGACGTCAACCTTCACAACTTGGTCGCAAGTTTTTTTTTGTCAGTGGAGGAATAAATGATTTTTTTTTCAAAAAAGAACAAACACAATGTAGGGTTCCGTATCAGTCAAGGCCAAATTTTTGAATTTTTGAAATTTTCGCGGGTTTTAAATTGTTCACATGTCAATTTAAGGCGGGATGTTTGGGTTATCACAATATTGTGAAAAGAAGTCTACACATATTAAAACAAAATGGCAAAATATAAGCCCGCCCACCCGCCCTATCTCAATTGTGATGACTTTTTTATTCGTCGTGATTCAAGAGGGCGGAGCTTAATTGCAAAATACTTATTTCTTCACGAGAAATTAAAAACATGTTTTTGAGTATCGTGATAGTATTCTTTGAACAACTTTCTCGTGGAAAAACACGGATTTTGCAGTTAAGCTCCGCCTTTTTGGCTCACGACGAATAAAAAAATCATTACAATTGAGACAGGGCGGGTGGGCGGGGCTACGTTTTGCCTTGTTTTCTTAACATATGTAGACTTATTTCGCCAACAAGAAACTTAAACATGTCTAAAATATGTAAATAACTCGAGTTTTTTGAAATAGATCAACTTTTTATTATTACAATAGCACAAAAACATCCCTAATCCTCATCCCAACCACTCAAATGTGCGACGTTATTCCCGACGGCGCTACTAACCATCTCCAAACTCAGCTTCCACAACACGTCCGCTAACTTGTTGTTTTTAGCAGCTTCACTTTCCTCACATCGAAAACAGTTATTAAAATAGACCCCCGTGACCCCGGTCAGTTCAAGAGCGGTGGCACAAAAAATCGTAGTACTGGCGGCTTGTTGCAGCGACTTAGTGAATGGTCGCACGATAAAAAAGAACACCCTGTATATCCACCAGTTCCTGGCCAGATTCGACGACACCATGTTTCCTGGGTGAAGACTGAACACAGAAATCCCTAGAGGTTGCAATTTTTTCGCCAGATGTCTTGCAAAGAGATTATTACACAATTTCGAGTTGTTGTAGGCCATCATGTCCCAGTACTTGGATTGAGATTCAGGGGAGAGAGTTTGTATGGAGATATTGTCAAGGTTTATGTTGGCATACCTGCAATTAAACGTCAATGACGTCACGTCAACATTTCATCTACTAACCTGTGCGACTCCGACGACACCACAACCACTCGGGCCCCCATCGCCAGCATCGGCTTAAGCAACAACGTCAAATAAAAGTGCCCCAAATGATTGACTTGAAACGTGGTCTCGAACCCATCCACTGTCTTACTGTACGGAAGCCCGAACACCCCCCCGTTCAAAATCAAGATATCGATCTGCTTATACATCGCTTTGACCTGACTCGCGAACATCCCCACACTCTCCAAGCACGCCAGATCCAAATAAACAGCAGCACAATTATCCCCAGCCACCTGCTTTTCTTCCCTTATTCGACTGATCGCCTCTGACGCAGCAATCAGGTTCCTGCACCCGAAAATAATGCTGCAGCCGTGCTTGGCCAGAGAGCGAGCGGTCTCGAACCCGATCCCCGAGTTGGCCCCCGTAATCAAGGCCACCTTTCCGTTCAGGTCTCTGCCGTGTAAAACCTGGAGGGCCGTGCTCGAAGCGTCGAATCTCTGCCTGTAGTCATTGGGGTGCTCCTTCTCTTCCACGGCGAAGGCCAGTCGGGGGTCGGTGTAGGTGGTGCGCCGGTTTTCGTGGTCCACGTAGATGACTTTGCCGGTGTTCTTGTCGATGCAGCGCTCCCAGCCGAAGGGGAGGTCCCCCGAGACGCGCTTTTTTTTACCCGTGCGGGGGTGGGTCCACTGGGTGGCTTTGGTGAGGTGGTTGGCGTAGAAGACGCTGCCGTCGACGGTGACGCGCTCCTCCCAGCCTGGGGGGAGCTCGTCTTCGCTGTCGGACTCGGGGAGATTCATTGGGTTAGGGTAATTGGTAAAATAAAGGGGTTAAATTGATTATAACATTGTTACTTAAAATATACGGGTTTTATGAGTGGAAAAACTTGAATACAGTAGAAAAGTGAGGTTAGGTTTAGAGTTACAAATAAACAATTAAATGTCATATGATGACATTTCATGGGCAGTGGCGGCGCCGAAATTTATTCGTCGGGGTGACACTGTTTCAAATCAATTTTTTTTAATTTGTTCCGAACTCGTCGATCTTCGGTAGGACGTGGTCATTGACCCAGTTGCTTATTATGGAGCTATATTTGGCTCTGTTTGCTTTAAGCCAATTTTACTATGTTTATTTCACTCCCACTCAAAAGTATGATACTCAGCGCGAGGTTAATTTTATAATTGACCCAAGGAAGCGTGAATGAGGATGGTTGTCTTGTTGTGCATTTTTTTTTGTTCATTTTGACGAACTAATTAGTACAGTAGCGGTCATTTCTACGGAACCACTCGATAAAAAGTCAAGTTGGTAGCCCTGTCATCTAGTACTTTACGCCGAACGCAGTTGGTAGCGGTAGTTGACATGGCAATCGAAATTAGCACAACACGAATGTTTCGGTTGCCCTCAGCTATGCCGCACTGTATCCCATGCAGACTGTATGTTCTGTTCATCTATTTATTAAAATAAAATATCTACATTGACAATAGGGCCATCTAACCTGTCAAATTTTTGACACATATGTTTTCCCCCAGAAACCCGTCAAGGTCACTTACACCAAACAAATTTTGAAAATTTACACTAGGGAGTGGTTCTATAGAAAAGATCGCGACTTTACGTGTTCATAGTCCTAGACCAAAAATTTCGAAAAATTTGGTTCTAAAATGAACTTTTTTAATTATTTAATCTCGAAGCTCGAAAACGGTGGAAAAATCTGCAGGTTTACAGAAAAATTGAAAGTTTTGGAAAAGTTGCATAAAACATGATAAGACTGATTTTGGCTAATGACATACCCTCTAAGAAAAGAGAGGGTGGGTGGGCGGGGCTGGTACCTGCTAAGATAAGAGTGATTTTGGCAGACGAGATCCTTCTAAGAAAAGAGAGGGCGGGTGGGTGGGGCTAGTACTTGCCAAAATAAGATCGATTTTGGCAAATGATATACCTGCTAAGAAAAGAGAGGGTGGGTTTCAAAAATTTCGAAAATTGCCATTAATCATTTTATGGAATAGTGAAAAATGGTTGGAATTTTTGGAAAAATGAAGCCGAAAATAATTTCCACTAGTCGAAATCTACAAATTGTCATTCGGTAATTTTCAAAGGATGCTTGAAATTCTGTCAAAAAATACATGGTGGAGATAATGAAAAGTCGAAATTTTTGAAAAGTTGCCTAAAAATTCTGAAAAAATTCTGGGAAATGCATTTCAACAAGCTAAATCGAAAAATATTACGGTTTATGGTCCAGGACCAAAAATTTCGAAAAATTTACTGATTTTTTTTTAATTTGCCTAAAAGTTATCAAAAAACTCTGGAAATGACATGACTGTTCATGGTCGCGCACCAAGATTTTCGAAAAAATCGGTTTGACAATGATTTTTTTTTAAATACATATTTCGAAAATCGTCATTATTCATTTTATCGATTTTGAAAAAATGGTTGTAATTTTCGAAAAAATGAAGCGGAAAATAATTTCTACTAGTCGAAACATACAAGAAAATGTCGTTCCATAATTTTCGAAAGATCCTTGAAAACTGTCAAAAATACTGAAACAAAAATTTCAGAAATTTCGGCTTTTTGAAAAATTGCCAAAAAATCCTCAAAAAATTCTGAGAAGTATATTCCAACGAGCTGATTCGCAAAACAAAACTTGTTGATGGTTCTAGAACAAAAGTTTCGAAAAATTCGGCTTGAAAATGAATTTTTTTAAGTATCTAATACCAAAAACTGAAGAAATTGTCAAAAAGTCATACAGGTATATTGTAATTTTTGGAAAAGCTGGCTAAAAATTATCAAAAAACCCTGGAAATGACAGTTCATGATCCCGTACCAAGATTTTCGAACAAATCGATTTGGAAATATTTTTTTTTACATACATATTTCCAAAATCGTCATTATTCATTTTATCGATTTTGAAAAAATGGTTGTAATTTTCGAAAAAATGAAGCCGAAAATATTTCTACTTATCGAAATATACAAGAAAATGTCGTTCGATAATTTTCGAAGGATGCTTGAAAACTGTCAAAAAATTTATACGGGGGATACTGAAACAAAAATTTCAGAAATTTCGGTTTTTTGAAAAACTGCCAAAAAATCCTCAAAAAATTGTGAGAAATATATTTCGACGAGCTAATTCGCACAACATAACTTGTTGATGGTTCTGCACCAAAAGTTTCGAAAAGTTCGACTTGAAAATGATTTTTTTTAAGTAACTAATGCCAAAAACTGAAGAAACTGTCAAAAAATCATACAGGTATATCGAAATTTTTGGAAAAGTTGGTTAAAAATTATCAGAAAACCCTGGAAATGACAGTTCATGATTTCGTACCAAGATTTTCGAACAAATCGATTTGAAAATGATTTTTTTCACATACATATTTCGAAAATCGTCATTTGTCATTTTATCGATTTTGAAAAAATGGTTGTAATTTTCGAAAAAATGAAGTCGAAAATAATTTCTATTAATCGAAATCTACAAGAAAATTTTATTCGGTAATTATTAATATTTTACCAATTGACTTCAAGGACGAGCCGCCACTGCCAACCACTGTGATTCACCGACATCCATAAACGATTATACACGTGCCCAGTGTAATTCATAGCAGTATTACCGATAACCTGCTATTAAAATTATCAACACATTTTAAAGGTTAAAGCAATAATCTTGAAACTAAAACACATTGCACCAGAAACCGTAACTTTCAAGTTCAGTAGTGAAACAGCTGAAATAGCTTCATTTAGAATAAATTGGTTTAATATATTTTTAGTTTTTTGACTTTTGTTCGGGCTAAAACAAAGGGTGATAATCCAGTTACCGCACTAGTGTGCTGGTGAAAATCATTACCCAACTCACGAGTGAAATCTCAACAATATTATGCAACTATTAAGGTCGCGTTGACTATGGGTGTGATCTCCGTTTACTTTTATAATAATAACACGCAGTTGCATTTCATATTTGCGTTATCTAAAGGTCAACATTCCAGACTGACAAATTTTGCCGTTGCTATAAAATGGTGATTGAACAAAAATTTAGTGGATTATTGCACTCACATGTCACATGATGTCAACTGACCAATCAAACGCGTCAATATTTGTAAATTCAACCAATCAGCATACAATTACGTGATAATTGCACACTGTGCAATTACCACTACCGATAATTATCACTAGCCAGATGTGCCAACTATAAGATAAGCAAGTACCAGTTAATTGCAAAAAAAAACAAGAGGTTACTAACCAAATATTTAATTATGAAACTAAGAATTGTAATTAATTATGGTACAGTTGTAGTAATTTACAGGGGTTTGTGTGCTTGGTGAAGTAGTAACTATATTTTTAGACATTTGTACCAAAGCAGACGGTGCGCAATTTGTGGATTTGTTATTAGACTCTTCCATAGCCGTTGAGTTGGCGCGTAATTTGTCAATCATTTGATAATGATGATCTCCATCGAGCTGAAGGTATGGTTTGATGGAGAAAGTATTGGCATGACCGGTAATCTTTATAAGCTGTTCTTCACCGACTCCCGCTTTTGCAAGTTGCGACACTGCAGTTGACCGTAATGAATGATTACTAATCTTCTTTTTCTTTATGTCGATGCCTATTTCTTCTGCGGCGGTTCTTGTCCATTTCCCCATTTCATTCCTTCCAACGGGTGAATTTTTGAACCATCCTACAGAACTAGGTTCTCTCCATGCAGGATTTGGCGTTAAAAATAAACGATCGGTGGTTATATGTTTACCTCTCTTGCTCAGCATTTTTTTGTAGAGCCTTAAATAATAAAATAATTATTATTTTGTATTTGAAACAGTATTTAATTACCTAACAGGGCAAATTCTAGGATCTGTGGTGTTTGTTGCAAGCCATTTGCTGTCTGTTAATTTATGGCTACCTCCTTGAGCTGTTTTGGAAAAAATACAATTGTATTCTATTCGCCCCGTAGGCAAACCACAATTATCACTTTCTTCCTTAAAATGTTTGATAGTAACGTTAACACCTTCACATCCCCTCCAAGCTAATTCTAATCCAGCCACATAAAAAAACATTTTCTGTAAACCATCTGGCGTGTCTTCGTTATAAATCTTTAGAATCTTGTTGTATTCTTCTAGAGTCAAAATTGAGGAACTAGTTTTGCGTTTTTCCGGTTGTATTTGTAGGTTCCGGCGTTTTGCGTCGCGTGCATTTCTACTACCCTTGAATTCCAGGTCAACAAAAGGATCAAACTTTATACCAAATTTATTGAAATACAGTTCTTGCAACTGCTTTGCCGTTACATTCCACATCGTTTTTATTACTGCTTCTTTGTAGTCATTACCATCGACTTTTTTCATATTGTACCCCCAATCTTTGAGGATGAATGCTAGTTTTTCCGTGGAAGTGTTTCCATCAAAAACATATTTGCGTTCACCGCAAAACTTCTCAAATTGCCTCCAGATTGAATTTCGTGAGTTCTTCGTATTTAGCGGCGTAATGTTTGTAATAGAATCATCAATTTCTTTTGGCGTGTTACGACCAAAACGAAAATTGGACATGGTTTTTTAAACCCACACAAATTTTGCAAAATGGCTGTTCTTATTTACTTGCGTCGCCATAGTATCGCACACCAAACTACTTCGTAAATCATTATAAAATTATTTTTAAAATGTTTGTTCTTGCAATAATCTGTTGAATATATTGCGTGCATCACAATGAAATCGATAATTTTGAACAACAATAATCTCTCATGCTTGTTGCCTAAGAAAAATGCACTCGTGCTAAAGCACTCGTGCGTTTTCAATGCAACAAGCATTCGAGTTATTGTTGCTCAAAATTATCGATAACATTGCGATGCACTTAATATATTATAACTGATTATTTTGACAAGTTCGCCAACATGTTAAGGAAAAATCTGCAAAATCAATAAACCTATCTTTCTTACCTTATCAGTATTTATATTAATACTGCGTCAGTCTCGCTCACCCACTTCTTCAATATGTGTGAAAATCAAACCTACAATCAAACCCCTAAAAATGAAGAAAACATAAACGATGAAGACAGTCCAAAACGAAGAAAAACGTAAGTAACCCTTTAGTACACACTCAAATCACCTCAATCTTCCCACAGCGACCCCAAATGGACAATCTTCCAACACAACGGCCCTTTATTCCCCCCACCATACGAACCCCTCCCTGACCACATACCCTTCAAATACAACAAAATAACAAGAACATTGTCACCACAAGCCGAAGAAGCGGCAACTTTCTACGCCAAAATCACCAATAAAAGACTCCTTAAAGACGACACCTTCAACAGTAATTTCTTCAAAGACTGGCGAAACGTCATGACCGAAGAAGAAAAACTGACAATAACGGACTTCAGCAAGTGCATCTTTCGCCACGTGCGCAACTATTTCAAGGACAAGAGAAAAGAAGATGCCTCTGAACACAGGAAGAAACAAATCGAAGAACAGAACGACTTTTTTAAAGAACACTACGGATTTTGTGTCGTGGATGGAGTGTCCCACGAGATTGAAAATTATAAAATAGATAGTGGGATTTTCGTGGGGCGTGGTGACCATCCGAACACCGGAAGGATCAAACGAAGAATACAACCTGAAGATGTTGTGGTCAACTGTAGTGAGGATGGAATCCCGAAAGCTCCTGAAGGACACTGTTGGAAGAAGGTGGTTCATGACAATACCAGCACGTGGTTGGCGAAGTGGAAAGATGATGTTCTTGGTGAAGATAAGTACGTGCAGTTGAAGGCTAGTGCGACGTTGAAGATGGAAGAAGATAAACGCAAGTACGAAACGGCGAAAGAGTTGAACTTGAAGATCGTTGAGATACGGAAAGAATATTGGGAAAATATGTTCTGTGACGATGTCTCAGTTAAGCAAAGAGCAGTTGCTTTATACTTCATTGACAACTTTGTGTTTTCGACTGGCAATGACAAGAATGGAGATAAAAAAGCGGACACTGTAGGGACTTGCTCTTTGCGTGTGGAACATGTTCAATTACAAGAAAAAGGTCACATTGTTGTGTTCAATTTCTTGGCGAATTCTTCAATTCGTTACTACAACGAAGTCCCAGTTGAAGAACAAGTGTTCAAAAGTCTACAACTTTTCCAAGAGGACAAATCTCCGGACGACAGACTCTTCGACGTTTTGACACCACAGGACCTCAACTGCTATCTCAAGAAACAGATGCCAAATCTCACAGTCAGAGTTATTCGAACCTACAACGCCTCATACATTTTTGAAAAATTTCTTTACTTGTTCACAGCCCCCAAAAACTATTTAGATGAAAAAATCAGATTCCATAGATGTGCCAATTGCGTCGTTGCTCTTCTGCTAAACCATCGAGCAACTCAAGAGAGCGAATTTAAAAAAGAAACGATCTTGATGGCGAAGCAAGATATTCATTATATAGTCGCACTAATGAAAAGAGGCGAAGTTTTCAATAAGGACGACTCTAGAATAAGAAGGTTATTTCAAAATTTGAAACGGCTGCTTTTCAAAGACACAGAAATTCGTTTGGAAACTTCAAGATTGAACTATTTGGACCCCCGGATTACCGTTGCTTGGTGTAAGAAGTATGGTGTCCCAATTGGACGGATTTACACTAAGTCAGAAGAAATGAAGAAGTTTAAGTGGGCTATTGAGCTGGGGGATCAAGAGTATTGTTTTAGTGGCGAAAATGTATTACCCGATCAAGAATGAGTGTGACTGACATAGAACGACATTGTATTATTTATTACATTAAACTTATATTTAAGTAAGCGTATAAACTGTGACTGTCCTGGGTAGCTTATTATCACATCGACACACCATAGTCTGTGACGTCAGCACTATTATGTTCCTACTCGCTATTTATAACCCCACTCTTTTTTAATCATGTCTGACGCCTTTTCTCCGATCATCATGATGACCGCGTTGGTGTGCCCGGCCACCACGTTGGGCATTACGGACCCGTCCACCACCCTCAGTCCCCTGATACCATGGACCTTCAGCTCTGGGTCCACCACTGAGTCCGGGTCTGTCTTGGGGCCCATTTTGCAGGTGCCTACTTGATGACCCAAGGTGGTCGCGACGTGGCGGACCGCGCAAGACCAGTACTTGTCGCTGTTGAAGGGGGTGTTTTCGCAGCCCGGAAACGGGATCGGGTTAGGGGTGGCGTTGTATTTCTTGAAGTGTTCGGATTGGCTGATGGAAATTGCCTACAAAAAAATTAGTCGCTGTTATACAATTGTAATCTGTTTCCCGCTTCTGTCTGTCTGTCTGCCGTCCCGAATTTTTGTTTTAGTTGTCAAATTTTGTATTGTAGATGGTAAAACCCTAACCAAAATATATTTACTTATCCGCCAATTGATGACGTCAGCTCAAAATTTGGATGGCTGGGGCTTCTGGTTTGGTTTTTATTTTAATTAATACATTTAGTTTTCTTTGTATAACACGATTACTTAAGAACATATTTCACGTGGTAATTTCTCATAAAAAAGGATTTTACAATTAAGCTCCGCCCCTCGGCTTACGACGAATACAAAAAATCATCAGAATTGAGATAGGGCGGCTGGGCGGGGCTTATATTTTGCCTTTGAAACTTAAAATATGGTTAAAATGCTATATTTTTACAAGGAAATATTTATTTTACAATTATGGGGCGGAGTCTAATTCCAAAATTGATATATCCTTATACAAATTTACCATTTTAAACACATTTTAAGTTTCATGTTGTGAAAAGAAGTCTACATATATTAAAACAAAAAGGCAAAATGAAAGCCCGCCCGCCCGCCCTGTCTCAATTGTGACGATTTTTTTATTTGCCGTGAACCAATTTGGAAGATCGAAAAACGGTCAAAAATTCATAGGTTTATGGAAAATTGGAGCATTTTGAAAAGTTGCCTAAAAATCCTCAAAAAATTCTGAGAAATGCATTTCCACGAACTGATTCGCAAAACATAACGTGTTGGGGGTTCTGGATCAAAAGATTAGAAACATACGATTTGAAAATGAAATATTTTAAATATGTAATCTCATAAGCTCAAAAAACGGAAAAAAAATCGCAGATTTACTGAACAATTGATATTTTTGAAAAGTTTCTTAAAAATGGCGAAAAAAATCTGGGAATTACATTTCAAAGAGCTGATTCGAAAAATATGACGTGTGATGGTCCCAGACCAAGATTTTCGAAAAAATCGGTTTGAAACGGAGATTTTTTTACAAAAATTGTCATTATTCATTTTACGGAAAAGGGAAAAATGGTTGGAATTTTCGAAAAAAGGAAGCCGAAAATAATTTCCACTAGTCGAAACCTACAAGAAAATATTATTCAGTAATTTTCAAAAGATGCGTGACAAACTGTCGAAAAATTTATATGGGTGATAATGAAAAGTAGAAATTTTTGGAAAGTTAGCTAAAAATTCTCAAAAGATTATGGGAAATGCATTTCGACAAGCTAATTCCAGGACCAAAAATTTGGAAAAATACGGTTTGAAAATGAAATTTTTAAGTATCTAATCTTGAAAATTGAAAAAACGGTTTAAAAAATCATACAGGTATACTGATATTTTTGTACATATATATTTCGAAAATCATCATTGTTCATTTTACGGATTCTGAAAAAATGGTTGGAATTTTCGAAAAAATTAAGTCGAAAATAATTTCCACTGGTCAAAATCTACAAGAAAATGTCGTTCGGTAATTTTCGCAGGATGCTTGAAAACTATCAAAAAATTTATACGGAGAATAATGAAAAGTTGAAATTTTTGAAAATTTATCTAGAAATCCTCAAAAGATTCTGAGAAATACATTTCGACGAATGATTCGCAAAACAACGTATCCTGGAGCAAAAATTTCAGAAATTTCGGATTTTTGAAAACTTGCCTAAAAATCATCAAAAAATTCTGAGAAATATATTTCGACGAGATGATTTGCAAAACAAAACTTGTTGATGGTAATCTGGATCAAAAGTTTCGAAAAATTCGGCTTGAAAATAATTTTTTTAAGTATCTAATACCGAAAAGCGGAGAAACTCTCAAAAATCATACAGGTATATTAAAATTTTTGGAAAAGTTGCCTAACAATTATCAAAAAACTCTAGAAATGACAGTTCATGATCCCGTCCCAAGATTTTCGAAAAATTCGATTTGAAAATGGTTTTTGCTTTACATACGTATTTGGAAAATCGTCATTATTCATTTTATCGATTCTGAAGAAATGGTTGTCCTTTTCAAAAAAATGAAGCCGAAAATATTTCTACTAATTTTTTTGGAAAGTTAACTTTTATTTACTTTTATGTTTATATTTAATTTTTATGTCCTGGATCTTTTTGTTTCACTATTAATTGTATGTATCTTAAGGGGTATCCCGTTGAATAAATAAATAAATAAATAAATATATAAATAAATAAATAAATAAATATATAAATAAATAAATAAATAAATAATCGAAATCTACAAGAAAATGTCATTCGGTCATTTTCCAAACATGCTTGGAAAACTGTCAAAAAATTTATACGGGGGATAATGAGAAATAGAAATTTTTGAAAGGTTATCTAGAAATCCTCAAAAAATTCTGGGAGATACATTTCGACGAATGATTCGCAAAGCATAACGTATTGAGAGTCCTGGAGCAAAAATTTCGGAAAATTCGGTTTGAAAATGAAATTTTGTAAATATTCAATATGGGAAGCTCGAAAAAAGATCAAAAAATTCATACACATCTGCCGAAATATTCAGATTTTTGAAAAGTTGCCTAAAAATCCTCAAAAATTTCTGAGAAATATATTCCGACGAATGATTTTCAAAGCATAACGTATTGGGGGTCCTGGAGCAATAATTTCGGAAAATTCGGTTTAAAAATTAGTTTTTTTTAGTATCTAATCTCGAAAACTGAAAAAACGGTCGAAAAAATCATAAGGTATATTGATATTTTTGTAAAGTTGCCTAAAAACGATAAAAAAATGACAGTTCTTCGTCCCGTACCAAAATTTTCGAAAAAATCTGTTTGAAAATAATTTTTCTTTTACATACATATTTCGAAAATCGTCATGGTTCTTTTTATGGATTCTGAAAAAATGGTTGGAATTTTCGAAAAAATAAAGCCGAAAATAATGTCTCCTAGTCAAAATCTACAAGAAAATGTAATTCGGTAATTTTTGATGGATGCTTGAGAACTGTCGAAAAATTTATTCGGGGGATAATGAAAAGTAGAAATTTTTTAAAAGTTATCTAAAAATCCTCAAAAAAATTTGGGAAATGCATTTCGACGAATGATTCCCAGAACATAACGTGTTTCGAAATTTACCATTATTCATTTTACGGATTCTGGAAAATACTAGTCGAAATGTACAAGAAAGTGCCATTCGGTAATTTTTGAAAGATGCCTGAAATATTCTCAAAAAATATATATATATATATTAGCATTAGTGAAAATAGGAATTTTTGAAAAGTTATCCCAAAATCCTCAAAAAATTTTGGAAAATACATTTCGGCTAATGATTCTTACAACATAACGTGTTCAGGGCCTGGAGCAAAAATTTCGAAAAAATCGGTTTAAAAATGATTTTTTTTTAAATATTATTTTGGAAAGCTCGAAAAACGGTCAAAAAGATCATAGAGGTTTACTGAAACATTGGCAAAGCGGAAAATAATTTCTACTAGTAGAAATCTACAAGAAAGCGTCATTCGGTAGTTTTTGAAGGATGCCTGAAAATTTGTCGAAAGAATTATACTTAACGAAAATAAAATTTTTGAAAAGTAATGCAAAATCCCCAAAAAATTTTGAAAAATACATTTCCACAACTTGATTCGTAAAACATAACGTGTTGAGTGTTCTGGACCAAAAGTTTCGAAAAATTCTCGAAAGCTCAAAAAACGACCCAAAAAATCATGCAGGTTTGTAGAAATTTTTGAAGATTCGGCTAAAAATCATCAAAAAATTCCGAGAGTTGCATTTCATGGTCCCCGACCAAGATTTGAATGAGATTTTTTGAAATACACATACAGAATACAGAAATCAAGCCGAAGGGTTCTCTAAATTTAAATTTTATAATTAACGAAATAAAAAACGATACTTTTACCACTCCATCTGTTCGGTAAACGCAGTATATCATCTCCGGCTTTTTGCCTGTACTTATCGAGTTATTAATACAAACTTGAAAATTATCAAAATTACTCCTAGTAAAAAATTTCCTATTAAGTGATTTAATTTGATAGTTTTCAGAAACTTGCCTAGTTTCTTCACATATTCGACCATAATTACTGGGTTAACCTTATTTTAATATGTATGAGTTTTTTATTTATGCAGAAATTTGAAAAAATATTTTACCAATTGACTTCAAGGACGAGCCGCCACTGCCAACCACTGTGATTCACCGACATCCATAAACGATTATACACGTGCCCAGTGTAATTCATAGCAGTATTACCGATAACCTGCTATTAAAATTATCAACGCATTTTAAAGGTTAAAGCAATAATCTTGAAACTAAAACACAGTGCACCAGAAACCGTAACTTTCAAGTTCAGTAGTGAAATAGCTGAAATAGCTTCATTTAGAATAAATTGGTTTAATATATTTTTAGTTTTTTGACTTTTGTTGAGCTAAAACAGAGGGTGATAATCCAGTTACCGCACTAGTGTGCTAGTGAAAATCATTACCCAACTCACGAGTGAAATCTCAACAATATTATGCAACTATCAAGGTCGTGTTGTCTATGGGTGTGATCTCCGTTTACTTTTATAATAATAACACGCAGTTGCATTTCATATTTGCGTTATCCAAAGGTCAACATTCCAGACTGACAAATTTTGCCTTTGCTATAAAATGGTGATTGAACAAAAATTTAGTGGATTATTTTGTCAAGTTCGCCAACATGTTAAGGAAAAATCTGCAAAATCAATAAACCTATCTTTCTTACCTTATCAGTATTTATATTAATACTGCGTCAGTCTCGTTCACCCACTTCTTCAATATGTGTGAAAATCAAACCTACAATCAAACCCCTAAAAATGAAGAAAACATAAACGATCAAGACAGTCCAAAACGAAGAAAAACGTAAGTAACCCTTTAGTACACACTCAAATCACCTCAATCTTCTCACAGCGGCCCCAAATGGACAATCTTCCAACACAACGGCCCTTTATTCCCCCCACCATACGAACCCCTCCCTGACCACATACCCTTCAAATACAACAAAATAACAAGAACATTGTCACCACAAGCCGAAGAAGCGGCAACTTTTTACGCCAAAATCACCAATAAAAGACTCCTTAAAGACGACACCTTCATCAGTAATTTCTTCAAAGACTGGCGAAAGGTCATGACCGAAGAAGAAAAACTGACAATAACGGACTTCAGCAAGTGCGACTTTCGCTACGTGCGCAACTATTTCAAGCACAAGAGAAAAGAAGAGGCCTTTGAACACCGGAAGAAACAAATCGAAGAACAGAACGCCTTTTTTAAAGAACACTACGGATTTTGTGTCGTGGATGGGGTGTCCCAAGAGATTGAAAATTATAAAATAGATAGTGGGATTTTCGAGGGGCGTCGTTACCATCCGAACACCGGAAGGATCAAACGAAGAATACAACCTGAAGATGTTGTGGTCAATTGTAGTGAGGATGGAATCCCGGAAGCTCCTGAAGGACACTGTTGGAAGAAGGTGGTTCATGACAATACCAGCACGTGGTTGGCGAAGTGGAAAGATGACGTTCTTGGTGAAGATAAGTACGTGCAGTTGAAGGCTAGTGCGACGTTGAAGATGGAAGAAGATAAACGCAAGTACGAAACGGCGAAAGAGTTGAACTTGAAGATCGTTGAGATACGGAAAGAATATTGGGAAAATATGTTCTGTGACGATGTCTCAGTTAAACAAAGAGCAGTTGCTTTATACTTCATTGACAACTTTTTGTTTTCGACTGGCAATGACAAGAATGGAGATAAAAAAGCGGACACTGTAGGAACTTGCTCTTTGCGTGTGGAACATGTTCAATTACAAGAAAAAGGTCACATTGTTGTGTTCAATTTCTTGGCGAACTCCTCAATTCGCTACTACAATGAACTCCCAGTTGAAGAACAAGTGTTCAAAAATCTACAACTCTTCCAAGAAGACAAATCTCCGGACGACAGACTCTTCGACGTTTTGACACCACAGGACCTCAACTGCTATCTCAACAAACAGATGCCAAATCTCACAGTCAGAGTTATTCGAACCTACAGCGCCTCATACATTTTTGAAAAATTTCTTTACTTGTTCACTGATCCCAATAACTACTTAGATGAAAAAATCAGATTCCATAGATGTGCCAATGGTGTCGTTGCTCTTCTGCTGAACCATCGAACAACTGAAGAGAGCGAATTTAAAAAAGAAACGATCTTGATGGCGAAGCAAGATATTCATTATATAGTCGCACTAATGAAAAGAGGCGAAGTTTTCAATAAGGACGACTCTAGAATAAGAAGGTTATTTCAAAATTTGAAACGGCTGCTTTTCAAAGACACAGAAATTCGTTTGGAAACTTCAAGATTGGACTATTTGGACCCCCGAATTACCGTTGCTTGGTGTAAGAAGTATGGTGTCCCAATTGGACGGATTTACACTAAGTCAGAAGAAATGAAGAAGTTTAAGTGGGCTATTGAGCTGGGGGATCAAGAGTATTGTTTTAGTGGCGAAAATGTATTACCCGATCAAGAATGAGTGTGACTGACATAGAACAACATTGTATTATTTATTACATTAAACTTATATTTAAGTAAGCGTATAAACTGTGACTGTCTCTGGGTAGCTTATTATCACATCGACACACCATAGTCTGTGACGTCAGCATTATTATGTTCCTACTCGCTATTTACAACCCCACTCTTTTTTAATCATGTCTGACGCCTTTTCTCCGATCATCATGATGACCGCGTTGGTGTGCCCGGCCACAACGTTGGGCATTACGGACCCGTCCACCACTCTCAGTCCCCTGATACCATGGACCTTCAGCTCTGGGTCCACCACTGAGTCCGGGTCTGTGTTGGGGCCCATTTTGCAGGTGCCTACTTGATGACCCAAGGTGGTCGCGACTTGGCGGACCGCGCAAGACCAGTACTTGTCGCTGTTGAAGGGGGTGTTTTCACAGCCCGGAAACGGGATCGGGTTTGGGGTGGCGTTGTATTTCTTGAAGTGTTCGGATTGGCTGATGGAAATTGCCTATAAAAAAATTAGTCGCTGTTATACAATTGTAATCTCTGTTTCCCGCTTCCGTCTGTCTGTCTGCCGTCCCGAATTTTTGTTTTAGTTGTCAAATTTTGTATTGTAGATGGTAAAACGCTAACCAAAATATATTTACTTATCCCCCAATTGATGGGTGGGGCTTCTCTTTTGGTTTTCTTTTTTAATTCATACATTTAGTTTTCTTTGTGTACCACGATTACTTAAGAATTTTTCACGTGGTAATTTCTCGTAGAAAAATAAGTATTTTACAATTAAGTTCCGCCCCTCGGCTTACGACGAATACAAAAAATCATCAGAATAGAGATAGGGCGGGTGGGCGGGGCTCATATTTTGCCTTAGAAACTTAAAATATGGTTAAAATGATACATTTTTGAAAGGAAATATTTATTTTACAATTATGGGGCGGAGCCTAATTGCAAAATCGAAATTTTCTTATACAAATGTACCAAACGCATTTTAAGTTTCACTTGTGAAAAGGAGTCTACATATATTAAAACAAAAAGGCAAAATGAAAGCCCGCCCACCCGCCCTGTCTCAATTGTGATGATATTTTTTATTCGCAGTTAACCAAAGGGGTGGAGCTTAACTGCAAAATGCTTATTTCTTTACAAAAAATTAAAAACATGTTTTTGAGTATCGTGTTCTTCAAAGAATATTATGAATATTAAGAACAAAAATTAACCCCGCCCACCCACCCCTTCTCAATTGTGATGAATTTTTTATTCTTAGAAACTTAAAACACGTTCAAAATGGCAAATTTTTGTAAGAAAAATGGATTTTGCGATTAGGCTCAGCCCCTAGGTTTGACAACGAATGAAAAATTCATCACATTTGCGACAGGGCGGGTGGGCGGGGCTTTTGTTTTGCTTTTTCTTCGTAATGTGCCTAGTTTTCTTTTCACAATAAGAAACTTAAAACCTGTCTTGTAGACAAATGTGGATCTGGCAATTAAGCTCCGCCCCTCGATCTGACAACGAATGAAAAATTTATCACAATTGAGAACTGAGATCAGGGCGGGTATGGGTGGGGCGTAATCTTTGGCTTTATGTTTTTCTTACTGTACATAGTATTCTTTGGAGAACACGGTAATCAAAAACATGTTTTTAATTTTTCCTGGAGAAATGAGGATTTTGCAGTTAAGCTCCGCCCTCTTGACTCACGATGAATAAAAAAAATCATCAGAATTGAGATAGGGCGGGTGGGCGGGGCTTATATTATGCCTTTTTTCTTAATATGCATAGCCATCTTTTCACAACAAGAAACTTAAAACACGGTTAAAATGGTACATTTTTGCAAGGAAATATTTATTTTACAATTATGGGGCTAAGCTTAATTGCAAAATCGATATTTTCTTATATAAATTAACCATTTTAAACATATTTTAAGATTCATGTTGTGAAAAGAAGTCTACACATATTAAGAAAACAAGGCAAAATGTAGCCCCGCCCACCCGCCCTATCTCAATTGTGATGATTTTTTTTATTCGCCGTGAACCAAGAGGGCGGAGCTTAACTGCAAAGTATTTTTTCTTTACAAGAAATTAAAAACATGTTTTTGAGTATGTTGTTCAAAGAATACAATGTATATTAAGAAATAAAGACAAAATATTAACCGCGCCCACCCACCCTGTCTCAATTGTAATGAATTTTTTATACTTAGAAACTTACAACACGTTTGAAATGGTAATTTTTGTAAGAAAAAATGGCTTTTGCGATTAGGCTCAGCCCCTAGGTTTGACGACGAATGAAAAATTAATCACATCTGAGACAGGGCAGGTGGGCGGGACTTTAATTTTGCCTTTTCTTCGTAATCTACCTAGTTTTCTTTGAAACTTAAAACATGTTTGAAATGATAAATTCTTGTAGACAAATATGAATCTTGCAATTAAGCCCCGCCCCTCGATCTGACAACGAATGAAAAATTTATCACAATTGAGAATTGAGATTGAGGCGGGTATGGGTGGGGCCTAATCTTTGGCTGTATTTTTTCTTAATATACATAGTATTCTTTGAATAACACGATACTCAAAAACATGTTGTTAAATTCTCGTAGAAAAATCAGGATTTTGCAGTTAAGCTCCATCCCATTAGCTCACGACGAATAAAAAAATCATCAGAATTGGGATAGGGCGGGTGGGCGGGGCTTATATTTTGCCTTTTTTCTTAATATATATAGCCATCTTTTCACAACGAGAAACTTAAAACATGGTTAAAATGGTACATTTTTGTAAGGAAATATTTATTTTACAATTATGGGGCGGAGCCATTTTAAACATATTTTAAGTTTCATGTTATGAAAAGAAGTCTACATATATTAAGAAAACAAGACAAAATGTAGCCCCGCCCACCCACCCTGTCTCAATTGTAATGATTTTTTTTATTCGCCATGAACCAAGGGGGCGTAGCTTAACTGCAAAATACTTTTTCTTTACAAGAAATTAAAGACATGCGTTTGAGTATCGTGTTGTTCAAAGAATATTATGATATTAAGAAAAAAACGCAAAATATAAACCCCGCCCACCCATCCCATCTCAATTGTAATGATTTTTTTTATTCTTAGTAACTTGAAACACTTTGAAAATGGTAAATTTTTGTAAGAAAGTATGGATTTTGCAGTTAGGCTCCGCCCCTTAATCTGCCAACGAATGAAAACTTCATTACTATTTAGATCAGGGCAGGTATGGGTGGGGCTTAATCTCTGGCTTAATTTTTGCTTAATTTAATATACACAGTATTCTTTGAATATCACAATACTCAAAAACATGTCTTACTTGGTAATTTCTTGTACAGAAATAATAAGGATTTTGCAGTTGAATTCCGCTCCTTTAGCTCTCGACGATTAAGAAAATTAATACAATTGACATAGGGCGGGTGGGCGGGGCTTAAATTTTACCTTTGTTTTCTTAATATACGTAGTTGTCTTTTCACAACAAAAAATAAGGACTTTGCAGTTAAGCTCCACCCCCTTGGCTTACGACGAATAAAAAAAATCATCAGAATTGAGACAGGGCGGGTGGGCGGGGCCTATATTATGTCTTTTTTTTCGTAATATAGATAGCCATCTTTTCACAACAAGAAACTTAAAATATGGTTAAAATGGTACATTTTTGCAAGGAAGTATTTATTTTACAATTATGGGGTGGGGCCATTTTAAACATATTTTAAGTTTCATGTTATGAAAAGAAGTCTACATATATGAAGAAAACAAGACAAAATGTAGCCCCGCCAACCCGCCCTGTCTCAATTGTAATGATTTATTTTATTCGCCGTGAACCAAGGGGGCGTAGCTTAACTGCAAAATACTTTTTCTTTGCAGAAATTAATGACATGCTTTTGAGTATCGAGTTATTCAAAGAATACTGTGATATTAAGAAAAAAACGCAAAATATAAACCCCGCCCACCCATCCCATCTCAATTGTCATGTTTTTTTTTATTCTTAGTAACTTGAAACACTTTGAAAATGGTAAATTTTTGTAAGAAAATATGGATTTTGCAGTTAGGCTCCGCCCCTTGATCTGCCAACGAATGAAAACTTCATTACTATTTAGATTAGGGCAAGTATGGGTGGGGCTTAATCTCTGGCTTTAATTTTTGCTTAATTTAATATCCATAGTATTCTTTGAATATCACAATACTCAAAAACATATCTTACTTGGTAATTTCTTGTACAGGAATAATAAGGATTTTGCAGTTGAATTGCGCTCCTTTGGCTCTTGACGATTAAGAAAATTAATACAATTGACATAGGGCGGGTGGACGGCGCTTAAATTTTACCTTTGTTTTCTTAATATACGTAGTCGCCTTTTCACAACAAAAAAATAAGGACTTTGCAGTTAAGCTCCACCCCCTTGGCTTACGACGAATAAAAAAAGTCAACACAATTGAGATGGGGCGGGTGGGCGGGGTTACGTTTTGCCTTGTTTTCTTAATATGTGTAGACTTATTTAGACAAGAAGAAACTTAAAACATGTCGAAAATGGTAAATTTTTGTAGTAATCAGCATCAAAGTTACTATCAATGGCAACTTGGCAACGCAGTCTATAAATGACAACTGCAACAGGAACTTCAACGTCAACAACAAGTTATACAGTGGGGGTCAAAAAAATTTTGCAATTTAACTTTGAGACTTCAAAAATTTTTCCGAATAAATTCTATTTCAACTCTGCAAAATATAATGACTCTACAATAAGACGTTGGTGAGCGGAGAAAGATAAGCGGCGTCGTGGTCTAGTGGTCAAGGCACCCGCCCGGCAATTGGGAGACGTTGGGTTCGATTCCCACCAGGGCAGCAATATTTTTCTTCGCTTACCTTCATTGGTGACCACGGACAGGCATAGTTTTTAGAGTTACTTATATAATGGTTTTTCGAGAATCGTCCTTTGAAAAGTACAAATCTATGCAAAGTACGACCAATTTTCGACCAATTTTCAACGAAATTTTCGAAATTTCACTAAAATCATTTTCTTGTAGATTTAGGGCTGTAGAAGTCATTCCCGCTTTCATTTCTTCGATAACTCCAATGGTTTTTCCACAATCGCCCTTTGAAATGTACAAATCTATGCAAAATACAACCAATTTTCGACCAATTTTCAACCAAATTTTCGAAATTTCACTAAATACATTTTCTTATTGATTTAGGGCCGTAGAAGTCACTCCCGCTTTCATTTATTCGATAAATACAATGGTTTTTCCAGAATCGTCCTTTGAAAAGTACAAATTTATGCAAAATACGATCAATTTTCGACCAATTTTTAACGAAATTTTCGAAATTTCACTAAATACATTTTCTTGTAGATTTAGGGCCGTAGAAGTCACTCCCGCTTTCATTTCTTCGATAACTCCAATCGTTTTTCCAGAATCGTTCTTTGAAAAGTACAAATCTATGCAAAATACGACCAATTTTCGACCAATTTTCAACGAAATTTTCGAAATTTCACTAAATACATTTTCTTGTAGATTTAGGGCCGTAGAAGTCACTCCCGCTTTCATTTCTTCGATAACTCCAATCGTTTTTCCAGAATCGTTCTTTGAAAAGTACAAATCTATGCAAAATACGACCAATTTTCGACCAATTTTCAACGAAATTTTCGAAATTTCACTAAATACATTTTCTTGTAGATTTAGGGCCGTAGAAGTCACTCCCGCTTTCATTTATTCGATAACTACCATGGTTTTTCCAGAATCGTCTTTTGAAAAGTACAAATCTATGCAAAATACGACCAATTTTCGACTAATTTTCAACGAAATTTTCGAAATTTCACTAAATACATTTTGTTGTAGGTTTAGGGCCGTAGAAGTCACTCCCGTTTTCATTTATTCCATAACTCCAATGTTTTTTCCAGAATCGTCCTTTGAAAAATACAAATCTATGCAAAATACACCAATTTTCGACCAATTTTCAACGAAATTTTCGAAATTTCACTAAATACATTTTCTTGTAGATTTAGGGCCGTAGAAGTCACTCCCGCTTTCATTTATTCGATAAGTACGATGGTTTTTCCAGAATCGTCCTTTGAAAAGTACAAATCTATGCAAAATACGACCAATTTTTGACCAATTTTCAACGAAATTTTCGAAATTTCACTAAATACATTTTCTTGTAGATTTAGGGCCGTGGAAGTCACTCCCGTTTGCATTTATTCGATAACTACAATGGTTTTTCCAGAATCGTCCTTTGAAAAGTACAAATCTATGCAAAATACGACCAATATTCGACCAATTTTCAACGAAATTTTCGAAATTTTACTAAATACATTCTCTTATAGATTTAGGGCCGTAGAAGTCACTCTCGCTTTCATTCCTTCGATAACTCCAATGGTTTTTCCAGAATCGTCCTTTGAAAAGTACAAATCAATGCAAAATACGACCAATTTTTGACCAATTTTCAACGAAATTTTCGAAATTTCACTAAATACATTTTCTTGTAGATTTAGGGCCGTAGAAGTCACTCCCGCTTTCATTTATTCGATAACTCCAATGGTTTTTCCAGAATCGTCCTTTGAAACGTACAAATCTATGCAAAATACGATCAATTTTCCATCAATTTTCAACGAAATTTTCGAAATTTCACTAAATACATTTTCTTGTAGATTTAGGGCCGTAGAAGTCACTCCCTCTTTCATTTATTCGTTCACTGCAGTGGTTTTTTTCAGAATCGTCCTTTAAAAAGTACAAATCTATGCAAAGTACGACCAATTTTCAACGAAATTTTCGAAATTTCACTAAATACATTTTCTTGTAGATTTAGGACCGTAGAAGTCACTCCCGCTTTCATTTCTTCGATAACTCCAATCGTTTTTCCAGAATCGTTCTTTGAAAAGTACAAATCTATGCAAAATACGACCAATTTTCGACCAATTTTCAACGAAATTTTCGAAATTTCACCAAATACATTTTCTTGTAGATTTAGGTCCGTAGAAGTCACTCCCGCTTTCATTTATTCGATAACTACAATGGTTTTTCCAGAATCGTCCTTTGAAAAGTACAAATCTATGCAAAATACGACCACGTTCAGAACGACAAATTAATAATAAAATGAAGGAGTAATGCAATAATTGTATTGATTAAATTAAGAACCACTCACTCCATTCACCAAAATCAAATGATTTTTGAAAAAGTGGACACGGATTCATACACCACAAGTGCAGTGGTACCTTATTTTAAGTGGACAGTGAGTGGGTGGGAAAACATTGCTTCCCTTAGACGTTTCAAAAATTCCCAAAACGTCAAAATCCGGGTAATTTTTAATAATTGACGCAAAATAAAATTTGACTACGTGTTGGGAATAAGATAAAACTTGCTTAACATTCCTGAGACGACGCGAGAGTGTTTTCCGATGAAGAATAGGACATGTGTCGGGAATTACGTAGCTTTTATATTTATACACTATCTTTTAAGTTTGCAGATTTTTTGAACTTTCGACCTAATTTTCCAGTTTACAATACATTTACCATCCATGCCACGGTCGAAGCAATTATTAGACTATTTTTAAATGCACATAAATAAATAAACTTCCGAATCGTGATTATATTATATTAGTGAAGGTTCAAAAAATACCTGCGTACTTAATTGCCTAATTTCTCTTCAGCGCGATTATATCCGGCCTTTTAGCGCCTAGAAACACACTAGATAATGGATAGTACCCATTTAGATAAAAAAATTCACACATGATTATTAACCATTACATAACCACAATCTTGTGTATTATGAGGTCAATAACAACCGACTCACACATGACCGTCTGTTTACCTTCACCTTACTTTCGTGTAAATATTTAGTGACCAGAGTGACGATCGGCAGAAAAGCGAGACCTTTTACCCGCTTTTGTAACACAATTTTTTCCAAACCGGTTAATTTACTCAATAGTTACAAGATTTTTCAGCAAACTACGAAGTGAAAGTTTTACATAACTTAAAAATATTCTGGTTAACGTAAATTTATTCTTGCAGGAGATTGACCAATTCATATTTCTTTACGGTAGTTATGGTACCCAAATCTTACCATTTTGATCCCCTCAACCATAACCTTCACATCTTCCTCCTTTTCAAAGTAGTTGGGTACTAGGACCGGCCAATGAAACGGGTTTCCATCTTTGAGTACCACCCTGCCGCGACTTTTCGGCCTCATCAGTACCACCGCGATACTAAACGCTGGTACTTGCATAAAGGGCCGGTACACCCGATCGAACAAACCCTGCGGAATCCCTAACAGACTCCTCAGACTCCCAAAGACATCCCCATTCAGCGCCCCCGCTCCTAGAACCAGCTCCACGTCTGGATAATCCTCGACCTTCGACAGCTTCGTCTGCACAAACCCCAAAGCTTCGGCACCCCCGGGAATCGTATAAGGTCCTCGACCGTTTAACAAGTAGTTGAAGATGTCCACCGGGTTCTGGACACTGCGGTCGGACACCGTCACCGACTCATTTAGTAAGAAGGCCAGCGTAGACATAGCCATGTGATCCTGGAGGTTGTACCCCACTTTCAAATTCTGGATAACGGGAATTCGCACCTTTGTTAGAACATCTTCGGGACCTACCCCCGAAAGCATAAGCAAGTGGGGGCTGTTGATAGCCCCCGCCGCCAAAACCACCTCCTTGGTAGCCCTCACCACGTGTTTGCGGCGATTCTTATAGAATTCCACCCCCACGGCTTGTTTAGTGTTAGGGTCGATCAAAATTTTTGTCACCCGGGACCGGATGGAGACGTGGAGATTGGGTCTGGAGGTGATGGGTTTAAGAAAGGCTTTGGAGGCGCTGCAGCGGGTTCCGTCGCGCATGGTAGCCAGCACCTGCAATGGTACTTGAGTAAAATCAAGGGTTAATGGGTTAAGTGAGCACCTTCGAAAAACCCAACGCCGTTCGTCCACTAGGGTCTACGTTCTTGTAACCTAAATCCTCCCCTGCCTTGATAAATTGTTTAACTAGGGGCGACTCGTACCCTGGGTGTTCCACATTCAAGTAGCCGTTCTTTCCATGGTACCTTTCGTCGATTTCGTTACATTTGGTACAATTTTCCGACTTTATAAAGTATGGTAGTACGTCGTCGTAGCTCCAGTTAGGGTTCCCGAGCTTCTCCCACTCATCAAAATCTTTTTTGGTCCCTCTGGTGTACAAAAGAAAGTTGATGATGGAGGTACCACCAAGCCCTTTGCCTCTAGGCATGTTGCACCGTCCCTCCACCAACCCCAAGCACGCCGTTTTCATCCTGACACTCTTGTACCCCCAGTTGTACCCCGTAATCGACTGAAGCGACGCAATGAGAGGCACATCCGTCAGAAAAATCTCGTCGTTTCCGGCTTCTAGTAACAAAACCGACCATCGAGGGTTTTCGGTGAGACGATTCGCCACCACGCTGCCTCCAGAACCAGCCCCGACCACCACAAAGTCGTACTCTGGTTGCAGTGCGGGATCTGGGATAGTACCGTCGCGGAAGATCGACCGCAAGTTCGTCACTTGGGCACTAGCACTGGTGAGTACCGCAAGCCACAATAACGTCCGAAGACACATTTTGAGCGCGGTACTACTAAGTACTGGGTAACCTTGACTGTGTTGCATAAGTGTTAACTTGCCGAATCGCCGAATGAGACTAAATGGTTATGCAGACAATATGGAGAAATGGTTAAAATGGGGCGGTTGGAGTCAAGGACGACTCCTTAAGTGGTACTATTGCACATCTTGGATTAATTAGTGATGTAAATAGAGAGGGAATGTGTACGTGAATAGTTGAAGCTTTCTCGGTTAAACTGGCGATTTGAATGCGTGTTGGTGGTACCACGATGATTAAAGTTGTAATAGTGCGTTTTATTTGTTTATTTACAATAAATAACTACAAGCTAGACATAAATTAACTATTGTGGCTAAACAGTAGCGTGATGAAGCTCAAGAGGAGCACTGGTGGTACTGCGAAGTCTTTTAGTCTCGATGTGCTTGAAGGAGTACCGGAATTGGTACCTATGCACTGGCCGTTTTCTTCGGTGTAATTTTCCCCGCATTTACATTGTCCATCTGAGCACACTAACCCATTCATGGTCTCCTGATCTGATCGACTGCAGTCATCAGAGATATCGCAACGAGTACCCAAAACGGTACCTACAATAAACATGAAAAATTAACGTTACAATAAACCGTGACTAACTATATAAAAAAGTTATGACGTTTTGATATTTACAATAGATAACCAACAATAAATATCGATACGCATCAAATTACGTTGCTTGCGTAATAGTTTAACGCACTTGTTGTCTGATGACGTCTTTGAAGGTGGGGCCGAGTAATTTTCGTGACTCATAAAATTTTTACACTCAAGAACTGTTACTTAATTTTTATTTTACTGGTTTAAAATGACCGCCGAGTTGACGTGATTTAGCTCAGACATACGTTCAATTATCTTGCATGTCATGCACACATACACTATACTTATCGATTGTTTTACTTCATTATAAAATATAATTAGATGATTAATTTTTGTTTACCGCTCTTTAATTAATCATCAATTTGTCATTCTCTGAGAACACGTTAATATTCATCCGAGAAAATAACAATTCATTTCCTGCGAGTTTCCTTGGCAATTAGCCTAAAAAGATTTTCTATTTTTATTAGTAGTAAGCTTATAATAAACAATTGCTGACATTAATTGTGTTATGCTCTGCTCATGTCACCAACATGACTTGTGACCTTGACGGTTTTAATTATCAATTGCTGGTTACCATTAACAGATAGCTAATCTCTAAGGAAACCTTCTCTCTTCCTTAATGAATAATTGTCGACTGATAAACCAAGATTAATAAATTTCATTTTTTAAATTTAAAGTGGGATTTATAAACTTGCTTGTTGTCGAAATAAGTCTATATGTATTAAGAAAACAAGGCAAAATGTAGCCCCGCCCACCCACCCTGTCTCAATTGTGATGATTTTTCTTATTCGTCGTGAGCCAAGAGGGCGGAGCTTAACTGCAAAATCCTTATTTCTTATGTTTTTGAGTATCGTGTTGTTCAAAGAATACTATGTATATTAAGAAAAGATTAAAGTCAAAAATTAGGCTCCACCCATACTTGCCCTAATCTAATAGTACTGAAATTTTCATTCGTTGGCAAACCTAGGGGCGGAGCCTAATTATTACAAAATCCATATTTTCTTACAAAAATTTACCATTTTAAACGTGTTTCGAGTTTCTAAGAATAAAAAAAATCATCACAATTGAGACAGGGCGGGTGGGTGGGGCTACATTTTATCTTGTTTTCTTAATATATGTAGACTTCTTTTCATAACATGAAACTTAAAATATATTTAAAATGGCTCCACCCCATAATTGTAAAATAAACATTTCCTTGCAAAAATGTACCATTTTAACCATATTTTAAGTTTCTTGTTGTGAAAAGATGGCTATGTATATTAAGAAAAAAAGGCATAATAGAAGCCCCACCCACCCGCCCTATCTCAATTCTGATTCAACCTTAACTGCAAAATCCTTACTTCTCTACGAGAATTTAAGAACATGTTTTTGAGTATCATCTTGTTCAAAGAATACTATGTATATTAAGAAAAAAATACAGAAAAAGAATTGGCTCCACCCATACGCCCCCTATCTCAAATTCTCAATTGCGATAAATTTTTCATTCGTTGTCAGATCGAGGGGCGGGGCTTAATTGCAAGATCCATATTTGTCTACAAGAATTTATCATTTCAAACATGTTTCGTATTGTGAAAAGAAAACTAGGCACATTACGAAGAAAAGGCAAAACAAAAGCCCCTCCCACCCGCCCTGTCTCAAATGTGATGAATTTTTCATTCGTTGTCAGATCTAGAGGCTGAGCCTAATCGCAAAATCCATTTTTTCTAACAAAAATTTATCATTTTAAAAATGTTTTAAGTTTCTAAGAATAAAAAATTCATCACAATTGAAACGGGGAGGGTGAGCGGGGTTAATATTTTGCATTTTTTTCTTAATATATATAGTATTTTTTGAACAACACGATACTCAAAAAACACGTTCTTAATTTCTTGTAAAAAAAAGTATTTTGCAGTTAAGCTCCGCCCCCTTGGTTCACGGCGAATAAAAAAAATCATCACAATTGAGAGAGGGCGGGTGGGCGGGGCTACATTTTGTATTGTTTTCTTAATATATGTAGACTTCTTTTCACAACATGAAACTTAAAACATGTTTAAAATGGAAAATTTGTATAAGGAAACATCGATTTTGCAATTAGGCTCCGCCCCATAATTGGAAAATCCATATTTATTTGTAAAAATGTACCATTTTAACCATGTTCTAAGTTTCTTGTTGTGAAAAGATGGCTAAGTATATTAAAAAAAAGGCAAAATATAAGCCCCACCCTATATCAATTCTGATAATTTTTTTATTCGTCGTAAGCCGAGGGGCGGGGCGCAATTGCAAAATCGATATTTTTCTATACCATTTTAAACGTGTTTTAAGTTTCTTGTTATAAAAAGATGACTGCACATATTAAAGAAAAAGGCAAAATGTAGCCCCGCCCACCCGCCCTATCTCAGTTGTGAAAAGATGGCTATGTATATTAGGAAAAACAAAGGCAAAATCTAAGCCCCGCCCACCCACTCTATCTCAATTCTGATGATTTTTTTAATCGCCATAAGCCGAGGGGTGGAGCGTAATTACAAAATCAATATTGTCTTACACAAATTTACCATTTTAAACATATTTTAAGTTTCTTGTTCTGAAAAGACGCCTACATATATTAAGAAAACAGACAAAATATAAGCCCCGCCCACCCGCCCATGTCAGTTGTGATGATTTTTTTAATCGTCGAGAGACAAAGGAGCGAAATTTAATTACAAAATCGTTATTATTTCTCTACAAAAAATTACCGTAGACATGTTTTTGAGTATCGTGTTATTTTAAAAAAACTATGTATATTAAGAAAAGATTAAAGTCAAAAATTAGGCTCCACCCATACTTGCCCTAATCTAATAGTACTGAAATTTTCATTCGTTGGCAAACCTAGAGGCGGAGCCTAATTATTGCAAAATCCATATTTTCTTATAAAAATTTACCATTTTAAACGTGTTTCGAGTTTCTAAGAATAAAAAAATCATCACAATTGAGATAGGGTGGGTGGGCGGGGTTTATATTTTGCCTTTTTGTCTTAATATACATAGTATTCTTTGAAGAACACGATACTCAAAAACATGTTTTTAATTTCTTGAAAAGAAAGAATTGTTATTTTGCAGTTAAGCTCCGCCCCTTTGGTTCACGACCAATAAAAAAAATCATCACAATTGAGACAGGGCGGGTGGGTGGGGCTACATTTTATCTTGTTTTCTTAATATATGTAGACTTCTTTTCATAACATGAAACTTAAAATATATTTAAAATGGCTCCACCCCATAATTGTAAAATAAATATTTCCTTGCAAAAATGTACCATTTTAACCATATTTTAAGTTTTTTGTTGTGAAAAGATGGCTATGTATATTAAGAAAAAAAGGCATAATAGAAGCCCCACCCACCCGCCCTATCTCAATTCTGATTCAACCTTAACTGCAAAATCCTTACTTCTCTACAAGAATTTAAGAACATGTTTTTGAGTATCGTCTTGTTAAAAGAATACTATGTATATTAAGAAAAAAATACAAAAAAAGAATAGGCTCCACCCATACGCCCCCTATCTCAAATTCTCAATTGCGATAAATTTTTCATTCGTTGTCAGATCGAAGGGCGGGGCTTAATTGCAAGATCCATATTTGTCTACAAGAATTTATCATTTCAAACATGTTTCGTATTGTGAAAAGAAAACTAGGCACATTACGAAGAAAAGGCAAAATAAAAGCCCCGCCCACCCGCCCTGTCTCAAATGTGATGAATTTTTCATTCGTTGTCAGATCTAGAGGCTGAGTCTAATCGCAAAATCCATTTTTTCTAACAAAAATTTATCATTTTAAAAACGTTTTAAGTTTCTAAGAATAAAAAATTCATCACAATTGAAACGGGGTAGGTGGGCGGGGTTAATATTTTACATTTTTTTCTTAATATATATAGTATTTTTTGAACAACACGATACTCAAAAAGACGTTCTTAATTTCTTGTAAAAAAAAGTATTTTGCAATTAAGCTCCGCCCCCTTGGTTCACGGCGAATAAAAAAAATCATCACAATTGAGACAGGGCGGGTGGGCGGGGCTACATTTTGTCTTGTTTTCCTTAATATATGTAGACTTCTTTTCACAACATGAAACTTAAAACATGTTTAAAATGGAAAATTTGTATAAGGAAACATCGATTTTGCAATTAGGCTCCGCCCCATAATTGGAAAATCCATATTTATTTGTAAAAATGTACCATTTTAACTATGTTCAAAGTTTCTTGTTGTGAAAAGATGGCTAAGTATATTAAAAAAAAAGGCAAAATATAAGCCCCGCCCTATCTCAATTCTGATCATTTTTTTATTCGTCGTAAGCCGAGGGGCGGGGCGCAATTGCAAAATCGATATTTTCCTATACCATTTTAAACGTGTTTTAAGTTTCTTGTTATAAAAAGATGACTGCACATATTAAAGAAACATGCAAAATGTAGCCCCGCCCACCCACCCTATCTCAATTCTGATGATTTTTTTTAATCGCCGTAAGCCGAGGGGCGGAGCGTAATTGCAAAATCAATATTTTCCTATACAAATTTACCATTTTAAACATATTTTAAGTTTCTTGTTCTGAAAAGACGACTATGTATATTAAGAAAACAGGCAAAATATAAGCCCCGCCCTCCCGCCCGATCTCAGTTGTGATGATTTTTTTAATCGTCGAGAGACAAAGGAGCGAAATTTAATTACAAAATCGTTATTATTTCTCTACAAAAAATTACCATAGACATGTTTTTGAGTATCGTGTTATTTTAAGAAAACTATGTATGTTAAGAAAAGATTAAAGTAAAAAATTAGGCCTAATCTAATAGTACTGAAATTTTCATTCGTTGGCAAACCTAGGGGCGGAGCCTAATTATTGCAAAATCCATATTTCCTTACAAAAATGTACCATTTTAATGTACCATTTTAAACGTGTTTCAAGTTTCTAAGAATAAAAAAATCATCACAATTGAGACAGGGTCGGTGGGCGGGGTTTATATTTTGCCTTTTTGTCTTAATATACATAGTATTCTTTGAACAACACGATACTCAAAAATATGTTTTTAATTTGTTGAAAAGAAATGCGTATTTTGCAGTTAAGCTCCACCCCTTTGGTTCACGACGAATAAAAAAAAAACATCACAATTGAGATAGGGTGGGTGGGCGGGTTTTATATTTTCCCTTTTTGTCTTAATATACATAGTATTCTTTGAAGAACACGATACTCAAAAACATGTTTTTAATTTCTTGAAAAGAAAGAAGTATTTTGCAGTTAAGCTCCGCCCCTTTGATTCACAACCAACAGAAAAAATAATTACAATTGAGACAGGGCGGGTGGGCGGGCTTAGGTTTTGCCTTTTTGTTTGAACATGTGTAGACTTCTTTTCACAAGATAAAACTTATAGGGCCGGTTGCATAAACGCAAATCAAATTTAATCTCTGATTAACTCCATAGTAACGATTGTTATTATCATAGTTACAATTGTTCTTAATCAGAGATTAAATTTGATTTGCGTTTATGCAACCGGCCCATAATATGTTTAAAATGGAAAATTTGTATAACTATACATATTAAGAAAAAAAGGCAAAATGTAAACCCCGCCCACCCGCCCTATGTCAATTGTGACGATTTTTTTATTCGTCGTGAGCCAAGGGGGCGGAGCTTAATTGCAAAATCCTTGTGTTTCTACAAGAAATAAAAAACATGTTTTTGTGTGTCGCCATTTTAAACAAGTCAAGTTTATAAATCGACGCGTTTTATACTTGAAATATTAAAAGGCGTGGCGACATCATAGACAATTTGTGCGGTTTTTCATCAGAGAATTCCAAGAAGTGACAGCTGCACATAGTGAGTCAATTTTAAGCAACTGTGGCCATTATCAGTGTACAAAGAACTGAAAATTGCATTCAGACAATTATTTCATTTCTTCTTGGTGACTATTTTGGTTTGACATTAAAGCTGATTTTTGCACAGCCGCAGGAATCCACTTCGTATAAACATTATCTAATAATTGTCAAAAACCACACGTTTGGAAGTAATTGTTTATTTCGATGTTTTTATTGTGCCGACTTTTCTTAGAAAAACTTCACTTTCTGAACCACTCGGTAAATATTGTCTAAACAAATATGACGGTTTTGGTCAATCCTGTAAGCTCTGTTTACTTTGGAAGATTCGTCAATACCGCAATTAATCCGTACGCGGCGAGTTTACTCAGTAAACATGTTATCTTTTTTAGTCACTGTAGTGAACTTGTCTGGTTTTTGTTGTTTCGGTTGACTATGAAACCGTCAATCACCACGAATGTTTATTTTTACCAAGCTGTGGAATTTAAAATTTAATCAAATATTATTTGTTTTGACAAAGTTTTACGTCTATCACTTGCACAATTATTTGTTTAAATAACTATGACGCAATATATTACAGCTTTACGAAATTTTGGCTTCATTATCTAATATATTTGTTATTGCACAATGCATATTTATCGCTGTGTGGGAGTCTGGATCTTTATTTTTCAAAGTTTTTTAAATTTTTACTTCCCGAGCGTAAGCAAAGGAAGTATTGTAATCGAGTCCGTCGGCCCACTCTCTACTTTTACGTTTTCTCGATCTTTCATGACCCCTAGAAGACGAAGAAATAGGTCTCCCATTTCCGTCTGTCTGTCCGTCTGTCCGTCCGTCTGTCCGTCTGTCCGTCTGTTGTCCCGGATTTTTATTAGACAGATAATCTCCGAAAGTACTTGACCGATTGTTGTGAAATTTTGTACTTATATTAAGAATATCATGTAGATGGTAAAACGCTAACCAAAATTTGTCTAATCATCCCCACCACTAATGCGATGACGTCACTTTAAAATTGTACATAGTAAATGGGTTTTCAATTGTATAAAATAACATAGTCCTACACATGTAGTTTACAACTCTGAATCGACTTTTCACCCGAAACGTCCAGATTTTTGGAAAAAAAAATCAAAATTATAAAACAACATTTTGAAATTTATTTTTAATCTGCTAACCAGAATGCTTCGAAATGTTGCAGATGTTTTAAGGCTATAAAGAGCATCATAAATCTTTAGTCAAAAAATATTTGCTTATCCCCTCCAAAAACTTGATGATGTCAGCTCAAAAGTTTGTGGAATAAATTATATCTAAAATGTACAAAATATGATGAGTCTGTACTTGTGATCTATCACTCCATTCATATTTTTTGGATTTGCATATACAGGGTGACTCAAAAAAATTAATGAATGCGTAAATATATTTTATTGATTTAATCAGGAACTACAAAACGGAATGCTCTGACATCTTGCAGATGTTTTAAGGTCATAAAGAGCATAATAAATGTTTAGTCAAAATATATTTGCTTATCCCCTCCAAAAACTTGATGACGTCAGCTCGAAAATTTGCCGAATAAATCATATCTAAAATGTACAAAATATGATGAGTCTGTACTTGTCATTTATCACTCCATTCATATTTTTTGGTTTGCATATACAGAGTGACTCAAAAAAATTAATGAATGCGTAAATATATTTTATTGATTTAATCAGGAACTACAAAACGGAATGCTCTGACATCTTGCAGATGTTTTAAGGTTATAAAGAGCATAATAAATGTTTAGTCAAAATATATTTGCTTATCCCCTCCAAAAACTTGATGACGTCAGCTCAAAAATTTGCCGAATAAATCATATCTAAAATGTACAAAATATGATCAGTCTGTACTTGTGATCTATCACTCCATTCATATTTTTTGGATTTGCATATACAGGGTGATTCAAGAAAATAAATTAAAGCGTAAATTTATTTTACTGATTTACTCAGGAACTACAAAACCGAATGCTCCGAAATCTTGAAGATATTTTAAAATTATCATAAGCATGGTAAATTTTTGATCAAAATGTATTTGGTCGTCCCCCCTAAAAAATTTATGACGTCACCACAAAATTTTGCTGAATAAATCCTATCTAAAATGTACAAAATATGGTGAGTCTCTTCTTGTGATTTATCATTCCATTCAAATTTTTTCGATTTGCATATACAGGGTGACTCAAAAAAATTAATGAATGCGTAAATTTATTTTATTGATTTAATCAGGAACTACAAAACCGAATGCTTTGAAATCTTGCAGATGTTTTAAGGTTATAAAGAGCATAATAAATTTTTAGTCAAAATATATTTGGTTATCTTCTACAAAAAACTGATGACGTCAGCTCAAAAGTTTGCCGAATAAATCGTATCTAAAATGTACAAAATATGATGAGTCTGTACTTGTGATTTATCATTCCATTCATATTTTTGGATTTGCATATGCAGGGTGACTCAAAAAAATTAATGAAGGCGTGATTTTATTTTATCGATTTAATTAGGAATTACAAAACCGAATGCTTTGAAATCTTGGGAATATTTTAAAGTTATTATAAGCATGGTAAACTTTTGTTCAAAATGTATTTGTTCATCCCTCCTAAAAAAATTGATGACGTCACCCTTAAATTTTGCTGAATAAATCCTATCTAAAATGCAAAAAATATGATGAGTTTGTACTTGTGATTTATCATTCCATTTATATTTTTTAGATTTTCTTAAGAGGTGGTTCAAAAAAATTAATGAAGTCAATTTATTTTATTGATTAAATTAAAGGCAACACTTATTATTAGTATTACACCTCAACCAACCCAATTTGGTAAACACAAAATTTGTTAAAGGAAAAACTCGGTTGAAACATAAGGGTAGCACGCTTATTTACATCGACTTTAACATTACAGACCTGCATTTGTTTTATGCGATCACTTGGTTCCGCCAATGTGAAATAGACATGTTTATAATCAACCAATTGTGAATTTCACCGTCAAGAATTAAAATAAAACCCAATGTTTTATATAATAAGCGGAAGTCGAAGCAATAAAACCGATGGTCGTTTTGTTTACAGTTTCTCTGTTTGACTCTCACGTATGCTGTTACGCTTGTCATCTTAAATTAAGAATGTTTATACATAAACGATTTTCAGTTGCCGTATACGTGAGTAAATTGTTTCGTTATTTTATTGATTATAAAAAATCAATATTCAAAACGACCCAATTCATTTTCCCGAAAATTTGGGAATACAATAATTTTATTCTTAGTATTACACTACATCTATCCCAACTGATATACGTGTCCTTGCAAAAATGTTGACGTCATCGCAATTTTTTTTAAATTCCCACTACAAAAATGTAATGAGAAAAAACACAATAGCCATGCAGTCGTCAAGTTTCCGACAGTGAGGGAAGTACTGTCTAAACTCTTTAGACCAATTTTTTACATTCTGTTGGTTTTATTCAGTTGGCGCAATTATATTTCCCTAGATGTAAATGTCAGATTTATTGAGGTTGACAACAATGTGATGTTTTTACAACTTTAGCGAGCAAATAGGAACGTCAGACAAGTTTTTTTTATAAAATTTCCTAGCAACGTCAAACTAGACTTTCTATATTAACCTTAAAAAGATTGTTAAGTCAATTAAATGCAATATCTTGTTTTGTCAAGTCAACACCGGCTGTCACTTAAACCACGTGATGTCACAGCTTGCTATTAATAAAAATTTTAAAACAATAATTCACTTGACAAGAAAATACGTATTGACTTACCAACGCTCCTCAAGCACTTTTTCTTGCTCTTCGCGGCAATAAATCCCTCCTTGCAGGGGCAAGCCAAGAATTCGCCCCCGCAATTGCAAAACTCGTTCACACAGGTTGCATTCACAATTTTATCGCAATCCGCGTCGGCCTTGCACGGGGCCAACCCTGAAACCAAAGCACATTTTATGCCTCGTGTATTTCAAGCACTGACTCATTCATTCATAAAGCACTCGCCCGAAGAACGAGTAATTGAGTAATTGCTGGACAGTCGAGTACTCACAAACTTGCTGTGCGCTGCTTATTATGGTTTCCGCCGACAGCACCAACACTACACACACGAGGAACTTCATTGCGGCGGATTTTCGTTCGATTTTGCAGTCTTGCAAGAAGCGACTGCCAATTTATAGTCGGTTTCCGTATCTATATCCTCAGGATGTTTGCGTAGAGTACACACTGACGAGTTGTGACGTCAAAGATGCGCTTAATGAGTAGAGCGATTCATTTTTTTTTTAGTTATTTAAGTTACTTTGGATGGTGAGGTGGGGATTGGGGGGGGGGGGTTAGTGTGGCTTTTGCGGTGGTTGTTAATTAATGACTTTAGTGTCAACTGGGTTGTAACCATCAGGAAAAAAGAACCCGAAATGTGTGGATTTCCCCCTGTATAGCTGCAGGTGATACCATGAGTCAAGATGATTGTGAATCTTATGAATGGAGAAACTCAAAATACACACCTATTTAAATTTATAATTTACCGGTGTACTAAAATTACAATCGAATCGTGTTTTTTATTTTTTGTGTATACTATTTATATTTACACAGGATACTTTATGAAAAGTTTATCGCGGTTGAGATTTTCTAAGCAGAACGCTTATCTAATCTAAGACTCGATAATCCTTCCACGTATTCTTATAAATATTTTTTACACCGGTCTAAATTCAAAACAACTTGAATCGTAAAAAAATTAGGTCACAAATATTTGACATATGGTACACCTTAAGTAAGCGCTGTGTCAATTGAACGACAATTTATTTGTAAGAACGTTTTTGTGTGGGGAGGCGACCCAGATTGTTCCGGTTATTAACAAAATTCCGGGATTCTCTGGTTTATGAACTCGTATAGGAAAAACCATGCTGTACTGTTACAGCGCAAAATATTTGTTCTGTGGGTCGAACAAATCAAAGATTGTTTTTATAGTCTGAGCTATTCTTGATTATAAATCCAGTTAAACTGGACTTTTTTAATTATAGTGGGTATTTCTAGTGTAATTAGAGTTATTTTAAAATAAACGATGCTGCATACGCGTATAGCGTCATATTAAAGTACAACGCAATTAAATTTGATGATTATGGTGCGAAAATGATCCTTAAATTAACTAGATTTTTCTAATTATAGTGAGTATTAGACTGCTCCGCCTCTTCACTGGGGGTTTCCATAATCAAAAGGATCAAAATTTTCTGGTTTGATTAGGGTGTCTGGAAAATGGCGGATTAACTCTCCGCTACGGAAAAATAGTAAAAAAAATCCTTTTCACTTTTTGGTGGAGTTATGATGATTTTACAATTTCTTCTTTTGCTACGTTTACCTTCAAACTTTTAGCTGATATTTCTCTCGCCTATAATCATGTTTAATTATCATTTCAGTTATATTTTGCAAAGCCATGGCTGTGTTGTTTTTGTAATAATTTGATAAAATTCCATTTGACAACACTGTTTATCTGATATACAGCTGTCAAAGTTTTCAAAACCCTACGTTAATTTTAGGTTTTCTTGTGTGTTTTTTTTTTTTTCGGATAAAGCTAAAGGAATCTGGTGTTTTCTTGCTGGATGAACCTGAAAAAATCTTTGAGCTTTTAGTGTATTATTTTTTACGAATTTGAAAGTCTTGAGTGCCGAATTATTTTTTTTTAATTCAGGAGACGCTGGTACCCATGGTGTATTATTTTGGAAACCCATGGAGATTGTTTTAATAAATTATTTAAAACAATTTTGGGGGACTTCAGTGTTCTTTCTATTTTTGGAAAATTCTGACCTGTTTTTGAAAAATTTAAAACAATTTTGAGGTTCTAGGTATTCCTGTTTTGAAAAAGAGTTTGATAAAATCAGTCTTATCTTAGCAGATACTAGCCACCCGCCCGTCCTCTATTTTCTTAGAGGGTATGTCATTTGCCAAAATCAGTCTTATCCAATTAGAGGGTAATACCCCCCCCCCACTCACACTCTCTTTTCTTGGAAGGTATGTTATTCGCCAAAATCAGTCTTATCTTAAAAGGTACTACCCCCGCCCACCCACCCGCTATTTTCTTAGAGGGCAAGACATTTGCCAAAACCAGTCTTATCTTAGTAGGTACTAGCCCAACCCGCCCGCCCTCTATTTTCTTAGAGAACAGAGGTCATTTGCCAAACTACAGATTTTAAAGATTCTACAGGTTCAAAAATTTCTAAAGATTCCAAAAGTTTTAGATTCTGAAGATTTTAGAGATTCTATAGGATCTAGAGTTTCACTATCCAGAGGTCCCAAAGGTTCTAGTAATTCAAGAATTGTACAGAGTCTAGAGAGATTCTAGATTCTAGGATTGTATAACTTTCAGATTCTAACGATTCTCAAGCCATTCTAGAGATTTCAAAGATTCTAGTAACTCAAAAAATTTTACAGAATCTAAAAATTCTAGAAATTCTACAGATTTTAGAGATTCTGGAGATTCTGAAGAAAGGCTGTGGACACTAAAAATTGTAAAAATTCCAAAGATTCCAAAAGTTTTACATTCTAGAGGTTTCAGCAATTGTAGAGATTTTAAAGATTCTAGGGATTCTAAATATCCTAGAGACCCTAAAAATTCGATAGATTCTGAAGATTATTCTAAAGTTTCCAGGTTCTCTAAAGATTCTAGAGATTCCATAGGATCTAGAGATACAGAGATTCCAGAGATTCTAGTAATTCAAAAAATTATACAGAAACTAGAAATTCTAGAAATTGCACGAGTTTTGGAATCCAGCGGCTCCACCCATTATAGTGATTCCAAAGATTCTATAGATTTTAGAATTTTTAGAGATTCTAGAGATTCTGAAGATCCTGGAGTACTAAAAATTTTGGAGAATCTAAAAATTGTAAAAATTTTTAAAAATCCAAAGATTCCAAAAATTTTAGATTCTAAGGATTCTATGTATCCTAGAGACAAAAAATTTCGTTGAATTCTGAAAATTGTAGAGATTCCAAAAATTCCAGACGTTCTAAAGATTCTAGAAATTTCATAGTACCTAAAGATTCAGAGTTTCCAGAGATTCCAGCCATTCTAGAGACTCTAGAGGTTCTGGAGATACTAAAAATTGTAGACACTCTAAAAATTGTAAAAATTTAAAAAATCACTAAAGTTTTGATTCTAGGGGCTCCAGAAATTGTAGGGATTTTAAAGATTCTAGAGATTCTAAAGACCATAGAGACCATAAAAATTCGGTAGATTCTGGAGATTATTCTAAAGTTTCCAGATTCTAAAAGCTCTTGAGATTTCATAGGATCTAAAGATACAGAGATTCCATAGATGCCAAAGATTCCAGTAATTCAAAAAATTATACAGAATCTACAATTTCTACAGATTTTAGGGATTCTAAATATCCCAAAAATTCTAGATCCTGAAGATTTTACAGATTCTAAGAATCCAGGTTTACTAAAGATTCTAGAAATTCCAAAATTTCTAGAGATTCTAAAGATTTTAGAAATTCTACAGATTTTAAAGATTCTACAGGTTCAAAAAATTCTAAAGATTCCAAAAGTTTTAGATTCTGAAGATTTTAGAGATTCTATAGGATCTAGAGTTTCAGTATCCAGAGATTCCAAAGATTCTAGTAATTCAAGAATTGTACAGAGTGTAGAGAGATTCTAGATTTTAGGATTGTATAACTTTCAGATTATAACGATTCTCAAGCCATTCTAGAGATTCTAGAGTTTCTGGAGATTTGGGAAACACTAAAGGTTGTGGACACTCTAAAGGATTCTAGAGATTTCAAAGATTCTAGTAACTCAAAAAATTTTACAGAATCTAGAAATTCTACAGATTCTAGAAATTCTGGAGATTCTGAAGACTGTGGACACTCTGAAAATTGTAAAAATTCCAAAGATTCCAAGAGTTTTAGATTCTAGCGGTTTCAGCAATTGTAGAGATTTTAAAGATTCTAGGGATTCTAAATATCCTAGAGATTCCATAGGATCTAGAGATACACAGATTCTAGTAATTCAAAAAATTTTACGGAATCTAGAAATTCTAGAAATTGCACGAGTTTTAGAATCCAGCGATGCCAGCCATTATAGAGATTCCAAAGATTCTAGAAATTCTACAGGTTCTAAAAATTCAAAAGATTCTATAGATTTTAGTGTTTTTAGAGGTTCTGGAGATTCTGGAAATACTAAAAATTTTTGACAATCTAACAATTGTAAAAATTTTTAAAAATCCAAAAATTCCAAAAATTTTAGATTTTAGGGATTCTATGTATCCTAGAGATAAAAAATTTCATTGAATTCTGAAAATTTTAGAGATTCCAAAGATTCCAGTCTTATCTTAGAAGATACTAGCCCCGCCCACCCACCCTCGTTTTTCTTAGAGGGTATGTCATTTGCCAAAATCAGTCTTATCTTAGAAGGTAATAGTCCCCCCACCCACCCTCTCTTTTCTTGGAAGGTATTTCATTTGCCAAAATCAGTCTTATCTTAAAAGGTGCTAGCCCCGCCCACCCACCCACGCTTTTCTTAGAGTGTAAGACATAGGCCAAAATCAGTCTTATCTTAGTAGGTACTAGCCCCACCCGCCCGCCCTCTCTTTTCTTACAGTGTATGTCATTTGCCAAAATCAGACTTGTTTTAAAAGATACTAGCCCCGCCCACCCACCCTTTCTTTTCTTAGAAGGTATGTCATTTGCCAAAATTAGTCTTATCTTAAAAGGTAGTAGCCCCGCCCACCCACCCTCTCTTTTCTTAAGAGTATATTTCATTCGCTAAAATCACTCTTATCTTAGCAAGTACTAGCCCCGCCCACCCACCCTCTCTTTTCTTAAAGAGTATGTCATCTGCCGAAATCGGTCTTATTTTAGCAGCCACTAGCCCCTGATGACTAAATTTTACAAAAAGTGATCAAAATTTGGAAATATTACGAGCTTACTTAGATGCACAAAGCGGAAATTTTGAACATCTTCTCTACCTTCCAAGAAAAGAGAGGCTGGGTGGGGGGGCTATTACCTTCTAAGATAACACTGATTTTGGCAAATAACATACCTTCCAAGAAAAGAGAGGGTGGGTGGGGGGGCTATTACCTTCTAAGTGAAGAGTGATTTTGGCAAATAACATACCTTCCAAGGAAAGGGAGGGTGGGTGGGGGGGCTATTACCTTCCAAGATAAGACTGATTTTGGCAAATAACATACCCTCTAAGAAAATTAAGGGTAGAAGGGGGTATATTATTTAGGAAGATCAGTCTTGTCTCGGCAAGTATTGGCCCCGCCCACCCACCCTTTATTTTCTTCGAGGGTATGCCATTTGGCAATGTCAGTTTTATCTTAGTAAGTACTAGCCCCGCCCACTCGCTCTTTATTTTCTTAGAAAGTAAGTCATTTGCCAAAATCGGTCTTATTTTGACAAATACTAGCCCCACCCGCCCGACTATTATTTTTTTAGAGAGTTAGTAGCTGTCAAGATAAGACTGATGTTGGCAGATGACATTCTCTAAGAAAAGAGAGGGTGGGTGGGCGGGGCTAGTACCTGCTAAGATAAGACTGATATTGGCAAATGACTTACCCTCGAAGAAAATGAAGGGTAGAAGAGGGTATATTATTTGGGAAGATCAGTCTTGTCTCGGCAAGTATTAGCCCCGCCCACCCACCCTTTATTTTCTTCGAGGGTGTGCCATTTGGCAATGTCAGTTTTATCTTAGCAAGTACTAGCCCCTCCCACTCGCTCTTTATTTTCTTAGAAAGTAAGTCATTTGCCAAAATCAGTCTTATTTTGGAGTACTAGTCCCACCAGCTGATAGACTGATTTGAGCAAATGAAATATCCTCTAAGAAAAGAGAGGGCGGGTGGGCGGGGCTAGTACCTACTAAGATAAGACTGATTTTGGCAAATGACAAAATTGTTAAACGTAGCAAAAAAAAACAGTTTTAAAATCATTATAACTCTAGCAAAATGTGAGAGGGATTTTTTTTACTATTTTTCCCAGACTTACCAGTTAATTGTTAAGAGCGTAGGGGAGAGTTAATCTGCCATTTTTCAAACACCCAGTATATGCAAATTTCGACCCATTTTCGACGATTTTCGAAATTTAACTAAATACATTGTCGTGTTGATTTCGGATCGCAAAGTCACTTCCGGCCTCATTTCTTCGATCACTCCAGCCGTTTTTCTACGATTGAAATATCGCAATTTTTATCAATTTCAAAAAATTCGAATTTCACCCTGAATATTCCGAAAATATTGCTCCATCACCCTAAACACACTATATTTTTAGAATCAGCACGTCGGGATCTATATCCCTGAATTTTTTCAAAATTTTTAGACGACTTTTTCAAAAATGAAATTTTCCACCATGTAGGCAAATTTCGACACATTTTCGACGATTTTCGAAATTTAACTAAATACATTTTCTTGTAGATTTCGGGCCGCAAAGTCACTTCCGGCCCCATTTCTTCGATCACACCAATCGTTTTTCCAGGATTGAAATATCGCAATTTTTAAAAAATCCGATTTTCACACCAAGTATTCCGAAAATATTGGTCCGTTATCATAAACACGCTATATTTTTTCAGAATTTTAAGACAACTTTTTCAAAAATGAAATTTTCCACTGCAAATTTCGACCCATTTTCGATGATTTTCGAAATTTAATTAGAAACATTTTTTGATATAGTTTGGGCCACAAAGTTACTTCCGGCCTCATTTATTCGATGACTCCAACCGTTTTTCCAAAAGCGTTCACTGAAATATCCCGATTTTATAAATTTCAAAAAATTCGAATTTCACCCCAAACACGCTATATTTTTGGAATTAGCTCAGAATTTTTAACCGACTTTTTCAAAAATGAAATGTCCAAGTTCCTACAATTTGTGAAAATCATACAAATTTATGAAGATCTCAACATGAAAGTCCTAAAATTAAGTGGCCGAATTAGAAAATAATAAAAATGATGCAAAAAATTATTAATGAAGAATTATTGGAGAAGTTCTTAAAAACCATAAAATCCAGGAACAAGTGTTTAACATCAAAATTTGAAATCCCCAAAAAGCCTTTAATATAATGATATTTAAATATACAAGTGCACCCTATATATCCTTAAATAATTTAATTGATCATTTCATACAATGCGACGTTGCCACGTTATTCTAATTTTCTTGAAATTTTTAGCAATGGAAGGATTCAGAAAAAAATTACAGCAGGGTTATTTTTAAAATCTGTTACAACATTTTGTGGAGAGATAAGGAGCGGTACGCCCTTTGTTGTGGTATAAATGATATTAACTTTTCATATATAAAGTGTTTATAAAAAAAATTCAAATAGAACACCCTGCATTTTATTACTTTATTCTATTTTTTGTTCTCTTTCTTTTTTGCTGATAAAAAAGTGAGAAACATTAACCGGAATTTCAAAAGTAAACTGTGGATGTAAAGCCTACCTAAAAAAAGGTCAATCAAAACATGTAGGATTTTTTAATATAAAATTCAGTCAGTTATCTTTCAAAGTTGACATGCTTATGCAGAGAGAATGAAAGAATCTACTCAGGCTATTTTCAAATTTTTACACTTTGGTTTTACTTTTAGATATAGAAAGAATGAAACTACATTTTCGTGCCTAGAAATGTAATACAAGAATTAAATACTACAAACAGAAAAACAAAATCAAATCAAAAAAATAAAAGATGTTGAAAGCTTACTCATTCATACACTACCTACTGAAAACACGTTTTCAAATATATGTTATACAGTCTGATATGAATACGTAATGACGACCTGTTATTACAGGATTTCACTAGTAGAGCCTTGTGATAATGAAAACAAACTCCGGATCATAGAAAAACCTTTTAATCTGAAGTATTTATTATTGTTTATTGACTTCTCCTAATTCCATAGAAATTTTCTAGTATTTATTAAATAAACAACAGATACAGTGGATAACAGTAAACTCGGCATTTCTTCCACAATCAATCTAAATAAAAATTTATAGAAATATAGAAAACTGGGCAGCATTGAACTATCGCAATTTTTAAAAATTTCAAAAAAATCGAATTTCACGCCGAAAATGTTACTGCAGAGTTTTTGTTCGGATTAAGGAGACATCGACTTCAAGTAGCCTCTGTTCGGACTACAGAATGTTCGGATAATCGTGGCTTCGGATTATAGAGGTTATACTGTATCATTTTATCTTAGAATAAAAAAAATTGGCGGACCCTCACTAGACGGACAGACAAAGGGCAAGAAAACGAAATAAATGTTTTTTTTTTTAATCTAAACTCGGCTTTGTAAAAAAACTCACATTTTAAAAACTACTTTAGATCATCGAAATATTTTTGGGCTTTACGAACAAGTAAGGAAATTGGTGTATTTCGGTTTAAAATTACTCAAGACATGGGGATTCCCCATTCTCTGAAAAATATGGGATCCACTGAAACTATTTTAAGCCATCCAGGAAATGTCATCTGATGCATTCATTTCTTAACTGAGTAAGCGGAGAAATGGTTAATGATAAAGATAATGTTAAATGAGGTTTCTAGTAATCTTTTTTTATGAAATAAGTCACGTTTGACCATGGTACAGAACGAAAAACACATCTCTCTACATATCCCTTGTGAAAGACAATGACGTCACGTCAAATTCTGTCGAACATAATACACATTATGTAAAGGTGTTTCCCAAATTCCTATTATTTTGCGGCTCTTCTAAAACCTCCACAGTTCCCGCTTAATCAAAAAATAGCGCCTCACACCGGACATAAAATTAAAACTGATTAAAAACTCACACCGATCGCAACCGCAATCCGCGTTCCGCACAAACCGCAACTTCCCTTCTATGAATCAATTTTTGCATCACTCTTTGAACAGACAACGATCACCCAAATAACCCACCGACAACCAGGGTTCAAAGCGGTTCATACCGTGCTTGACACCGCTACCGGATTTCCCATATTCACCGCTTGTACGTCACGCCAGGCATAACCTATTCCAAACGCAAATGACGTTGGCATCCTTGACATTCCGTGACACATAACCTCAAAGACGCAACATGTGGACGCTAAAAAACAACTAACAAGCCGTTTTTGGAACATTACACAACGAAATGACGAAAGGGGACCATTTTTATCGTGATTGCCTCACGGAGTTTGAGGCAGTGACGAAAAAGCCGACGCATTTCCTGCAGTAAGTTTTCCAATAATAATTTTAGTGAAAATAACGTGGTTTTGTAGAGCGAATGGGGAGTTTTGTGAGCGCGTTAAAACTCAGGTGAAGGAGATTTACGATTTTGCGAAACGCGAAGAAACGAAGGGGTGGAAAAATGGGGCCTTGCGCGAATTGGTGACGCAGAATTTTGATTTGGAGCAGATTTGGCAACAAATTGAGCTGCAGAATGAGTCTTTGTTGACTTCAGCGTTAATTAGCGTTAGCAAATTGGTCGTGAATAAGTCGGGGCTCACGTTTGGGGTTGATCATAAATCTGAATCCAGTGACTATGATAATTCCGAAGACAACTCTAGTGCAGACAAGAGTGACAATGAAAGTGTGCGTAGTGACACCAATGAAGAAGAAGAAGAAGAAGAAAACGCCCCCTTGATTGGGAGCCCCAAACCCGCCAAAACCTCCGTTGTAGACGACGACTTTTTCAACTTAAACGAAATGGAAAAATTTCTGGAGGCAGAAGAGAAAAAACTGTCTAAATCACAAAGTGATGATGACGACGATGAATCCGAGTCTGAAGCAAGTATAGACTTATTTGAAGGTAGTGACAGTGAAGATGATGCCAAACAAGCCAAATACAAAGATTTTTTTGTGGCTCAAGACCCCGTAAAGTCCTCCCATGAATTAAAACAAACCAGACTTAATAAAAAAATTGAGGAGATTGAAGAAAAAGCGGTTGAAGAAAAATCGTGGCAGTTGAAAGGAGAAGTCACGGGGGAGAGTCGCCCCCAGAACTCTCTTCTTGAAGAAATAGTAGAGTTTGATTTAACTAGTAGACCGGCTCCTGTTATCACTGAACAGACTACAATGCAACTGGAAGATATAATTAAACAAAGAATTAAAGACAAAGTGTTTGATAGTGTGGAACGGAAAGCTAAACCTGTGGAGACCCCTCTAGAATATAAAAAGAAGCTCGTTTTGGAGCAGGAGAAAAGTAAAGAGTCGTTGGCTCAAATCTATGAGAAGGAATTTCTACAACAACAGGCGTCACTAGCTGGTGATACCCCAGAAGAAAAGGAGCCAGAGCTTCACACAGAGATTAATTCTTTGATGAAAGATTTATTTACGAAGATGGACGCTCTATCTAATTTCCATTTCACTCCAAAACCTGCAGTACCTGAACTCAAAATTATTAGTAATCTTCCGGCTATTAGTATGGAGGAAGTCGCTCCTGTTGTGGTCAGCGATGCGACGTTATTAGCCCCCGAAGAAATTAAAAACAAAACTAAAGGCGACATTGTGGGTAAGAACGAACGTACAACTACTGATAAAAAACGGGAAAGGAGGAAAAAGAAGCTGAAACAGAAAATACACGCTAAAGAGAGGGAGAAGAGAGGACAGCTAAATAAAACTGGAGTTAATAGGAAGAGCAAGAAAGACAAAACTAATAACGTATTTATTGTGTTTAAGGAAGCGATTTGTGTTAATTGTTGTTGTTTTTAGGAAACTTCTTCAGATGCTGGAGCTCTTAAATCATCAAAGACGTTTTTCACGCAGTTGGAAGAACAAGTAAAAACGCAGATAAAGAGGAAGACTGTGGATGAAGTGGGGAAAAAGGATGCACGCGTGGTCAGTGCCAAACGACTAAAATTGTAAATACATTTAGGTTTGAAGTCTCGAAATTTTGAGGTTATGTTCACTAATTTTAATTGTTTTTAGCAAATACGTAAAAAATTAAGTAAAATTGTAAATAAATTGTTTATTTGTGTTAATTCTTCAACAAAACTCCCCATACTTTATTATAATAGTTATTATTTAGTTAAAAACTGATTATAGTGTCATAATGTCATTGCCATTGCTGCCAACAGCACGGCAGTTATTAGCTTTTACGTGTGTTAATAACCACGGTTAGATACGAAAATCCTGTGCGAAAAAATTTTAAAGCGCTTTAGGAACCCTTGGTGTATTATATCTGTGATTATATCGTGTGATCAGAAATGATTGAGTCTGTTGGCAGTACTTTTTACACAAAAATGTAAACTTTTCTTGTGTTTATGTTGGCATAACAGAAGTACTTGCATGACAGATATATGTCAATAGTGACATGCGATAAATTTAGATTATTTTCGATGCATTTTACACCAGTTTTACACGTTAAAAATGTCAACAATCCGTCAATCTTGACAGCTGACAACAGGAAATTATTGAAAACATCGTGATACCATTTTCAAATAAAAATCCAGGGTTGCCAACTGACTCAGTTATTTCTAATCACGCGGTATTTGGAGAAATTTAATGAATAACAAGAGCCTCTAGTCTGTGCTCTAGTGTTTTATATTTGAAGAATTTTTAAAGAATCTCAGAGTAACTTGACGTTTTGGTTTAGCACAAAATTTAGAAGATCTTGGGTGTTTAAAATGTTTTATAATTGAAAGAATTCTAAGGAATCTCAACTCGACGTTTTGATTTTGAAACAATGTTGAAAAATATTTCGAGCCTTCGGTGTTTAGACTTTAAAAAACATGTGGAGCACCTGACGTTTTGGTTTCAAAGGAACTTTAAAATTATCTTGGGGATTCCACGTGTTTGATAGCTGAAAGTGTTTAAAGGAATCTTGGGAACCTTTGGTGTTTTATATTTGCAAAAATTTAAAAGATTTTGGGGCCTTGTGGTGTTTTATTTCTGAAAAACTTTCAAAATATCTCAAGAGTACCCAACGTTTGGATTTAGAACGAAATTTAAAGAAACTTCGAGTTTATTCGTGTTTTATATCTGAAAGATTCTTGGAGGCATCCGTATTTTATATTAGAAAAAAGAAAGAGGAAAAATTTTAAAGAATCTCAGAGGCACTTGACGTTTTAGTTTGGAACAAAATTTAAAGAATCTTTGAGGGTTCTACGTGTTTTATACCTGAAAGTGTTTTAAGGAATCTTGGGGACCTTTGGTGTTTTATATTTGCAACAACAATTTTAAAGGATTTTGGGACCTTCTGGTGTTTTATATTTGAAAAGCTCTAAAGAATCCTAAGATGGATTATATTTGAAAATTTTTAATCCGTGATTTTAATGAATAGTCTGGTGTTTTATATTTGAAAAATTTTTTAAAAATCTTCAGGACCACCCGACGTTTGGATTTAGAACAAAATTTAAACAATCTTGGTGGTTTTTCGTGTTTTATTTCTGAATGAATTTTAAAGATTCTTCGGGGCATCTAGTGTTTTATATTTTAAAAAAGAAAGAGGAAAAATTTTAAAAATCGCAGAAGCAACTTGACGTTTTGGTTTAGAACAAAATTTAAACAATCTTGAGTGTTCAAAATGTTTTATATTTTAAACATTCTAAAGAGTCTCAGGGCAACTCGACGTTTTGATTTAGAACAAAATTGAGAGGATCTTGGGTGTTCAAATTGTTTTATAATTGAAAGAATTCTAAAGAATCTCGTCGGTGTTTAATATTTGAAAAACTTTAAAAAATCTGTGGAGCACCTGACGTTTTGGTTTAGAACGAAATTTAAAACATCTTGGGAATTCCACGTGTTTGATACCTGAAAGTGTTTAAAGGAATCTTGGGGACTTTTGGTGTTTTAGATTTGCAAAAATTTTAAAAGATTTTGGGGCCTTCTAGTGTTTTATTTCTGAAAAACTTTCAAAAAATCTCAAGGGCGCCCTACGTTTGGATTTAGAACGAATTTTAAAGAATCTTCAAGGTTCTAAAGATTCTTGAGGGCATCTGGTGTTTTATATTTGAAAAAAGAAAGAGGAAAAGTTTTAAAGAATCTAGAGGCATCTGACGTTTTAGTTTAGAACAAAATTCAAAGATTCTTGAGTGTTCAAAATGTTTTATATTATTATATTTGATAGAATTCTAAGGAATCTCACCTGAACTCGACGTTTTGATTTTGAAACAACGTTCAAAAACATTTGGGGCCATGGATGTTTAATATTTGAAAAAGTTTAAAAAATCTGAGGGGCACCCGACGTTTTGGTTTAGAACGAAATTTAAAAAATCTTGGGGGTTCTAGGTGTTTTATACCTGAAAGTGTTTTAAGGAATCTTGGGGATTTTTGATGTTTTATTTATATTTGCAACAATTTTAAAGGAGTTTGGGGCCTTCTGGTGTTTTATATTTGAAAAACTAAAGAATCTTAGGAGCCTCTGGTGGGTTATATTTGAAACATTTTAATGATTATCAGGAGCTTCTGCTGTTTTATATTTGAAAAAAGAAAGAGGAAAAGTTTTAAAGAATCGCGGGGGCAACTTGACATTTTGGGTTAGAACAAAATTAAAAAAATCTTGAGTGTTCAAAATGTTTTATATTTGAAAAAGTTGAAAGAATCTCAGAGGCATCGACGTTTTGAGGCCTTCTGGTGTTTTATATTTGAAAGAATTCTAAAGAATTTCAGGGCAACTCGACCTTTTGGTTTAGAACAAAATTTAAAGAATCTTGAGTGTTCAAAATGTTTTATATTTTAAAGCATTCTAAAGAGTCTCAGGGCAACTCGACGTTTTGATTTAGAACAAAATTGAGAAGATCTTGGGTGTTCAAATTGTTTTATAATTGAACGAATTCTAAGGAATCTCGTCGGTGTTTAATATTTGAAAAACTTAAAAAAATCTGTGGAGCACCTGACATTTTGGTTTAGAACGAAATTTAAAACATCTTGGGGATTCCATGGGTATGATACCTGAAAGTGTTTAAAGGAATCCTGGGGACTTTTGGTGTTTTATATTTGCAAAAATTTTAAAAGATTTTGGGGCCTTCTGGTGTTTTATTTCTGAAAAACTTTCAAAAAATCTCAAGGGCGCCCAACGTTTGGAATTAGAACGAAATTTAAAGAATCTTCGAGGTTCTAAAGATTCTTGAGGGTATCTGGTGTTTTATATTTGAAAAAAGAAAGAGGAAAAGTTTTAAACAATCTTAGAGGCACCTGACGTTTTAGTTTAGAACAAAATTTAAAAAATCGTGAGTGTGCAAAATGTTTTATATTATTATATGTATTTGATAGAATTCTATAAGGAATCTCAGCTGAACTCGCTGTTTTGATTTTGAAACAATGTTGAAAAATATTTCGAGCCTTCGGTGTTTAATATTTGAAAAATTTTAAAAAATCTGTGGGCCACTTGACGTTTAGGTTTAGAGCGAAATTTAAAAAATCTGGAGGGTCCACATGTTTTATACCTGAAAGTGTTTTAAGGAATCTTGGGGACCTATGGTATTCTATATTTGCAAAAATTTTAAAGGATTTTGGGCCTTCTGGTGTTTTATATATAAACACTCTAAAGAATCCTAAGATCCTCTGATGGGTTATACATATTTGAAAAATTTTAATGAATAACAGGAGCTTCTGGTGTTTTATATTTGAAAAATTTTCAAAAAATGTTAAGGATCACCCGACGTTTGGATTTAGAACGAAATTTAAAGAATCTTGGAGGTTTTTCGTGTTTTATATCTGAATGAGTTTTAAAGATTCTTCGGGGCATTTGTATTTTATATTTTAAAAAAGGTAAGAAGAAAAATTTTAAAGAATCCTAGAGGCACTCGACTTTTTGGTTTATAACAAAGTTTAAAGAATCTTGAGTGTTCAAAATGTTTATATTTTAAACATTTTAAAGAGTCTCAGGGCAACTCGACGTTTTGATTTAGAACAAAATTGAGAGGATCTTGGCTGTTCAAAATGTTTTATAATTCTAAGGAATCTCTTCGGTGTTTAATATTTGAAAAACTTTAAAAAATCTGTGGACGTTTTGGTTTATAACGAAATTTAAAACATCTTGGGGATTCCACGTGTTTGATACCTGAAAGTGTTTAAAGGAATCTTGGGGACCTTTGGTGTTTTATATTTGCAAAAATTTTTAAAGATTTTGGGGCCTTCTGGTGTTTTATGTTTTAAAAACTCTAAAGAATTATAGGACCCTCTGGTGGGTTATATTTGAAAAATATTAATGATTAGCAGGAGCTTCTGGTGTTTTATTTCTAAAAAACTTTAAAAAATTCTCAAGGATATCCAACGTTTGGATTTAGAACGAAATTTAAAGAATCTGCGAGGTTGTTCGTGTCTTATGTCTGAAAGAGTTTTAAAGATTCTTGGGGGCATCTGGTGTTTTATATTTGAAAAAAGAAAGAGGAAAAATTTTAAAGAATTTCAGAGGCACCTGACGTTTTGGTTTAGAACAAAATTTAAAGAATCTTGAGTGTTCAAAATATTTTATATTTGAAGGAATTCTAAGAAATCTCAGCTCAACTCGATGTTTTGATTTTGAAACAACGTTCAACAACATTTGGGGCCTGGTGTTTTATATTTGAAAAACTCTAAGGAATCCTAGGAGCCTCTAGTGGGTTAAATTTGAAACATTTTAATGATTAGCAGGAGCTTCTGGTGTTTTATATTTGAAAAAAGAAAGATTAAAAATTTTTAAGAATCGCAGGGGAACTTGACATTTTGGGTTAGAACAAAATTTAAAGAATCTTGAGTGTTCAAAATGTTTTATATTTGAAAAAATTCTAAAGAATCTCAGGACAACTCGACGTTTTAATATTTAGAGCAAAATTTAAAAGATCTTGAGTGTTCACAATGTTTTATATTTGAACGAATTTTAAAGAATCTCAGGCCAATTCGACATTTTGGTTTAGAACAAAATTTAAAGAATCTTGAGTGCTTAAAATATTTTATATTTGAAGGAAATCTAAGGAATTTCAGCTCAACTCGACGTTTTGATTTTGAAACAACGTTCAAAAACATTGGGAGCCTTGGGTGTTTCATATTTGAAAAAGTTTAAAAAATCTGAGAGGCACCCGACGTTTTGTACCTGAAAGTATTTTAAAGAATCTTGGGGACCTTTGGTGTTTTATATTTGCAAAAATTTTAAAGGATTTTTGGGTCTTCTGGTGTTTTATATTTAAAAACTCTAAAGAATCCTAAGATCCTCTGATGGGTTATACATATTTGAAAAATTTTAATGAATAACAGGAGCTTCTGGTGTTTTATATTTGAAAAATTTTCAAAAAATCTCTGGGGCACCTAACGTTTGGATTTAGAACGAAATTTAAAGTATCTTGCAGGTCCTCCGTGTTTTATATCTGAAAGAGTTTTAAAGGTTCGTGGGAGCATCTGGTGTTTTATAGTTGAAAAAAGAAAGAGGAAAAATAGAGTTTTGGTTTACAATAAAATTTAATGAATCTCGAGTGTTCAAAATGTTCTATATTTGAAAGAATTCTAAACAATCTCAGGGAAACTCGACGTTTTGATTTTGAAACAATGTTGAAAAATATTTCTAACCTTCAGTGTTTAATATTGCAAAAACTTTAAAAAATCTGTGGTCCACTTGACGTTTAGGTTTAGAGCGAAATTTAAAAATCTTGAGGGTCCACATGTTTTATACCTCAAAGTGTTTTAAGGAATCTTGGGGACCTTTGGTGTTTTATATTTGCAAAAATTTTAAAGGATTTTGGGCCTTCTGGTGTTTTATATTGAAAAACTCTAAAGAATCCTAAGATCCTCTGATGAGTTACACATATTTGAAAAATTTGAATGAATAACAGGAGCTTCTAGTGTTTTCTATTTGAAAAATTTTCAAAAAATCTCAGGGGCACCTAACGTTTGAATTTAGAACGAAATTTAAAGTTCTTGGAGGTCCTTCGTGTTTTATATTTGAAAGAGTTTTAAAGGTTCGTGGGAGCATCTGATGTTTTATAGTTGAAAAAAGAAAGAGGAAAAATAGAGTTTCGGTTTAGAATAAAATTTAATGAATCTTGAGTGTTCAAAATGTTTTATATTTGAAAGAATTCCAAAGAATCTCAAGGAAACTCGACGTTTTGATTTTGAAACAATGTTTAAAAATATTTCGAATCTTCGGTGTTTAATATTTGAAAAACTTTAAAAAATCTGTGGGCCACTTGACGTTTAGGTTTAGAGCTAAATTTTAAAAATCTGGAGGGTCCACATGTTTTACACTTGAAAGTGTTTTAAAGAATCCTGGGGACCTTTGGTGTTTTATATTTGCAAACATTTTAAAGGATTTTTGAGTCTTCTGGTGTTTTATATTTAAAAACTCTAAAGAATCCTAAGATCCTCAGATGGGTTATACATATTTGAAAAATTTTAATGAATAACAGGAGCTTCTAGTGTTTAATATTTGAAAAATTTTCAAAAAATCTCTGGGGCACCTAACGTTTGGAATTAGAACCAAATTTAAAGTATCTTGGAGGTCCTTCGTGTTTTATATCTGAAAGAGTTTTAAAGTTTCGTGGGAGCATCTGGTGTTTTATAGTTGAAAAAAGAAAGAGGAAAAATATAGTTTTGGTTTAGAATAAAATTTAATGAATCTTGAGTGTTCAAAATGTTTTATATTTGAAAGAATTCCAAAGAATCTCAAGGAAACTCGACGTTTTGATTTTGAAACAATGTTGAAAAATATTTCGAGCCTTCGGTGTTTGATATCTGAAAAACTTTAAAAAATATGTGGGCCACTTGACGTTTAGGTCTAGAGCGAAATTTAAAAAATCCGGAGGGTCCACATGTTTTATACCTGAAAGTGTTTAAGGAATCTTGGGGACCTTTGGTGTTTTATATTTGCAAAAATTTTAAAGGATTTTGGGGCCTTCTGGTGTTTTATATTTAAAAACTCTAAAGAATGCTAAGATCCTCTGATGGGTTATACATATTTGAAAAATTTTAATGACTAACAGGAGCTTCTGGTGTTTTATATTTGAAAAATTTTCAAAAAATCTCTGGGGCACCTAACGTTTGGATTTAGAACGAAATTTAAAGTATCTTGGAGGTCCTTCGTGTTTTATATCTGAAAGAGTTTAAAAGGTTCGTGGGAGCATCTGGTGTTTTATAGTTGAAAAAAGAAAAAGGAAAAATAGAGTTTTGGTTTAGAATAAAATTTAATGAATCTTGAGTGTTCAAAATGTTTTATATTTGAAAGAATTCCAAAGAATCTCAGGGAAACTCGACGTTTTGATTTTGAAACAATGTTGAAAAATATTTCGAATCTTCGGTGTTTAATATTTGAAAAACTTTAACAAATCTATGGGCCACTTGAGGTTTAGGTTTAGAGCGAAATTTAAAAAATCTGGAGGGTACACATGTTTTATACCTGAAAGTGTTTTAAGGAATCTTGGGGACCTTTGGTGTTTTATATTTGTAAAAATTTTTAAGGATTTTGGGCCTTCTGGTGTTTTATATTTGAAAAACTCTAAAGAATCCTAAGATCCTCTAATGGGTTATACATATTTGAAAAATTTTAACGAATAACAGGAGCTTCTGGTGTTTTATATTTGAAAAATTTTCAAAAAATCTCTAGGGCACCTAACGTTTGGATTTAAAACGAAATTTAAAGTATCTTGGAGGTCCTTCGTGTTTTATATCTGAAAGAGTTTCAAAAGTTCGTGGGAGCATCTGGTGTTTTATAGTTGAAAAAAGAAAGAGGAAAAATAGAGTTTTGGTTTAGAATAAAATTTAATGAATCTAGAGTGTTCAAAATGTTTTATATTTGAAAGAATTCCAAAGAATCTCAAGAAAACTCGACGTTTTGATTTTGAAACAACGTTGAAAAATATTTCTAGCCTTAGGTGTTTAATATTTGAAAAACTTTAAAAAATCTGCGGGCCACTTGACGTTTAGGTTTAGAGCGAAATTTAAAAAATCTGGAGGGTCCACATGTTTTATACTTGAAAGTGTTTTAAGGAATTTTGGAGACCTTGGGTGTTTTATATTTGCAAATATTTTAAAGGATTTTTGGGCCTTCTGGTGTTTTATATTTCCACATGTTTTATACCTGAAAGTGTTTTAAATAATCTTGGGGACCTTTGGTGTTTTATGTTTCCAAATATTTTTAAGGATTTTGGGCCTTCTGGTGTTTTATATTTAAAAACTCTAAAGAATCCCAAGACCCTTTGATGGGTTATACATATTTGAAAAACTTTAATGAATAACAGGAGCTTCTGGTGTTTTATATTTGAAGAATTTTCAAAAAATCTCTGGGACACCTAACGTTTGGATTTAGAACGAAATTTAAAGTATCTTGGAGGTCCTTCGTGTTTTATATCTGAAAGAGTTTTAAAGGTTCGTGGGAGCATCTGGTGTTTTATAGTTGAAAAAAGAAAGAGGAAAAATAGAGTTTTGGTTTAGAATAAAATTTAATGAATTTTGAGTGTTCAAAATGTTTTATATTTGAAAGAATTCCAAAGAATCTCAAGGAAACTCGACGTTTTGATTTTGAAACAATGTTGAAAAATATTTCGAATCTTCGGTGTTTAATATTTGAAAAACTTTAAAAATTCTGTGGGCCACTTGACATTTAGGTCTAGAGCGAAATTTAAAAAATCTTGAAGGTCCACATGTTTTATACCTGAAAGTGTTTTAAGGAATCTTGGGGATCTTTGGTGTTTTATATTTGCAAAAAATTTTAAAGGATTTTAAGCCTTCTGGTGTTTTATATTTTAAAAACTCTAAAGAATCCTAAGATCTTCTGATGGGTTATACATATTTGAAAAATTTTTATGAATAACAGGCGCTTCTGGGGTTTTATATTTGTTTGGATTTAGAACGAAATTTAACGGATCTTGGAGGTCCTTCGCGTTTTGTATCTGAAAGAGTTTTAAAGATTCTTGGGAGCATCTGGTGTTTTATATATAGTTAAAAAAAAAGAGGAAAAATAGAGTTTTGGTTTAGAATAAAATTTAATGAATCTTGAGTGTTCAAAATGTTTTATATTTGAAAGAATTCTAAAGAATTACAGGGCAACTAGTCGTTATGGTTGAGAACAAAATTTAAAGATCTTGGGTGTTCAAAATGCTTTATATTTTAAAGAATTCTAAGTAATCAGGAATCTCAGCTCAACTCGACGTTTTGATTTTGAAACAACGTTGAAAAACATTTCGAACCTTCGGTGTTTAATATTTGAAAAAGTTTAATGTTAGGGCCCTCTGGTGTGTTATAGTTGCAAAAACTTTAAAGGATTTTGGGGCCTTCTGGTGTTTATATTTGAAAAACTCTAAAGAATCCTAGGACCCTCTGGGGGGTTGTATTTGAAAAATTTTAATGAATGGCAGGAGTTTCTGGTGTTTTATATTTGAAAAATTTTGAAAAAATCTGCTGCATCAAACGTTTGGATTTAGAACGAAATTTAAAGAATCTTGAAGGTTCTTCGTGTTTTACACAATTTAAAGAATCTTGGAGGCTCTTCGTGTTTTATATTTGAAAGAGTTTTAAAGATTCTTGGGAGCATCTGGTGCTTTATATTTGAAAAGCTCAAAGGAATCCTGGGACCCTCTGGGTTATATTTGAAATATTTTTAAAGACTCTCAGGGACACCTGACTTCCCGGTTTAGAATATGATATAAAAAATCATTTGGGTTTCGGGTGTTTTATATCTGAAGTTCTTAAATCGTCAAAAGCAGTTGGAAGCCTGGTTAGAACAAAAAGTAAAAACCAAAATAAAGAGGAAGACCGTGGATAAAATGGGTAAAATTGCACGCGTGTTTAATGTCAAACGATTAAAACTGAGGTTTTGTTCAATCAAAAAGTCAGTTTTGGCAAGCAGGTAAAAAAACTAAAATTGTAAATAAATTGTTTATTTGAAGACCCACCACTGACCCAAAACTCCCCCATATTTTATTATAACAGTTAAATATTTAATGAAAACCTACTATAGTGAAATTATCACTGCTGCCAACACCACGGCACTTAATACATGTGCGAAAACACGCACAGCCCCACCGCTTCCACCTTCTGGTGGCTGTGGATCACCATCTCCTTCACCAGGGTTTTCTTCACCAGGGTTTTCTTCACCAGGGTTTTCTTCACCAGGGTCTTCTTCACCAGGATCTTCCTCACCATTTTCCAGATCCTCTGGAGGTATTATATTTTCGTCTGGTAATTCCGCTCTCAACTGATCTCTCACCTACAACACTCGTTTTTTAACCGCAGACCACATATCATACGCAATTACCGCCTCCACAGCTTTGAACACCCTGTGCAGGTTCCTGCCTGCCAATTTCTCCAAGTTTTCTATAGTCCAAACGTCAGGGTTTGACGATTTCAGAAGATCAAACAAATCGGGGTACTTTGACACGTCTTCCAGACCTTTTGGAACACTGCTAACACCGTCGTAATCCGAACCAATACCGACGTGGTTCACTCCCGACACGTTCGCAATATGGTTAATGTGTTCTAAAATCGTTGCAATTTTTATTTTTGCTTTTAACAAACCTTGTAGGACTTACTGACGACATCGTCTATTGTAACATTGCCTTGTCCTATAAATGCGCTGTAAAAGTTTACCATGACTACGCCATCGTTTTCTCTCTGTAACACAGTACGAGACTCTGGAATGACGTCCGATGTCGCTGACGACTAATTTGTGCTTACCACTTTTTCCAGGACGTCGTCTTGTACGTTTCGGTGATGAGCGTACACGGAATATGCAGACGAATGCGAAAAAATAACAGGGGCTTTGGAGGTTTCAATAGCTTCTACCATTACGCCGTGGGAGACGTGAGATAGATCCACCATCATTCCGAGACGGTTCATTTCGAGAACGATTTTCTAAACAATGTAAAGAGTAGTGAAAACGGATTTTAATCAGAGTTATTAAAGAATTACTTTTCCGAACTCGGTTAAATTTACTACTGGAGCGGTGTCGTCTACTGGGGATGCGTCTGCCCTAAAATCCAAAACCACGTCTAAATTAAAAGAAAAACAAGTCTTGAGTTGTACCAAGGAAGATTGCAGGAGTGTGTTAGTGTCATGTAGCGGACACCCATGTCGTAGTACTGTCGTAACAAAGACATTTTGCTGTCGATGGAATGTCCTCCTTCCAGTCCTATCATACTTGCAATTTTACCCTCCTTAAAAGCGTCCACGATTCCTGTATAATTATACAAATAAATAGATATGCAACCAATTATACACGCAACGTGAATTTACCATCTGCAGTTGTCACGAATTCTAAATCGTTTGGATACTTTGCAATCAGCCTCCTAATTACGTCCACCTGTTCCACACTACGTGACACCGTAGTGTTGTAATTAACAGGATTACACGAAACATAGGCGACCCAAAACTAAATAAAATACAAAATATAGAAAACTCAAGTCAATTTTTTACCTGTGCTCCGAGTTTCCCCTGCCTTGCTCGCACCAAATCCGTGAAACACGAGCTACAATTCGATCCGAAGAGAGGATCTTCACTCAAATCTGCGTCAAACGAAAAATTATATATCTTGTTTTGTAAAATCGTGTACAAGTTGAACGGTAAATCGTTGTGTCTGCAAGCAAATTAATTTTTAATTATGACGAGACGACACATTGGGAGCTTACCCATCGATTAGGGGAAAGTTGTCCAGGGCTCTGCTTCCAGGAATGTCATCTCTAGGTGCTTGCGAACTATCGGAAAACAGTAAAAGGAAAATTACGAAGAAAAACGTCTGTTTTAACATTTTTGGGATTTTGCTGCTGGAACTATATTTAGCTACGCGATAAGTGTGCACGCTTACTCTTTATTGAGGTGTAATGACTGGGGTATTATAGTAGGGATTAGAGCTAGACGAATTAGAAAGTTTGTAAATTTGATAAAAGATTATTAAGTCGTTCTGTAGATTAAGAATGATTATCACTACAATTGGGTCTATTTGAGCAATTACGTGTGGCAGTATCTAGGCAAATTTTTTACAACTTTAATTAGGTGGAGGGAAATGAAAAAGCGTTGGTAACTTTGGCATTGGGCTATTTTTGTAGCGGGAGTGTGGGTTTGTGTTTGCTGGAAAAATAAAAAAATGGGAATGTGGGTGATTGTTGAGAGATGGTGTCTGCAATTTAAATAAAGGCTTCAATTCTTTCGTCTTTTGTGTACGTGCGAAGTGGGTGGGTGAAAAAAGTCCTAAGAGGTTTATAATTACACAAATATTAAAATGTTTCATGTTTTTTGAAACAACGTTGTGATAAGTACATTTATTTTGTATGCAACACCGTCCGGTCGAAAATAAAGAAGTTTAAAGTAGGCTGTGAGGCGAATTATTTAGGTGGTACTACTGCGCAACTGACAGATAACATCAGTGGAGGCTTGGTTTACTTTACTAGAGCGTCAGGTTAGGTCGGGTCAGATTTATTCTTTTTTTTTTAAGAATTTTTAACCGACTTCATCTCTTCCATAACTCCAACCGTTTTTCCAGGATCGCCCATTGAAATATCGCAATTTTTAAAAATTTGAATGACATTTCGAATATTTATAAATATCCCTGAATTTTTTGATAATTTTGAGAGGACTTTTTCAAAAATGAAATTTAACTAAATACATTTTCTGGTAGATTTCGGGCCGCAGAAGTTACTTAGATTTTTAAATTCTTCAGTTTTTCTTTTTTTTCAACTTTTAGATTTTGCAATTATTCGAACTGAGTTTCTCGAGTTCTCAATTTATAATTTTACAGTTTTTCGATTTTCAGTTTTTAGTTTCAATTTTTTAGTCTCTTTATTTCATCAATTATTCGATTCTTGAGTTTAAAATTTTCTAATTTTTTGTTGTTTCAATTTTTCCTTTTTTTTGTTTCTTTGAGTTTGAATTTCACTTTGTTACGTTTATTTTCTTTATTTCTTAAAATTTTCGGTTTTTCATTGTCCTGATTTTATAATTTTCCTTTTTTTTTGAATGTGAAAATTTTCAATTTTTGGATTTTTCAATTTTTCGGTTTGGAATTTGATGATTTTCATTCTAAGTATGGAATAATAATTACAATTTTTAAAAATTTTCCACTTTTCAGTTATTAGGTTTTTAAACTTTTTCATTTATTCAGCTTTCCATTTTTTCAATTTTTAATGTTTCGATTTTTAATTTTTTAATTTCTCGATCTTTACAATTTTTGGATTTTCCCAATTTTTGATTGGATTCGTTTTTCCTTCTTAGCAATTTTTCGATTAATTTTTTCGAGTTTTAAATTTTCCACTTTTCAATTATTGGGTTTTTAAACTTTTTCATTTATTCAACTTTTCATTTTTTCAATTTTTTAATGTTCCGATTTAAAATTTTTCAGTTTATCGATACATAAGTAACTTTTCAATTTTTCGATATTACAAAGTTAGTTTTTCAACTTAACAATTTTTTGATGTTACAATTTTTGGGTTTTCCTATTTTTCCATTCGATTCTCTTTTTCTTCTTAGCAATTTTTCGTTTCATTATTTTTTTCGTTTTCTAAGTTTCTCGATTTTTTTCTTAGACGGTATATCAATTTTCAAAATCAGTCTTATCTTCGCAAATACTAGCCCCACCCACCCACCCTTTCTTTATTTTCTTGGAGAATTGTCATTCTCCAAAATCGGCCCTTTATTTGCAAGTACTATGCGAATTTCGACCCATTTTCGACCATTTTCGAAATTTAACTAATTACATTTTCTTGTAGATTTCGGGTCCCAGAAGTCACTTGAATTTTTCAATTCTTCGATTTTTCATTTTTTTTCAGTTTTTCGATTTGCAATTTTTCGAGTTTTCCAGTTTCAGTTGTTCAGTTTTCCAACCTTAAAATTTTTCAGTTTCTGGTTTCAATTTTTTGTTTTTTCATTTTTTTATTTCCCCAATTTTTCGATTTCCAGTTTTTAATTTTTTTTTTTGTTTCTTTGAGTTTGAGTTTTCACTTCGTACATTTTTTATGTTTTATATTTTTAAAAATTCTCGGTTTTTCATGGTCCTGATTTTATAATTTTCCCATTTTTGAATATGAAACTTCAATTTTTGGATTTTTCAATTTTTCGGGTTGGAATTTTACGATTTTCATTTTAAGTATGGAATAATAATAATTATAGTTTTAAAACATTTTCAATTTTTTAATTATTGGGTTCCAAAACTTTTTCATCTATTCAGCTTTTCATTTTTTCAATTTTTAATGTTTCGATTTTTAATTTTTTAATTTCTCGATACATATATTTAATTTTTCAAATTTTCGATCTTTCAAAATTATAGTTTTTCAACTTTACAATTTTTCGATGTTACAATTTTTGGGTTTTCCAATTTTTCGATTCGATTCGCTTTTTCTTCTTACCAATTTTTTCGATTTTTAAGCTTTTCTTAGAGGGTATATCAATTGCTAAAATCAGTATTTTCGTAGCAAGTACTAGCCCCGCCCACCCACCCTTTATTTTCTTTTATTTTGTTAAAGGATATGTCATTCGCCAAAATCAGTCTTCTCTTGCCAAGTACGATGCAAATTTCGATCCATTTTCGACGATTTTCGAAATTTAACTAAATACATTTTCTTGTAGATTTAGGGCCGCAGAAGTCACTTCCGGCCTCAAGACTTTTTCTAAACTGAAATTTTCCACTATGTATATGCAAATTTCGCCCCTTTTTGACGATTTTCGAAATTTAACAGAATACATTTTCTGGTAGATTTCGGGTGGCAGAAGTCACTTGAATTTTTCAATTCTTCAATATTACTGTTTTTTTCAGTTTTTCAGTTTTTCAGCTTTAAAATTTTTCAGTTTTTCGTTTCAATTTTTTATTTTCTTTATTTTATCAAGTATTCAATTCTTGAGTGTTTGGATTTTATAATTTTTTTTTCTTTTTTTTTTTTGTTTCTTCAATTTTTCGATTTGCAATTTTTTAATTTTTCACTTTTTTTTGTTTTTTTGAGTGTGAGTTTTCACTTCGTTACGTTTTCTATTTTCTTTATTTTTTTAATTTCCGGCTTTTCATTGTCCTGATTTCATTCATAATCTCCCTTTTTAAATTTTTTGATTGGTCAATTTTTCGGTTGGGAATTTTACAATTTTCAGTTTAAATTTGGGAAATAATTATAATTTTTAAAAATTTTCCACTTTTTCAAGTATTGGGTTTTAAAAATTTGTCATTTATTCAACTTTTTATTTTTTCAATTTTTAATGTATATTTCGATTTTTAATTTTACAGTTTCTCGATTTTTCAAAACTACAATTTTTCAACTTTACAATTTTTCGATGTTACAATTTTTGACTTTTGATTTACCGCAATTTGAAAATTAAAAAAAAATCGAATTTATGTCCGAAAATTTTGAAAATATTGCTCCGTGACCCTAAATACGCAATCTTTTAGGAATCAGCACGTCAAGATCTGTAATCCCGAATTTTTTTTGAGAATTTTTAGAGCACTTTTCGACGATTTTGGAAATTCAACGAAACACATTTTCTTGTAGATTTTGTAGAATTTTATTTTTATTATAATGTAATATCTTTATGTAGAATTTTCTTTTAGTACTTGATCTCCAACTGAAAATTTTGACGATTTTTGAGATAATCAATATCAAATTTCAAAGCAGGTTTGTCACTTTTTAGTGTCAACAGTGTTTAGGTAAATACATCATGGCATTTACGGTCCGTAACAAAAAACAGTTTTCAAGATTTACAAAATTTTGACGAATTTTTGAAAAATTAAATAAAAATTGACGTCTGACTGTGTCACATTTTTTCACACTGATCTTGATTAGAAAGTCCAGAAGTGTTACCCATTTTTTTAACTTCCACAACCTCAAGATCTCAACATACAAGAAAATATATCACTTTTTTTTGTAATGAGATTAGTTATTCCTTTTATAATTTTTTTGTTTATGTCTAATTAACTAAAAAATTCTATTACCTATACAAGAAATCAATGATTGTGTTACATTTTTTTTGCCTAAATGAAAGGCTTTTGTTTAGAAAAATTTCATGGAAAGGAGTTTTTCTTTTTGTTGTAGACATGGGATTTAAAGATGGGTGGGTGGGCGATTTTTCAAAACTATAGTTTTTCAACTTCACAATTTTTCGATGTTACAATTTTTGGGTTTTCCAATTTTTCGATTCGATTCGCTTTCTCTTCTTGCCATTTTTGTGATTTTTAAGTTTTTTTCTTAAAGAATCTATCAACTGCCAAAATCAGCCTTATCTTCGCAAATACTAGTAACGCCCATCCGCCCTCTATTTTTTTCGAGGGTATATCAATTGCCAAAATTACTCTTTTCGCAGCAAGTACTAGCCCCGCCCACCCAACCACCCTTTCTTTATTTACTTGGAGGATATGTCACTCGCCAAAAATCGTCAAAATTTTCGGTTGGAGAACACGTACTAACAAATTTTCTACATCTTCTCTATCTTCGTCGTAATTAAATTATTTCCAGATCAGTCATCTATAAAATTCAACTTCCATAAAGATACTTCATTATAATAAAAATAAAAGTTCCCCGCCCACCCACCCATCTTTTCATCCGATGTCCACAACAAGAAGAAAAACTCCTTTTCATAAAATGTTTCTAAACCAAAGCCCTTTATTTAGTAAAAAAAAGTAACATAATTAGATGTCATTTTTTATTTAATTTTTCAAAAATTCAGCATGTCAAGATCTATATTCCTGAATTTTTTGAGAATTTTTAAACGACTTTTTCAAAAATGAAATGTTCCATCATTCTTCCAAAATCGCCCGTTGAAATATCGCAATTTTTAAAAATGGACCATCAGTGAAAATAATAATACATATTATAATTGCATTTTTACAATGTTAAAGATTAATTTTCTTAATAAAAATGATTTGGACAGTTGACCTGTGAAAAAAAAAACACTGTAATTTTCACCACTGATTTTTACCTTAGATCATATTTTTTACCACGAAAATTATATTTGGATCAGCCTTGGAGTACTATCGCCACCTAATGAATTCAAATACTTCAAACACTTTTGGAACGTATTTATAAATTCAAATTACGTGCCTCTAATGGATAAGTTTTTGCGTTGTAAATACCTAAAATAAATGGGCAATCGTAATTTCTGTATTACGTGGATTACAGTTTATTTACGTTGATAATTATACAAGGCATCCGTATCTTGTTAAGTAAACATCAATCATTAAATCGCCCAATATTTATTTATCATAAATATAGACATAAAGTAACCTCGTCGATTGATAGATAAGCACATTAAAGATTATTGGTAATTCTCACGAAAATCACAATAACAGACACAAACACTCGTATTTTATCAATTTTTGGAGAGGCCCGAGACCACCGAAAATTCGAACTAATCACTTCTCAATGTCAACACAACCTCTTTTTTGTCACGTTGTTCTATGTTCATTTTTTTAAATTGACAGGTGTCAGAATGGCCAGTTGTGCAGTCGTACCACCTATACCACACTGGTTTCAAAGCCAACTCGAAGTCGCTTTATTTTCGACTGCTCTGTTTAAAAATAAAATTTAACTAAAATAAATAATCAAAAATGGTACCATAGCAGAATGAATTTAAGATTACTGTTAGAGTTAGACGAAAACTTGAAAACTTTTCTGCCTAAACGATATAAAAGGGGCACCCTGCAATTAGTAAGGCCTCACAAACAACAGCAACCTAATTAGTACCCCCCCTTTCCTTATCCACAACACAAATTTCATTACTGATAAGCTCAGAACTAACTGCATATTTGTATGTGTATTATTAACCAACAATTGACTCCCTGATAAGCCCCGATATGGAACCGAATAATTAAACAGTCTCCAAATATTAAAACCCGAACTGCCAAAAATCTCGATTGCCAGATACCGTCAACCTAACCTCAAACCTTGCCGACGAGAAAAATGAAACTACACCTTTAAGCCAAAACAACCTTCACCATGCATATGTTCTTCTGGTGGGACTACAAAATCACCGACTTTTTGTTCCACGGCCTCACAACAACCTCAGTGGGGAGTTTATTCGGTGTCTGCATAGTTGTAAGTGCTATGTCATTTCTCTTCGAAGTGTTGCGGTACTTCCAAGCCAAACACCGACAAAAGGAGCTCATGCTCAGGTCCCAGCAAATCAGAACTATCTGTCCGACTGAAACTTCCACTCTGTTGACTGAGAATAGCCAAAGCGCCACCCGTCCTCACATTAAAATCACCAGAATCGATAGGTGTTGCGAGTGAGCAAAGAAAACAATAATTACAGTGGTTTACTTGTAGAACGTTTCTATTTGGAACGGAAATTTCGCTATGGTTCTCCTTACAAAACCTCGGATACATTTTGATGCTTTCAGTAATGGGGTACAATGGATGGGTGCTAATTTCTGCCGTCGTGGGAGGCGGGGTGGGGTACTTTGTATTCGGGCAGATGTTTATGAAGATTAATTTACAAAATTGTCAAATTATTAGGGATACGTGGTGCATGCAAAAATGTGGAGAACCAGGTAAGTTTGATATAATACTAAAAAAAAAGTCCTGATGACTTTCCAGATCCTGATCCTGATCCTGACTCTGATACCCAGTCCTCGCTTATTGTGAGTCCTTCAACTGTCGTAATCCCGTACTTAGAATTTTCTTTGCAGAAAACTACCCAACTAGCAGAGACGGAGAATCCACTCCAGCCCTAGAGAGTTCCGCTGCTTCCAGAAGTGCCTTAGACTGTCACGAAGTAGTGACAGCGAGTATCCATGCAGAATGCCACACATCCACCTAACTTGTTCTGTTATACTATTTTTATAGACTTTATAATTATCATGTTAAAACAAAATATCGTCAAACTATATAAGTTCTAGTTGGTTTTGCAACACAGTCTTCATTTCCTTCTTTTTTTGGCACTGCGCGTTGTGCTGATCCAAAAATTGCGTCATTACTTCAACATAGCACTCCACGCTGGGGAGTGACGTCAGGAAGTTTTTCTTGTTTTCGGATAAGACAACCGCTTGACGGGGCTCCGGCGACGTCACACTTCTAAAACACTTAAAATCAGAGGCTGTAAAAGGGCCACTAAATACGCCTTACTCGTCTTGCTTCTTCTCTAAAAATTCTAGGTAGTTTTGGATCTCGGCTTTCAATTTGTCGCTGTAACTCGGATCTGGAACATCACCGGTCATTTTGTACGACAACAAACCTAACCTGAAAACTTACTTCCGCTGTTGCGTCTAAACAAAGAGCAGCGTCTGGGTTTTTCTGGTTTCATTGTGGGGCTGTTTTTTATTTTTTCAATTAATGTTTGTTGCTTTAAATTCGTTACAAGATTTAAAAATTTAAATACATGATGAGGTGGGGACTAGGGGATTAAACGTCACAGTGGTGCCAATGTTGGCATGGCTTGGAACTAGATAAACGATCATTGGATAAAGGTGATTTAGAAGTTGCCTACGTCTAATTTTTAATTTAACTTTTTAAAAATTCCTTAAAATTTTATAAATCTTGAAAGATGTTTCTGCTGACACTACTAAAAAATGAAAGAGGCTTTTAAATTTTCAGTTGGAGATCAAATTTTTGAGTTCATTAGACATTAAAAAAATTTTTGATAAAGGGAAAAACTAATCTCATTACACAAAAAAGTGATGTATTCTTGTATGTTGAGATCTTGAGGTTGTCGAAGCTAAAAAAATGGGGAACACTTCTGGACTTTCTAACAAGATTAGTGTGCAAAAATGTGACACAGTTTGGTGTCATTTTTATTTAATTTTTCAAAAATTCGTCGAAATTTTGTAAATTTTGAAAACCGTTTTTTTGTTATGCATCGTAAATACCATAATGCATTTACCTAAATACTGTTGAGACTAAAAAGTGGAACACCAGCTTTGAAATTTGATTTTGATTATCTCAAAAATCCTCAAAATGTTCAGTTGGAGATCAAGTACTAAAAAAAATCTACATTTTCTCTATCTTCGTCGTAAGCAAATTATTATTTCCAGACCAGTCATCTATAAAAATCAACTTCCATAAATGTATTTCATTATAATAAAAATAAAAGTTCCCCGCCCACCCACCCGTTTCTTAATCCGATATCTACAACAACAAGAGAAACTCCTTTCCATGAAAATATTTTTCTAAACAAAAGCCCTTTTTTAGAAAAAAAAGTAATATAATCATTGATTTCTTGTATAGGTAGTGGAGTTCATTAGCCATTACAAAAATTTTTAATAAAAGGAAAAATTAATCTTGTCACTACAAAAAAAATGTATTTTCTTGTTATGTTGAGATCTTGAGGTTGTCAAAGCTAAAAAATAACACATCTGGTCTTTCTAAACAAGATCAGTGTGAAAAAATGTGCCACAGTTAGACGTCATTTTGATTTAATTTTTCAAAAAATTCGCCAAAATTTTGTAAATCTTGAATACTGTTTTTTTGGTACGGAACATAAATGCCATAATGTATTTACCTAAACACTGTTTACACTAAAAAGTGGCAAACCTGCTTTGAAATATGATTTTGATTATCTCAAAACGCGTCAAAATTTTCAGTTGGGGATCAAGTATTTACTAAAAAAAAAAATTCTACATCTTTTCTATCTTCGTCGTAAGCCAATTATTTCCAGATCAGTCATCCATGAAACTCAATTTCTGTAAAGATATTTCCTTCTAACAAAAATAAAAGTTCCCCGCCCACCCACCCAGCTTTTAATCCGATGTCTATAACAAAGAAAAAAAATTCCTTTCCATGAAAATTTTCTAAACAAAATCCCTTTATTTAGGGAAAAAAAGTAACATAATCGTTGCATTGGTAATCAAATTTTTTAGTTCAATAGTCGTGAAAAAAATTTTTGATAAAAGAAAAAACTAATCTTCCCATTATAAAAAAAGAAATGATGGATTTTCGTGTACGTTGAGATCTTGAAGTTATCAAAGCTAAAAATAACACTTTTAGACTTTCTAAGCAAAATCGCTGTACAAAAATGTGCCACAGTTTGGCGTCATTTTAATTTAATTTGTCAAAAATTCGCCAAAATTTTGTAAATCTTGAAATAGTATATTATTAGCCAAGGTTGCAAGGCCAAGCGTTCTAGACCGAGCGCAAATTAGAACCCGAGACGCGCAGCGTCGAGGGCTCTGAAGCGCGAGGTCTAGAAAGTGGCTTTGCAACCGTGGTTAATATACTATTTTTTTCACTAGTAGAAACCATAAAACAATAAATTGAAAACATAAACGTTCAATTTTTTGACGCAACATGATTTTGTTCTGATTTCTAATCAAACTTAATCTAAATCTTCAACACAACGAAAACCGTTTATACTTGTCGCTGAGTTAATCATTTTATCTTCTACCGTCTACCAACTACCATGCGTATACTCAAGTAATGTTTGTAGCACACATTTGTTCATTTTTTAAGAAATAATCACATCAAACATTGCGTACATAACCTCAATTTTACTTTTTGAACCCGTGGTAGCAAAAGTTGAATTTGCTACCGCTAAATGAGTCGACATTTGCATACGTCCTGGCTGCTAGTGAAAAAACAGTTTTTTGTTGCGGCCCCTAAATGCCATAATGTATCTTCCTAAACACTGTTGATTCTAAAAAATGAAAGACCTAAAGTCGCGATCTTTTCTATAGAACCACTCCCTAGTGTAAATTTTCAAAATTTGTTTGGTGTAAGTGACCTTGACGGGTTTCTGGGGGAAAACATATGTGTCAAAAATTTGACAGGTTAGATGGCCCCATTGTTAATGTAGATATTTTATTTTAATAAATAGATGAACAGAACATACAGTCTGCACAGGATACAGTGCGGCATATTTGAGGGCAACCAAAACATTCGTGTTGTGCTAGTTTCGATTGCCATATCACTACCGCTACCAACCGCCTCCGGCGTAAAGTACTAGATGACAGGGCTACCAACCTGACTTTTTATCGAGTGGTTCCGTAGAAATGACCGCTACTGTACTTCAAAATTTGCTCTTGATTATCTCAAAATTCGTCAAAATTTTCAGTTGTAGATGAAGTATTTACTAAAAAGAAAATTCTACATCTTCTCTATCTTCGTCGTAAGCAAGTTATTTCCAGATCAGTCATCTATAAAACTCAATTTCTATAAAGATATTTCGTTCTAATAAAAATAAAAGTTCCCCGCCCACCCACCCATCTTTTAATCCGATGTCTAGAACAAAGAGAAAAACTGCTTTCCATGAAATTTTCCTAAACAAAATCCCTTTATTTAGGAAAAAAAAGTAACATAATCCTTGATTTCTTGTATAGATAAACGAATTTTTGAGTTCATTAGAAATTTAAAAACAATTTGATAAAAAGAAAAACTAATCTTCGCATTACAAAAAAAAAGAAATGATGAATTTTCTTGTATGTTGAGATCTCGAAGTTATCAAAGCTAAAAAATAACACTTCTAGACTTTCTAAACAAAATCGATGTACAAAAATGTTGGATGTCATTTTAATTTAATTTGTCAAAAATTCGTCAAAATTTTGTAAATCTTGAAAATTGTTTTTAGTTACGGACCGTAAATGTCATAATGTATTTACCTAAACACTGTTTACACTGAAAAATGAAATACCTGCTTGGAAATTTGATATTAATTATCCCAAAAATTGTCAAAATTTTCGGTTGATGATCAAATACTAAACAAAAATTCTACATCTTCTCTATCTTTGTCATAAGTAAATTATTTCCACATCAATCATCTATAAACCTCGATGAAGATATTTCATTGTAAAAAAATTAAAGTTCCCCGCCCACCCACCCATATTTTAATCCGATGTATACAACAAGAAAAAAAAACTCCTTTCTATAAATTTTTTCTAAGCAACAGCTCTTTATTTAGGAAAAAAAATAATTAGTGATTTCTGCTATAAGTAATCTAGTTTTTGAGAAAAAAAAATTTTATAAAAGGAGAAACCAATCTTCTCATAACAAAAAGAATTGATGTATTTTCTTGTTATGTTTAGATCTTGAGCACTCTTGAGGTTGTGGAGGCTAAAAAATAACACTTCTGGACTTCTTAAACAAGATCAGTGTGAAAAAATGTGACACAATACAGTAGCGGTCATTTCTACGGAACCACTCGATAAAAAGTCAAGTTGATAGCCCTGTCATCTAGTACTTTACGCCGAACGCGGTTGGTAGCGGTAGTTGATATGGCAATCGAAACTAGCACAACACGAATGTTTCAGTTGCCCTCAGTTATGCCGCACTGTATCCTGTGCAGACTGTATGTTCTGTTCATCTGTTTATTAAAATAAAATATCTACACTGACAATGGGGCCATCTAACCTGTCAAATTTTTGACACCTATGTTTACCCCCAGAAACCCGTCAAGGTCACTTACACCAAACAAATTTTGAAAATTTACACTAGGGAGTGGTTCTATAGAAAAGATCGCGACTTTAGACGTAATTTTTTATTTAATTTTTAAAAGATTCGCCAAAATTTTGTAAATATTGAATACTGTTTTTTGTTACGGACCATAAATGCCATAATGTATGTACCTAAACACTGGTTGACACTATCAAGTGACAAATCGGCTTTGAAATTTGATGTTGTCAAATCGTCAAAATTTTCAGTTGGAGATCAAGTACTAAAAAAAAAGTTCTAGATCTATCTATCTTCGTCGTAAGCAAGTTATTTTCAGATCTGTCACGTTTATAGAACTAAACTTCCACAAAGATATTTCATTATAATAAAAATTTTGATTTAAACTCCGCCCCCTTGGTATACGACAAATAAAAAAAAATATCATTACAATGGAGATAGGGCGGGTGGGCGGGGCTTGTATTTTCCCTTTTTTCGTAACGACTAGCTACGTCTTTTCCCAACAAGAGACTTCAAACATGTTTAAAATGGTACGTGTTTGTAGGGAAATATGGATTTTGCAATTAAGCTCCGCCCCTAGGTCTGACAACGAATGAAGAATTTATTACAATTGAGATAAGGGGCAGGTATAGGTGGAACTTAAGCTTTGGCTTTATTTTTTACTTCTAATACATATACTTCGTTCTCTTTAAACAACACGAGCACTGAAGAATATTTTCACATGGTCATTTCTTCTAGAAAAATAAATATTTTGCAATTAAATTCTGCCCCCGACTCACGACGAATAATAAGAAAATAATCACAATTGAGATAGGGTGGGTGGGCGGGTTTTATATTTTCTACAAAATATAACGTGTGAAAATGCATTAACAAGTTCAACATTTGACAGGTAGTGCATTAAAATTCTACTTGCTATATATTTTTTTGTAGCAATAATGTCTTTGAGATCTCCACAATCTTTTTTATTGTTTCTTTTTTTGTGTGTGAATTGAATCATACGTGAAACGTGAAAACAATCTATGAACGCATTTTCTAAAAATCTTCATACCACAGTTTTTTTTCTAGAAACTTGTCGCCCGATGTAAAACTTGAAGGCAGATTGATGATCACCACGAACTAACCTTAGTAAAACCTACCTTTTCCATTTCATTTCTTCAATAAAATCAAATGTAGCCCAAGCCGGGGACTAATTTTTCATTTATTTTATTGTTTCATTACTTGCTCTACTGTGGCAACTGTCACTCTCAATTTTGAGCCACCGCGCAACAAAAATTAGAAATAGGACATGTGGCAACTTCCTGCCCCGTGTACAACCACAACAACCCACAAAAAATAATCCAAAATATGAAAATACCGACAAAAACTAAGCCTCGTCACGATACGAAGGTACCCCCAAGCTGTCATAACCTCACTTTTGCGTTTAACAATTTGCAAATTGTAGACGATTCTAATCGACTAAGAATGGCCCACGAGCGCTACTCTCCACCCGAAATCAAAATCGCTCAAATCAGCCTCTGGGATAGCCTCCAGCGATGCAATCAGTGCCAGTTCATGGCCGACACAAAAGTCAGTCTTGAAGATCACATTCAAAAGTTCCACCCGAAAGTGTGGTTCAGTTGCGCCCTGTCAACACTTGAACTGTACAAATGCAGTAAATGCGGCTTTGAAACAAGTGTAGTCGTCGATTTTCATAAACACAGGCAGCAACATAGCACTGGAGGAAAGTTAGATGGTTGTTTACAAGACCATCAGAGTTACAACTGTCGCAATTGCCATTTTCAAACGTATTCTCAGTTGGTGTTTTTAAAACACGCGTACTGGGCTTGTCGTACCATTAAAAACAGGAAGTGGGGAAGATTCAAGTGTTCTCGGTGTAGTTTTATTACAATTAGTAGAAAGTCGCTACGATGGCACAAACTGTATAAACATACAGTTCTCAGAAACGTGGAGTGGGTGCAGTGTAACGAGTGCAACTACAGAACTAAGTTTAAACACCTTTTGATTAAACACAAAATTAATAAACATAGGGTTAAAAGTGATGTGCTAAAGTGTGATTATTGTATGTTTAAAACGTCACACTATTATGACTTGTGTAAACATATACGGACTAAACATTTACCAGCCTTGTCAACTACTTTGTATCAGTGTAGATACTGCATGTTCCAGACTAAATGGAAGTCCTATTTGAAAAAACACGTTCTGTCACATCAAATTCCTAAAAATATCAAATGGTTTGAATGTGCACAGTGCATGTTTAAGACTCGTTACGAAGGTTATTTCAAGCGCCACCTCCAGAACCACGGCGCCGACGTAGAAATCACCTGGTTAAAATGTGAGCAGTGTTCCTACCAAGCTAACCACCCCACGAGTTTACAAAGACACATCCTTGAAGGTCACCGTCCCGAAAACATCGAGTGGTTAGACTGTGACCAGTGCTCCTACCGAGCTAAGTGGAAATTCCTCCTTAAAAAACACATCCTAGTAAAACACACCGCCTACGAAGACATCCAGTGGTACTTCTGCGACAAGTGCCCCTTCAAAACTAAATGGAAACCCAACCTCACCACCCACTCCCAAAAAAAACACACCAACCCTGAAGATTTCATCGCCTGTCAACAATGTCCGTTCAAAACCATCTCCAAACACATGTTAAACCGCCACATCCAAAGCGAACACACCCCCATCGAAGACATGAAGTACTTCAAGTGCGACCATTGCACGTACAAGGCGAAATTTAGGGCCTATTTGAAAAAGCACGTGCAGAATATGCACACAGCTCCGGAGGATATCAACTGGTTTTGTTGCGAAGAGTGCGACTATAAGACGAAGCGCAAACCGGATTTGAATAATCACGTGCGGTTGAAGCATTCAGAGGTGTCTAGGGTCACTCTGTTCAAGTGTGAGCAGTGTCGGTATATTACTAAGCGGAAGTACCATTTGCAGAATCACGTTTTGGCTAAACATACTGAGTCTAAAGATGTTAAGTGGTTTCAGTGCGAGTTTTGCCCCTATAGGGCTAAGTTTAGCGTTAACTTGAAGAGGCACGTGGAGAGTAACCATAGTACTCCGGAGGATGTTAAATGGTTGAGGTGTGAGCGGTGCTCGTACAAAACTAGGTGGAAAAGGTGCTTGAAGATACATTTGGCGAACCACGAAATGAGAAATGAGGTGGATGTAGATGTTTGATTTATGTATTTGTTGTTTTTGATGTTTGGAGGATTATAATGATGTTGAATAAAGTGTAATATTGATTGAGTCAAAATTGTCCTTTTTTTTGTTTGTTTGTTGAACAAAGTGTGTGAAGATGGTGTAATTTCATGCACTCCGATTATTAAATACATCCCTTCAAAACATATTTAGCATATCTTTTTTATTAATCATAAAAAACGCAGAATTATATTAGTGTATTCTTGGTTATGCAACCAAGAATACACTACTAATTTTATAAATTTTCAACCCGAAGAAAACTATACTAGACAATGTAGGTATAACAAAGCCAATGACCAACAAAGAGTTAAAAGTCTCTAGTTTGACCCTTTTTTGCCAAAGTTCTGTTAATTAGTAACGCTATTCTACGACTAACACAATGGCCCGAACGCACCATGTGACTTTTTCATAACCTCAAATTCCCTTTTGTTTTTGTGCGTCAGCTTCACTAAACTTATTTCCCAATTTAAAACCGCAAAATGGTAAAAAACTCGAGCAGAGAAGGCAGTGGAACTTTAATTACACCCAAATTGTACATCTTCTTTCTGTTTTTTTTACGGATCGTAAATGTCATAATGTAATTAAATTAAAATTTGTTCTTGATTATCTCAAAAATCGTCAAAATTTTCAGTTGGAGATCAAGTACAACAAAAAATTCCACATCATCTCTATTTTCGTCGTAAGCAAATTGTTTCCACAAAAGTCATCTATACAACTCAACTTTCAAAAGATATTCCATTATAATAAAAATAAAAGTTCCCCGCCCACCCACCCATCTTTTAATTCAAAATTTATAACAAAAAGAAAAACTCCTTTGCATGAAATTTTTCTAAACAAAAACCCTTTATTTAGGAAAAAAAGTAACATTATCTTTGATTTCTTGTATAGGTAATCGAATTTTTGAGTTCATTAGACATTAAAAACTTCCATAAAGATATCTCATTATAACAAAAATAAAAGTTCCCCGCCCACCCACCCATCTTTTAATCCAATGTCTACAAAATCGAGAAAAACTCCTTTTCATGAAATTTTTCTAAACAAAAGCCCTTTATTTAGGAAAAAAAAAAGTAACACAATTATTGATTTGTGGTATAGGTAATTGAATTTTTGAGTTCAGTAGACATTTAAAAAAAAATTGTTAAAAGGGAAAATTTATCTTCTCATTACAAAATAAATTATGTATTTTCTTGAATGTTGAGATCTTGAGGTTGTCAAAGCTAAAAAATTACAATTCTGGGCTTTCTAAACACGATCAATGTGAAAAAATGTGCCACAGTTAGGCGTCGTTTTTATTTAATTTTTCAAAAATTCGCCAAAATTTTGTAAATTTTGAAAACTGATTTTTGTTACGGATCGTAAATGTCATAATGTATTTACCTATACACTGTTGACACTAAAAAGTGAAGGACCTGCTTTGAAATTTGTTCTTGATTATCTCAAAAATCGTCAAAATTTTCAGTTGGAGATCAAGTACAACAAAAAATTCCACACCTTCTCTACTTTCGTCGTAAGCAAATTGTTTCCAGAAAAGTCATCTATACAACTCAACTTTCATAAAGATATTTATTCCATTATAATAAAAATAAAAGTTCCCCGCCCACCCACCCATGTTTTAATTCGAAATTTCTAACAAAAAGAAAAACTCCTTTCCATGAAATTTTTCTAAACAAAAACCCTTTATCTAGGAAAAAAAGTAATATAATAATTGATTTCTTGTATAGGTAATCGAATTTTTGAGTTCATTAGACATTAAAAACTTCCATAAAGATATCTCATTATAACAAAAATAAAAGTTCCCCGCCCACCCACCCATCTTTTAATCCGAAGTTCACAACAGAAAGGAAATCTCCTTTCCATGAAACTTTTCTAAATAAAAATCCCTTTATTTAGGAAAAAAAGTAACATAATCATTGATTTCTTGTGTAGGCAATCGAATTTTTGAGTTCATTAGATATTGAAAAATTTTTTGATGAAAGGAAAACTAATCTTCTCATTACAAAAAAAAAATATGTATTTTTTTGTATATTGAGATCTTGAAGTTGTCAAAGCTAAAAAATAACACTTCTGGACTTTCTAAACAAGATCAGTTTCAAAAAATGTGCAACAATTGGGCGTCATTTTCATTTAATTTTTCAGAAATTCGTCAAAATTGTATTAATATTAAAAACTGTTTGTTGCTACAAACCGTAAATGTCATAACGTATGTACCTAAACACTGTTAACACGAAAAAAAATGCTAAAGACCTGCTTTGATATTTGATATTTGATTATCTCAAAAATCGCCAAAATTTTTAGTTAGAGATCAAGTACTAAAAAAGAGTCGACATTTTTTCTATCTTCGTTGTAAGCAAATTATTTCCAGATCCGTCATCTATAAAACTCAACTTCCATAAAGATATTTCGTTATAATAAAAATAAAAGTACCCCACCCACCCACCCATCTTTTAATCCGAAGTTCACAACAGAAAGCAAATCTCCTTTCCATGAAATTTTTCTAAATAAAAGTCCCTTTATTTAGGAAAAAAAAAATAACACAATCATTGATTCCTTGTGTAGGCAATCGAATATTTGAGTTCATTAGATATTGAAAAATTTTTTGATGAAAGGAAAACTAATCTTCTCATTACAAAAAAAAAAAAAAATTATGGATTTTCGTGTACGTTGAGATCTTGAAGTTGTCAAAGCTAAAAAATAACACTTCTGGACTTTCTAAACAAGATCAGTTTCAAAAAATGTGCCACAATTGGGCGGAATTTTTATTTAATTTTTCAAAAATTCGTCAAAATTTTATTAATCTTAAAAACTGTTTGTTGCTACAACCCGTAAATGTCATAACGTATGTACCTAAACACTGTTAACACAAAAAAAAATGAAAGACCTGCTTTGATATTTGAAATTGATTATCTCAAAAATCGCCAAAATTTTTTGTTAGAGATCAAGTACTAAAAAAGAGTCGACATTTTTTCTATCTTCGTTGTAAGCAAATTATTTCCAGATCCGTCATCTATAAAACTCAACTTCTATAAAGATATTTCGTTATAATAAAAATAAAAGTACCCCGCCCACCCACCCATGTTTTAATCCGAAGTTCACAACAGAAAGGAAATCTCCTTTCCATGAAATTTTTCTAAATAAAAGTCCCTTTATTTAGGAAAAAAAAGTAACATAATCATTGATTTCTTGTGTAGGCAATCGAATTTTTGAGTTCATTAGGTATTGAAAATTTTTTTGATGAAAGGAAAACTAATCTTCTCATTACAAAAAAAAAAAAATGATGGATTTTTGTGTACGTTGAGATCTTGAAGTTGTCAAAGCTAAAAAATAACACTTCTGGACTTTCTAAACAACATCAGCTTCAAAAAATGTGCCGCAAAAGGGCGTCATTTTTATTTAATTTTTCAAAAATTCGTCAGAATTGTATTAATCTTAAAAACTAACGTATGTACCTAAACACTGTTAACACAAAAAAAATGAAAGACCTGCTTTGAAATTTTATATTGATTATCTCAAAAATCGCCAAATTTTTTTGTTAGAGATCAAGTACTAAAAAAGAGTCGACATTTTTTCTATCTTCGTTGTAAGCAAATTATTTCCAGATACGTCATCTATAAAACTCAACTTCCATAAAGGTATTTCGTTATAATAAAAATAAAAGTACCCCGCCCACCCACCCATGTTTTAATCCGAAGTTCACAACAGAAAGGAAATCTCCTTTCCATGAAATTTTTCTAAATAAAAGTCCCTTTATTTAGGAAAAAAAAGTAACATAATCATTGATTCCTTGTGTAGGCATTTAATTTTTCAAAAATTCGTCAAAATTGTATTAATCTTAAAAACTGTTTGTTGCTACAAACCGTAAATGTCATAACATATTTACCTAAACACTTAACAGCAAAAAAATGAAAGACCTGCTTTGAAATTTGATAACTATTATTTAAAAAATCGCCAAAATTTTCAGTTGGAGATCAAGTACTAAAAAAAAGTCTACATCTTATGTATCTTCGGCGTAATTAAATGATTTACAGATCGGTCATCTTATCTGTAAAACTCAACTTCCATAAAGATATTTCATTATAATAAAAATAAAATGGATTTTGCAATTAAACTCCGCCTCCCGGTCTGACCACGAATGAAAATTCGTCATGACAAAGATCAGGGGGGATATAGGTGGGGCTTAATCTTTGGGTTTCCTTTTTTACTTAATACATATAGTTTTCTTTGAACAACCCGATGATTGAAGAATTTGTGTAGCATAGTAATTTCTTGTAGCAAAATAAGGATTTTGCAATTAAACTCTGCCCCTAAGTCTGATTACGAATGAAAAATTCATCACAATTGTGACAGGGTGGGCGGGCGGGGCTTTTATTTTGCCTTTTTTTCGAAATATGTCTAGTTTTCTTTTCACAACAATAATCTTAAAACATGTTTAAAATAGTACATTATTGTAGGGAAATATGGATTGTGCAATTAAGCTCCGCCCAAGGTCTGACAACAAATGAAAAATTCATCACAATTGAGATAAGGGGCGGGTGTGGGTGTGACTTAATCTTTTGCTTTCTTTTTTAATTAATACATATACTTAGTTCTCTTTGAACAACACGGGTACTGAAGAATATTTTTCGCATGGTAATTTCTCGTAAGAAAATAAGGATTTTGCAATTAAGCTCTGCTTCCCGACTCACGACGAATAAAAAAATCATCACAATTGAGATAGGGCGGATGGGCGGGGCTTATAGTTTGTACTAAAGACAAAAATAGCACAGCACCAACTTACAAAAAAAAAAAAGAATAGAGACGACTGCCAGTTTAGGATGAAAATTCACATCAGTTATGAAATAAATGTGATTAGAAGGTGGAAGAGGGATTAAGACTTGACATCACTAAATTTCAATTTGACAATCATGTGTGCCACCATTTAAAACAGGGTGGGTGGGCGGGGCATCATTTTTTTTATAAAAATAGCACAGTACCGACTTACAAAATAAAAATAGGGGAGACTGCCATTTTAGGGTGAAAATTCAGATCTGTTATGGAATAAACGC